ATTGTTTTGTTGAATACCATGAGGTTCATCTGTAATTAGAAACCTAATAATTTAATTATTACTAAGTCAATATTGGATCTCATTATTTTGTAGTTTCTATCCAAGTTCCTAACATTGTGATAACACGAAGTTCCTGACGGCACTTTTAAGTCTAGATCTTGGAAATAGTACTTCTAGGTATAATAAAAATCTAAAAAAAATCTGTGCGTATCGTTTTACTTACCTTATTATGTAAATAAAGTTCAAAAGCGAAAATTTGTTAAAAATCACTACCCCGGGGGATAGGGTTAATAATCATATTTTTAATTAAGTTTTATCTAAATAACAATCTAAACTTTCTGTATTTCCTTTGATTGAAAGAGATTTAAAGGATGTAAACGAATAGCATGGAAAGTACTTAGGTAGGTACATACCGCAGAGCATTTTTTGAGCCAGGCTTAGGAAACCGATGCAAAGTGATGCTGGAATCTTTAGAAGGTGAAGATCCACACATGCAACAGATTCTAGTGTTTTCTTTCTGCGAACTCATTGCGAAAATTAAACACACAATCAAACAAGAGTCACTATCTCAACACCGAGTCTATATCTCACAAACACACACTTAATTTCACCAAAACACAGCCACGGAGGAGCAAACTCGACTCACGGTAACAATGTATGTAGAATTAAATGCAACTAGTTTATTTATTACAAATAAATATAGGTACAAGATAAAATGGTGCGGAAACCGCAGGCAGACATTTTTCTTGTGACGTCAAACGTGTTGCCAGTAGTTGCCACACATTTTCCCCCTTATCTTTTTTTTGTTTTTGTGTATTGATCAATTAAATATATTTTATTTCTTAGCAAAATAATTTTTTTGGGTATCAGAATAATCACAAAATGTATTTTTAAGGGTGACTTTCTTTTTTAGCTCATTGTTTTGGAGAATACGAAATTGTATTTTTGGTGGCAACATTTTATAATTTATCTCTTTTACTCTAATGTTGTTGTCTCTTTCTTGTTTTCAAGCCCACCTACATCTTGTTCTAAGAACAAAGTTGACAGACCCTGGTTGATTGTGTTAAGCTTAAGACAATCGATGTTGCCCAATGGCTTAAATTACCAATAAAACCATAGATTATAAAACTACCAATTGCAGGCAAAATACATCTGGAACTCATTAATGCCAATGATTTATTTTTATTATATTTATTTTTCAATAAACTTTTTAATAATAAATATTAATTCCATAGTTTCGGTTTGTTCCCTCTTTTCTCTCCCTTCCCTTCGCGTGCATATTTTAAAATAGCTTAACCAAAGTTGACAGGAATGTAATTGTAGGTTAAGGAAAGGAATTAAAAAAGACAGTAATTATCGGATTCGGATGACGCATCCTGACCAAGAAAATTTTAGCAACCTAGAGGCGACTCACGCTGTTTCTTTACCATAAGTGACCTTGAAACCCAGAAAGTAAAAACCATTGGTTAAAATGTAAATATAGACATTAAGCGAAATATGAACAAATTAATAAAGTAACAAATTTATTCCTTATGTTCTTTTATTATATTTTATTGTTGTTTTTTCTGGTATCTCGTTTGAAGCAGTGAAGAAAGTGACTGAGCCCGGCCTCAAAATAGTATTAAACTGGCTTAACAAAAACCTGCTTGCTGTTTTAACCCCTGCATTAGCTCTCAGCCTCAATCTGATTTTGTATCAGGATACACTGCTCTGCCTTGCCAATCCAAACCACTGTAACTTTTGAAAACGACTTTTGACCTTGAAAGCTCTGTTACAGTTTTTTACCATGTTAAAACCATAATTTCAATACAATACAGTATTTAGATTATTGTCTCTTCTAAATACAATTTAGAATGTCAAAAGTGTTGATCAGGGGTACTAAACCGATGTAAAGAAATTGATTTAGCCAAAAGATTTTAAGGCAAAAGACTGTAAGTCGAGTTTCAGTCTTTTGCATTGGCATGGCAGTGCTGCTCAAACCCACATAAACTGACTTGTGACTGCTCTCTCATTCAAAAGGTCAGCTGTACAAAATATCTCGTTATCATGGTCGATCAAAGACTGAGCTGGCATCCTCAAATTGATGTTATCACTTCTAGAATCAGGAAGCTAATTTCAATTTTTTTAATCCCTGAGATATTTAATGACGGAACTAATATTAAATAAAATCTACATTGACTTGGCAAAACCCGTCATCACTTACTGTATCCCGGTATGGGGTGTGGCAACAAGACCCACATTCTCGAGGTAGACAGTTTTTAAAGGTCATATATTTACACCCCTAAAGGTACCCCACGAACATCCTATACATGACCTGCAATCTTCTGTCGGTCAGGAAATTATACGTAATAAATTTCATATTAACCCTTCACAGATTGATTCCATTTGATCATGACATACAGAAAAAAGATAAATTACTTCCCACAATTCCCGTCCGTACTACTTTCGCTCAACGTCAATTAAGATGTCAGTCTGCATACATCTATAATAAAATAAACCGCACAATTGAAATATATCCTGTGCTAACTTACATTTATAAAAATACTTTGATAGATTGGCTAAACACGCTCTCGTATGAAGAAGTGGAAAGTCTCCTAATAATTATTACATAAAAATGAATTATATTAATCAATACAAAACTTAAAATACTTACCTGTATGTGGGTACATAATAATCGATCCCAAGGAACTAGGTATCCGTAGGTCATACAACACACACACACACACACACCCATTTAAGTTTTGTTAAGTATCATTTCTACTAAATTTGTTACTGAAGTACATTTGTTATTTTATCGAAATCTAAGCAAACTCGATTGGAAGCTGCGAGTCACTCCCAAGTACTCCCAACACAAGTATCGAAAAACTTACTAACATATGTTTTTTTTTTTGTTTTATTTATATTTACACAATGAACTCATTTATAGAGTTTCTATAAGATAATGGTGCTAATTCTGTTCTTTGAAAATTCGCTAAGCAAAACTAATTTTCGAACAATAGAATTATCACCAGTAACTATATAAATACTATTGTATTCCACTACTAATCTAGACTCTATAAAGTTTCTATATACGACACTATTGGTTACCTACCTTAACTAACTATTTTTGACAAAACAATGCCATGATTTTTGTTGTCTCTTACACAGAATTAGGAAGCGGGAATGTGCGCCTCCTTGACATGCTTATAGCATTGTTATAGGTTTTGTATTTTGTTGTTTTCATTTGGTTACTTATAAAAAACAACAAAGAAGTTTTTTGTAGGTAGCCAAGTTTATTACTTTGTGACTAGCGCTATTTTGCAAAGAACATCGTGCCATGAATCATTTAGAAAAAAAGAGGTGTTCCTATCGGATTTGGATGTTTTTGATGTCACTATGAATTGCCAATGCAATAGAAATTAAAAATAAAATATCAGCTATAGCTGTTGTTAATCAGTTTATTTCATACTAGTAATTGAATTGATTTCCTTTTTTTTATTCATTGACGTTTTCATTACCACATCTCTAGTAACTTCAACTCTGAAGAGTATTTTACGAGTACAATGTTTGTTCAAATCAAATAAGACTTGACTTAAAGTGCTTAGTTGCCAGGTCATTAAATTAAACAAAAAAAAAAGTATTTTACGTCCCCGAACTTATTTATAATATTATTATAAATAAGTTTTCTAAGAGGTGTAAAAGTAACGAAAAAAAAACGTAGCCGTATGTATTCGTTACCATACGTTCAGTACTCGTTACTATCGTATCGTTACTCGTTACTCCTAATACCTCATAACATGCTGTTATGCTAGAGAAACAAATCGTTAATCGAGTCGTATTGCGTACGCGTACAAGCGTGCGATTTAATTATTTTTTGAAAATTAAGTTACAGTGAAATAATTTTAAAATTTCATGAGAGACTAAAACTTTCACTTTCGTCTATTTCATACTATTACATAAAATTTATGAAATTTTAGTGGCAACATTTTATGAAAACACTTTTTCATAAGTATATACTTTTTTTTTACTGCATACTCTGTTAAAGAAAACTTTGTTTTGAATATTTGAAATTTTGGCACCATAATGCGCGCACATCGGTTCAAATATTTTTGAAGTATATCCGCACAAATTACATATATTTTCATTTTTTTAACCAATCACGTTACGAATGGTTTGCGAACATATTTTTCATGTTCTTTTTATAATTTTATTATAAGATATGAATGTATGTACTAGGTGCGGCATCGCAGCATTCATAATTTCAATTTGTAGAAATAATACATATTCATTACATGCCAAACCGCATTTTTCACTTTGCCGTAGTTTAAACCAGACTTATGTTTATGTTATAATGAAAAAGCTACAAATAGGCGTCCAAAATTATTTATTATCAATAAAACTTAAACAGCATTTCAACCATAAATCAACATAAAAATAGTTTTGCTTAGATTGAAATTAAACAAAATTAAATAAAAAAGTTTGTATCAATTAAAATGACAACAAACTCTTTTGTTCTTGGAATGATATTTTAAACAAAACTAAAATAACAAAAAATAATTATTTCTTAGAACGAAATTAAACATAAAATTAAATAAAAAAGTTTGAATCAATTAAAATGACAACAAATCTCTTTTGTTGTTGAAGTGAAATTAAACATAATAATCAACGCAGCGTTACATTGCGTCATTGAAACAGCGTATGTAACCATGATACGAAACATGCGAGTAACGAAAAGTATTCGTGAGTAACGTTTCGTTACTCGGTACTAGATGGCGTACCCGTTACTTAGTAACGAATACATACGGTTTGCTACAGCGTGGCTACAGCTCTGTAATAAATGTCACAACTCACACGTATTGTTAATATCACCAGTGAGATTCAAAAAGCTACGTATTCGAGCTTGAAATAATTTGTTTAAACTAAATGGAAATACAGTGTTGTTTTGATTTTACTTTTTATATCTTAATATATTAGTGTACAATAATTGCATGAATATATATTTCTAGGCGAAGTTTTTAAAGATGGGTGTGTATTTTATTTTTAAATGCTTATGTACTTTTTTTTAACCTTTTGTTGTCGGTTTTTTATTTGACAAAATTCGCAATTTTAAATCTGAAATGAAAAGATAAAAATACATGTATTATTTCTTTACTGTCTGTAAAAACAACTTACGAGAATATTTCAGCAACTGATGAATTAAATACAAATATTATTGTGAGTATTAAAAAAATTGCATTATTGTGAGTAGCTGAGTAGGACTCATCATATAGACTTAAAAGTTGGGGTTAGTTGGTTGGTTAGATAATAAGCGAGACTAGAAAGAGACGCGAGCTGGGCAGGTTATACTAGTTCATTTAGAAGATTTAACATACCTAATATCACTCGACTTGTTATAGCATTCAAAATACTAAATAGGTACAATATATTCATAGCTTTTATTGCGGCACTAGAACTTTGATAAATAAATTTAAATTATTGATTCAGTATAATTTTTTGTGTTTACAAAACAGACATCACGCATGAAAACTTCTTATTTCGAATTATTGTTGGTTTTATTTTGAGTTATTAAGCAATACTTGAGAATCTTGTTTTGCCATAGCACCAGAACAAAGGAGGGTGTACAAATGGCTTAGTGGTTTAAGCAGTTGTATCGCCCCTTCCTACTTCACTGAATGTTGTGGGTTAATTCCCACATGGGACAACACTTTGTGTGATCCACAAATTGTTGTTCCGAGTCTGGGTGTTCTTTTTGTCCGTTTCATGTGTTTGTGAAGTCCCCTGTGATATAGGATATGTTCATAGACATGCACATAGTTATCTTTTTAAAGGAGAAGGAGGAGAACACTGTGTGCTTTTAATTAGTATGATTATGATATAAGTACATCAAATGTTGCGTGAGGTTTTATACTTAGAATATTTAATTATAAAATCATCAGTAGATCAGGTTAGTCATTCTCTCTATTGCACACAAAAAGAGAACATTCTCAGTAATTTCCAACACTAAAAATATAAATTTCTATAGTTTCTATGGTGTAAATGTAAATAACGCACTTGTGACCCTGGAGTTGCAGGAGGAGGTGCAGGTTGTCACTTACCATCAGGTGACCCATCTGCTTGTTTGCTCCCTTATACCATAACAAAAGTAAAGAATTTAGTAGGCATTTTTTTTTGTTTTAGCTTGGGATAAAAAAATATCTAAAAATTTATTATTAATCATTGTGGCAATAATAGTTGCAACTAGTCTGCTCATTATCGGGCTGGTACTAATATTGGTGCATGTTAAGGTATGTAACATTTTTAACTTTATCTTAAAGTATATCACTCAAAACATATTTTCATCCTCAATTTATGACTGTTAATTTAGGTTGAATAAGCTTGTGGTATCAGGCTGTGTCAGCAAGTGCAAACTGGTAAAAAGTTACGCAATTGAAAGTCATATAAAACCTATTGTTTGAATAAATCCTAAATCAATAATAATGCTGTTTCATATTTTAATTGTTTTCATGAAGCAAAACTCAGAGTTTAAATTAACTGGGTTAACATACTGTTGTGTTTGACTATATTAAGTGTAGACATTATAAGGATACAGAAAAAGACAGAAGATAGTAACCTTCTGTCTTCCGTCTAAAAAGGTACTGTTTCAATGTAATGGATACAACATTACAACAAGACAAGTAGCAAAAGCTAGCTTATATTTTACTGCCAATAGAAACATAAATATTTTACTGAAGTGTATATTTTCTAAATGTATTAATCAACATCACCATATTTGTTCAAATGTCATTAATTTTTGTTACCAAATAAGGGGTTGTTTTATTTACCTATATTATAAGTCAGAATATTATTTTCAGACTGTTGGCACAGAAACTACAATAGACTACACACAGTGTAAAGATGAGTATGCTCCAGACTACACCTGTGATGTACAAGTTAGCAAAAAGAGGATGCCACACTGTGTCTGTTACACAATTATTACTCTAAGTGAACCTATCTTAGGGCCTGTTACTGTATACTATGAATTGCCTGACTATGACCAAACTCGTCCGGAATATGTGACTTCTAAGTAAGTATTACACCATGTTTGAGTCCTTGAGAAACAATTTTGACAATTTCTTATTACTCAATGGTCTCAAAAAGGAATAAGTTTAAGAATTAGTATGTATGTCTACAGCATATATTCTATTATGAATTTCCACTTATTAGGTGTCTTCTACCTGGTCTTTGTAACAATTTTTGAAATGACATAGGGTATTTTTTGACGGAGTAGAGTTAGAATTTATAATAAACTAGCTGTACCTGCCACATGACGATTTCGCACATTGTGGTTCCAAAAATAAAAACCATTTTTGAAGCGTGTTATAAATCGTGTCAAAATTTGAGCTCAATCAGTGCAGAACTTTTTGAGTTTTTGAAGCGTACAAAAACCAACTTAACATTCAAATATTACTCGTAGATTGAGTATAATATGTGAGTGATATTCATTGTAGTAGGTACTATGTTATACTGTGATTCTATATACATATAAACGGCTATCTTTAACTTTGTGATATCTATTCATAAGATCAGATATTTTTATGTATACTAAATTTTGATATTCTGAAAACTTTTAGTTACAGAATGGGCACACCTTATCAAAATCATTGGATTTTTCCGAATACAATGAGGAAAGATCCAATGATTTTGAATACAATGAGGAAAGGTTAGCAATACAAAAATAAAGTACTTATCTACCTAACTGTCGCGTACACGGACTTGTACATGATCTATCGGCTATGATCAAATTATACATAAATGTAGTAAAAGTTTATTATCCACAACTTTTTTGCTATATATCATCAGTACACGTCATCAGATCTTTACCGATATTAAAGATAACCTCTCTCGAGCTTCTATTTGAAATCCATTACGATATCTACGTATCCGGTACTCAGCCATTGGGACACGAGTAATTAATGCTAGACTAGTCCACTCGCTACTTACATTATACTTACTAAAAAGGTAATGTTATGACTGTTTAAAGCAAACTGCAAAGGCCATCATTGCAATTAATTAGAGAGCCGCTTATTAAATACAGCCTTGGCCAAAAGTATTAGTTGGAACAAACTTGACCTATTTCAGTTTTTTGAGGAGCTGACAATACTCCATAGGTTAGTCTATTTCGATAGGATCCGGTGTCACAGAATCTCTGAAAAGCGTATTGTACGGATAAATTTATAGCTTGGAAAAACTCTGCGTCTCTGCCTGGGATTTCCCAGCAACTTTAGGTATGTGTGTATTGTGAGTGTTGTTATAATGAAGGACCGTTTCGTTTCTGCATAATACAACGATATCACTTGCATTATGTTAAACAAAACTCGCATTATGCGAGCATTAGTAACGAATGGATACATAAATACAAGAATGGTAAATAGAACGCTGCAATGTAAGTTTTTAAACATGTTTAGGTGTTAACAACAAAATCCTTAGACAGGTTTTTTATTGCCATATTTTACGGAACGTATTGTGCACGTGCGAAATAGTAATGTGTAATACAATGCCGATTCAATATCTATATCTGTATTGTAACCGCGTAAAGCAAAATATCGATGACGAAATGTAATAGATAACGCTTTGGTAATTTAAAAAAAAACACAAAAACCACTATCTGCCGTGCCAATCCAAAAAACTAACTTTTGAAAACGACTTTTGACCTTGAAAGCTTTGTTACAGTTTTTACCATGTTAAACCCCTAATTTCAATACAATACTTTTTAGATTATTGTCTCTTCTAAAAACACTTTAGAATAACAAAAGTGTTGATCAGGGGTACTAAACCACGTAAAGAAACTGATTGAGCGTTGTTAAGCCAAAACACTGTAAGTCGAGTTACAGTGTTTTTAATGATGATGATTTTAATGTTTGGTATAGTATTAGAAAATGTTGATAATGGATGCCAGGTCAGCACAACATAGTGCAGTAATCTGTTATATTAAATTTAATATTTGGTAGTGCCTCCGCCAAGTAGAGCAAAAAATCATTTCAAGGGTTAGTCGCACTGTTTGTTTTTCAAATTTTGACACAATTCATGTTTATTTATTTTATTTTATTTAAAACTTAATGCACATGTTGTACAAAGGCGGACTTAATGCCATTAGGCATTCTCTAATAGTCAACCTTCAGGTGATGTAGAAATATGATGCGGTAGGTGCAAAATAAAATATTAAATTTGAGATAATTAAAGTTCAGAGACATACACAATATATAAACACACATACATAAGTAAACATACATACATAAATTTAATAAAATATATAAATACTTAGTCGGTACTTACTAGCGTTCTCATTGTTCTGCCAATTCACTCCGAAAAAGATCGCGCACTTTTCTCTTGAATGCAAGGCGGTTTGTGGACATCCTGATTCCAGAGAAGAACTGACTGGACGTAGAAGGAGAAGTTGATGAAGTTGGAGGTATGAGGAGGGCATAGAAGAAGCATATTGTTGGTTGACCGAAGATTTCGGTCGTGATTGGAGTATAAGAAACGGAAGTGGGGTACAAGGTATTCAGGTAACGATGGAGAGTTGGTGAAAGAAAAGAGAGAAGTCAGTGCTCGCAAACTGCGGCGCTGACGAATTGGGAGCCATTGTAGCTGGGAACGTAAAGCAGACACGTGGTCATACTTGCGAAGATTGAAAACGAATCGAATGCAGTTATTGAGAAGACGATCTAGTTTATTGAGAACGTCTGCATTCAGGTCGAAATAACACACATCACCATAGTCGATTAAGGGAATAATTGAGGACTGCATAAGCGTAGCCTTAGTTTTAGAGGGAAGGAAGTTCTTAAAACAATATAAAGCACGGAGACACGTGGTGACTTTCTGGCTGACGTGTGTAACCTGTGCTTTCCAGTCCAGTGTCGAGTCGATATATAACCAAAGATTATTTACCACTGCACTAAAAGGTATAGTCACATTGTTGTAAACAATTGGTGGGATGACCGCTATATCCAAAGTACTTATCATTTGTTTGCTTTCCACGACGATCACTTGACATTTGGTTGGATTTATTGACAAACCAAACCTCGTTGACCTCTTTATAAAGTCCATTATGCCATTAAGTCCACTATGTCAACTCTCCTTTAAGTCTTGGTTGACTTTGTCGATGTATGTATGTCGATGTCTTTGTATTTTATGTTCAACCCTTGACTATGTGTAAGTCATCAGCGTACAGGTGATACGTACACTGAAGGTGCTGGGTTATGAGATTAATCAATATTGAGAATAATAAGGGAGATAAGAATAGAATATACCGCCTTGAGGGACGCCAGTGAGAAGATCATACCAACTCGACGACAAGTCATCAAAATCAATCAAAGCCAGCACTGTGACTCTAGTGTCCTCCATACTCTCCCTAATATCGCCTGTCACTTTGAGGAGAGCGGTGGTAGTGCTGAGACCGGGTCTGAACCCAGATTGTAAAGGACTAAAAAGATTCTGCTGTTTTATAAACTGTGAGAGCTGCTTATGTAGGCCTCTAGCACTTTAGAAAGAAAGAGAAGTATAGAAATTGGTCGAAAGTGTTCGGGGAGAGAGGGGTTAGTTTTTTTGGGTAAAGGGATGATGAAGGCCTTACGTCAGAGGGAAAGGTTGCAGAGTCGAGTGAAAAGTTGATGATATGAGATATTGCTGTAAGAACGTGATCCAGGATAGTAACAATCATGCGACGGCTGATACCGTCACATCCCACAGCATTGGAACGAATGGATAGGATAATCTTTTTGATGTCCTCAGAAAATACCGGAAAGTCAAAGGATTCAATATCAGGATGAGTTAGACTAGCTATATAGCTCAAGGTTTGACACTTGGTTTGATGATCCAGCTGAGGTGTAGCTGAGCCTATAAAGAAAGGAAAACCTTGAACATGCCGTAATTTCAGTCCCGTTTTCTATATATCTAATCTGCATAAGTTCAACTGCATAACTGCATCCAAGTTACGTTTGCAGTTCATGAGATAAAGCGTCACTTGCACTAAATGAAAAAAAAAAAAAATAGATAAACAGTGAATATAGCTATGTTGTAAGAGACGATTGAGCGTTCATTTAATTTTATTCTATTTATTTCAGAAATAAAGGTGTCCAATACTAATATGGTTACTATAAAATGTTGTTAGATAGTTAATTAATGACGTTCTGAGGTAGTAAAGTTGACTTGCATTTTTATACATGTAGTTTTTGATGAAATTGTCTGTTAAAATACTAAATATTGGTTCTTCATACACATGCTTGAAATAATTATGTCTGTTTAATTGAAATCAGGGATGACGAGCAGCTCGCTGGGAATCTGTCATCAGTTATTTCGCCAAATTGTGGAAATAATTCGTACGCGGATACTGAGGGCAAGAAACCAATCGCTCCATGTGGAGAAATAGCTGATTCTATGTTCAAAGGTAAATTTCGTTTTATGTAAATTAAAAGTACGAGTACAAATATTAACATTTAATATCTATTATAATGCACATTCCATGCAGGTTGCCTATTCTATTAATACTCTCATCCTTTTCACTATTGTTCATCTACCAGATCATTTACTAGAATTAATGTTTAACAAAAGTAATTAGATTAATTAAAATTAAAATAATATTGAGTATAACTTATTGATCTGAAATCTCGAACGAAATTTTACAATAAACTGATGATACTGGACATATTCCTGTTACATAATAGAAACGTAAAAATAAAAGAATAATAAATTAAATAATTTGGCCGATTAACAAATCGGCCAAATTATTTAATTTATATTCTAATTATTTTTTTTATAATTATAATTATTATTTATATTCCAATTCTTACTTTTTAAGTTAGATAAAAATCTAACCTAAAAAGTAATATATTGTATGTTTATTAAGCTAGATCAAAATCTAACTTAAATAGTAAGACTTCACGAATAAAAGTAATTGCAAAAATATCCTTGTTTCACCGGATTTATTATAATCTGAAAATTACATGTAATTTTACAGACCAATATACCCTATTTTACAACGGCAGTATTGTACCGTCGTTCAACACAGGATTGAATGGCATTACCGAGGAGGACAAGAAAAAATACCGAAATCCACCCAATGGTGATCTGCAAGCAGGTTGGTGGTTCTCGTATCTCTTGTTTTTCAAACTATAAAAAAATCTAAGTTTTCACATACGAGTATTATCTAACTAATCGAGACTAGCATACTTTTTTCACGTGTGAAACCCCAAGGGCCGTCAACCCACCGGGATTTTCGGCAGGGCGGTGTGTGGGAATCGAATCGAACTAAAACCACACGGTGTGCCACTCCGCGCCTGAGATAGGAGGAGTCCGGGAACAGCTGATATAGGGATATCCGGACCCCTCCCAGCGCCTGCCCGCAACAGCGCAAGCACCAAGTTCGTAATTCTCTATTTATCGACGTATGTACGCCACACGCAGACGTCGCCTCCTCGCGGCTGGTACTATTGTGGATGGAGGGGAAAACCCGTCCCCGTTCACCCGCTGACACACTAAGGGTGGCATAAGGCACTGGAAAGCACGCCTCCTCCACCCGGTTCGCCGGCACCGAATTGGGTCCGAGTGAAGGATATCCCCTCGGGCCCGCTCCGCAGCCTCCTTCTCCGTAATGACGTCTTCGCAGAAGGTTGAGACCGCGGTGAAACAACTGTCACTACCGTCCATAGAGCGTATGACGGCCAGTAGCGAGAGCCGAAATTTTTGTTTATACTGTATCGGTTGTGAACCGTCACAACCCTATTTTTAAGTTAACACCATGTTTTGAATTTCTTCTTCTGAGCACGTTGCCTAAACTTCTATTAAATATTTAGATAGTCGCTTGCAGTGTGGTCAAGTAGTGTTTGAAGTCGAACTTCTGAGCAGGTTTCAAGTCTGGTGCTACAAATATGGCCAATGCCTCTTTAGGTGTATGTTTTTTACTAATGTTTGCTTACAGGCTGAAGTTATTACTTTGCGAACTTTTATGCCTAGAGTTATTTTTGATGCATCAAAGTATGTTGTAGTAATCTAAAGTATGTTGACTCATTTTAGCTGCAAATGTCAACTCTTCGACAGGGACCTCCTCCCACAGGTCTTTTGTTTTCCCCCGCTTACAGCGCTCACTTAGCTCTCTAACATTTTTAATGCTGTCCTAGTTTTTATAGAACTTGCAGGAAATTCAATCAGGGACATAACTTATTGTTCATTGTTTTTCAAAGAGCGCTTATGTCTATAACTAGCAGCAGTTCATCTTTTCTTCAAATCACTCTTAAAACACCTAAGGCTCAGCTGAATTTAGATTAGAGAATTTATCCTTCATCCGGACATTTAGTTGCTTCAACAAGCTTTTCTTCCAGTAACAAATATTTCTCACACATTTTCGTGCATTTAAATTCATTGAGCATACCAAACAATGCTCTTATAAATTGCTTAATAGTTTCTGAAGAATCTACAACGAAATTATTATAATACAGCCTTGGCCAAAAGAAATAGGCACCCCAGAAAAATGCACAATTCATGTTTACTGATTGAACAACGAATGACTTATCTTAGATGGCATGCCGGGGTCACAAATAACTTCCTAGAAAAGCAAGCAGCTATCTGTTATGGTCATAAAACACCTGGTGACTGAAAACAAAAAAATTTGTTTTTATGCGTTTTTATCAGTCAATGTTTGGTCACTTGTGTTCAGGACTCTAACGGGTAAACAAGATTTTATTTCTAACATAGTGATTAAATTGACACGTAATTTATTTAAAAATGCCGAAAAGAAGTGAAATTAGTTTGGAAAACCGAGTAAAAATACAACTTTCCATGAACAAGGGAAGTCGCAAAAAGAAATTGCTAAGTTAGTGAAATGTTCGCGTTGCGCTGTGCAATCTGCTATCAAACGGTTTGCTGAGACTGGCAGTCACGCTAATAAACCAAGAACAGGCAGAAAACGTGTGACTTCGAAGCGCGAGGATAGAAAATTAATACGCCAATCTATTAAAAGATCGGAAGAAAATATCATCAGAGTTTGCTGCTACATTGTCCGAAGAGGCTGGAAAGCCAATAAGTGCTCGGACCACCAGAAGAAGACTTGGAGAAGCAGGCTTAAAAGAATGCAAAGCCAGGAAGAAGCCCTGGCTTTCAGAAGCTAACAAAAGAAAACGGCTTGAATGGGCTCTACGGCATCTAAACTCTTTTGTTTGAGAATTTTAAGGCAAATTAAACACCTGAATAACAGTTAAACTGATATAGTTGTTAAACACATATGTAGATAAATAGTAAATCTATATATTTATATATTAAAATGCCGTACATACCTTTGTCTGCCATATTCAATTGCTTTATTTTGTATAGTCTACATCCCAAACGCACAATATCACTAGAAACAAATACTACAAATGAAAGTGTCGAGAACACAAGACGTGCGACTTTGACAATGACTAAGTTCCGAGTGGCACACGACTAGAAGGAATAGAGAGATTTTTTGTGACTTTCATTCAATGCAACGGTTATGTAGCTTATTTAGCGTTATATTGCATAGGACATAAGACGATTAATAGAATTACGACTTTTGACCAGTTTTATCAGGTAAAACTACGAGTATAGTTAGGTAAATATATAATTCGGCGAGCACTTCCGCCTCCAAATCAAAACGCGCGGAGTTCCAGCCAACTCGCACGCGGGATTTTGACTAAAGTCATAGATCAACACACACAATAGCAACAATCTGCTTTGTCAAATATCTAGCAAAATAAATGTATCACATCATCAAAAATTCATTAAATGTGTTGTTACAGTTATAAAATAACTGAAAATAATTTAGTGGTCTTATCGCTAACTATACTAAAATAACATTTACAAACACATACGTACACACATATTATTTAGAACTACACACATCAAAAAAGTCTAAGCAACTTGCACGGTTTTGAACTTTTGAACGGTTTTCACCATTGTAATATATTTATATAATTCTTTCATAAATAATAACTAAGCATTCTTTGACGCATTAGTGACTAAAGCAACAAAATCCCCCATTCAATTGTTCATTTATTTACAATAATTAACAATATGTGTACCGTAACTACGTATGTAGTATAAAGCTAAAGCGAAATTAACCTTTTCATGTTTTACAAAATTAAATAATGTCATTTTTTAAATTATTTGGTAATTCAATACAAAGTGTGACCGCCTGTTTAAACTTGTCGGCATCGATTTTTCATTGAATTCATAAGATTGTTTATCTGATCCTGCAGGAATCGCTCGCAATGGTATTTTAACAAGTCAGTTAACAAGTTCAGTTGCTCGGTTGTCGACACTCCGTCTAGGTTCTCTAGAGTACGTCTCTGGAGTATGTCCCATGAGTGCTCGATAGGATTGAGGTTTGGCGATTGTGCAATACTCGGATGTTTTCCATTGCCAAGTACTCTCTGGTCCGCTCGAAGGACGCGAACACGTATTGTCATGTATCAGCGTGAAATCTGAGCCAAGACTTTGTGTTAAAGGGTATAGGGCCCGGGGACATCTTCGACGTAAGTTTCAACGTTCATAGCAATCCAGCCATCCAGAACTGTTCGTCTGTTCTTCATAACAAGCGCCCATACCATTACTGTGGAGCAACTGTTAGGGTGCACTTCGGATGCATTTCAGCTGTTCAGCATTTACGGGACGACGATACATTCTTACCCTTCTCGTATCAGGCCTAAATCAATACCTCTCGGGACTTTTCGCAAAATAAAATTTTGTCCCATTGCTTCTGGGTCCATGTCAATTGTTCCCTAAAAAAATTGGTTTAGACGGGCGCGATTCCCATGGCGCATAGGTGGGCCTGTTTGCTTGTGTGCTCGTAGGCCATAATCATGCAGTCTATTTCTCACGGTTTGGTAGCTAACAACAACACCGCTTGAGGATTGTAGCTTTAAACCTATGTAACATCGTTAACATCGGTTGATATCTTGCAGTCAGTTGTATGTATCGGTCCTGTCGAGCAGTTCTATTCCTTCCACGTTCTGGGTGCTGCTCAGCAGGATACCCTGTACTTACATAACGCTGCCAAATATGACAAATCATGCTCCTATTGATACCAAAATAGAACTGATATAAAAAAATATATATATAATGAATTATGAATTTCTTCCCGCTTGTAGAATTCCTACAGCACTCTGCATTTCATCAGTCTCACCAAAAAAAAAACAAAGCTGTATATCTCAAAATGATAAAAGTGAGATAAATACCTATTTTTAAAATCAGTCAGTATATGTTTCCAAGAACAAAATATAGGGTAAGTATACCAATCTACTTTGCTAAGAAACAAATAAAATATGAAAGAAAAAAATAAAATAACATGCAGTTTCTGTAAAAGATGCCTGTTTCTTAGAATTTTGAGGACGTGTACAATGATTTATTATTTACATAGTATTCAAAGGGAAAACGATCAGTCTCATTCAATTTTAAAACAAATCTAATTAAAAACATCATTCCAAAATGCAAGGTTGTGGTGCTTAGCGCGCTAATGTCAGCAAAAGGTGCACGTAGGGAGGGGGGGGGGGGGGAGAGTTTAAAAAATCGTGCTAAAAATAGGGTGGGGGGGACACAATTATTTTTGACATATGTTTTAATTATTGATTTTTGTCTTATTTTCTGCAAAAACGCTTGGGGTCGATTTGGCTTCCCCCAAGGCCTGGCTTGCCGCGGCGTCGATCCGAGGGGACCTGCAATAACATGGTCGGGGTCCTCCACAGAGTAGCCTGAGTCCGGCCGTCGGGGTGGTTTTAACACCACATACTTCTGGCTCCTGCATCCCGGAGAAGCCGGAGATCCTCCACCCCGTTAATAAAAAAAGTCATGTTCAACACATAAACAAAAGACTTTTGCAGTCGCATTAAAAGGAGATCAAACAATTTGCAACTTACTTAATAGGGCAATGGCGGGATAGAAGCAGTAGCTCTTGTTCATTCAAATCCGTGTTCGCGAGCATTAGTTTAGTTTTTACTCTAAAGAATATGTCGGAGGTCACACACGTTAATAACCCTCTATTAGTGATTTATTTATTAATATTTTATGCACAAATGTGACAATCTGAGGGCGATGCATGCTAAAACAAGTGATGTGTTGGAATAAGTATTGTCCTTGTTTAAACTGTTTTTCTTTATATGGTTTTGAAGCTTTGAACTTGATGTCAGGTATAAATTTTACAGGTTGCATTATGATATTTTTAAACAAATGAATTTAGCTTCTATTATAGTCATAACAGGCATGTATTTTGATTATTATCAGCGCCGACTCTCCAATATACAATGGCAGATACTCCTAGCAGCATCGAAAGTCGATGTTAATGATTGATGGTTAGTGATAAAAAGAATACAAATTGTCATCACCCCAATTCATCCCGTGGGTGTCGTAAGAGCCGACTAAGGGAGCAAACTAAGAAGGACAACAGCACTGCAAAGAGAAGGAAAACTTGAAACAAACCCTATACCAACCCGTCTGGCCAGCGTGGTATAGTAGGCCAAAACCTCCTTTCTAAGGAGAGGCCTATGTCCAGCAGTGGACTAGTATAGGCTGTTGATGATAAAAAGAAAGAAACTAATCATAAATAAACACTTATATTTCTACTACATAGGTCTACTAAACATTAAAAATGTTTCTCTAATGGGACTTGATAAAGTAAGAGAAATATAAACTTGAAAAAAAATATTCAAAAAAAGTCGGGTATAAAAATAATGCGATGTATTTTATAACAATACTAGCTGACCCGGCAAACGTTGTATTGCAAAACAAAAAAAAAATAGGTATGGGTCACCCTTACCATTTCGGGGTATGAAAAATAGATGTTGGCCGATTCTCAGACCTACCCGATGTGCACACAAAATTTCATGAGAATCGGTCAAGCCGTTTCGGAGGAGTACGGGAACGAACATTGTGACACGAGAATTTTATATATAACAATATAAGGGCGCAAAAAAATGATTATATTAACTATCAAATATAATATTAATGTCATTATTAAACAGATTGTTAATAAATGAAACCTTTTTGCTATACTTATGTTTCTTTACTGGCAGTTAATTAACTATTGCCGCTAAACTGTAATTATATTCCAAAACAACAGTTGTATTCCGGGTACAGTGCATTTTTGTAATAATAAATTGTATTCGTTACATAAATTGAGTATGATTCAAAATATTTACTTTTATATTGCAGCATTTAAAGATTTCGAGAAACCGAAAAGCTGGGAAAAAAAAGTGACGCTACTTGACCCATTAGATCCAAACAACAATGCCTTTCAGGTAATAATAAAATATTACAGAATAGTATACTTACTGCATATTATCATATATGTAGGTGTATATGAGGCCTGATTTAACTTATTTTTTTTACGAAGCATATAATATTGCAATTCAACTTGCAAGTCATTTTATCATAAAAAATATGAAGACTTTAATTTTTATTATTTTTTAAAATTTGGTCTGTTACATAAAAAAATATTGTTCTTAATATGTATGGAAAATCGAAATGAAGTATTATTTTATTTTTAGTTAGTTTAATATAATTGGCAACGCCTAAAGTACACTTTGTTTACAGAATGAAAGATTCATAGCTTGGATGAAGACAGATATGAAACGAAAGCCGGCTTTTCGAATTAATCAAACGGGGATATTTGAAGATGGTCTGTTTGCAGGCAGCTATAAGTTTCGTGTCATATATCGTAAGTAGTCATTGTAAACCTAATATATAGAAGTGGAGAATAGCGAAGAGTGATTCTATCTTTAATAATAAGAATATAATCATTCTCCGCTATTCTCCACTTCTTTAGCGGTTTCAAGTGACATAATGACAACGTGATATTAAAATCGATTACATTTTATGAAATTTATAACATGACTTTTGTTGTTTCAGTACCTTCGAACTACATAACCGGGCCACGAATAGCAGTAATAAGCTCTATGCATACCGTTGTCAATAACGGCCAACTAATCACGGGCATACTACTAATGCTTATAGGTATATGCTCCCTGGGCATAGTCGCTTATTACAAACTAGTTAACAGATCTTATGTCCCGTGCAAAACACAACCGGCGGAATGAGAACAAAAGCTTATCAAATGTATGTATGTCACTTGGCAAGCTACAGATATCATAGACTTCTTTAAATTCTAATAGACCTTAGTTCCTAAGATTTATTATATTTGCTTAGTCGCTAAGCAATTAGACTTGGCGACACTCAGGAAATTCCTACCTGTGTGTCGCCAAGTCTTTATTGTTAATAGACACGAAGGATACTCAGTCTCAGAATATTTTTGCACGAATTGTCGATGTCACTCGGAATAATTTTCTACTAATTTTCTCATGTATGAAACTCATATGTTATATGCTTGCAGCAGTTATACAGTTTCAAATGTATTGTTTAATGTTAATAGAAGATTTTGTGTCGCACCAAAAATGACACTTGACTGACACATGAAGGTCTGGTCAAACAGATACGTCCATCCGTGTATGCAGAACGATCACATACCAATATTCCAGTCAGTCTTTCTCTCTTCTCAGATCTAATGTTAATTTGTCTTTTCACTAGTCTATACAGCATTTAGCCCGTTTCTCCGGGTTGAATAGGATCGACCGGCCTGTTAGTCTACTGGGTGTGACTGTGACCGTTAAGCCGGAGGTCGTGGGTTCGATTCCCACCCAGGACAAATAATTGTGTGATGAGTACCATCATTTTTTCTGCGTCTGGGTGGGAATTTATCTATAATGTGAATATTTATAGAAATATTTAAGTATGTTTATCAGCAGTCTGGTGGCTCTGCCTAGTTTGGGATCAGACTGCTTAGTGTGAGATGTGTGAAGTTGTAAAAATGCTGCATAGACTAGTGAAAAGTGTGTAGTGTATCACAGCATAAATTAGGTAGTTACCCCCATCGTCGATTAAATCGATATCAATGTTTATTGATTTTGCAAACAAGTGGTATACATTAATATATCTATATAGATCTTAATCTAGTCTTTATTGTTTAGTCTAGTGTTTTGTAATATTGCATGGCAATGTGTTCAGCACTAATGTTTTTATATCATTGTATGGTTTATTTACAGTAATAGGTTGTAATTATTCTTTGCACGTACCCCTGTTTAAACAAATATGGCGCACAAAAGAATATCGTATTTGGAATACTTAATATTTATACGTAGAAGTTCAAACATTAAAACAGTTTTGGATTGCAATAATACCTGTCGCATACCACATCATTTTTTTCTTAACATATTATATTTACTTAAAAAAAAAGTGTAATCATAAAATAACATTTTGCCGTCGAGGCTTAAAAATAGCAGTAAGTTGTACCAAATAATGTTAGAAGCTAAAGTTTTTATACAACCTTGTTCATTTATTTATCAAGGATTTTTTCAGATGCTACATGTTTTTTAAATTTGTCTATAAGAAGTTAAAAATATAATAGACGTTCTATAATATAATAATATGTATAACAATCGCTTTACCAAACTTTTTGTTTATTATAGAAAGCTTATAATCATATTTTCAAAAGTACATATTGGTCCAAAACTATAAAATATTTATTATATTAAAAATTTAGACAACTTTTTTAAACATCATCACTGTGAGTCGATTCGGTAAGTTAGCCTATTTGGCCAAGATATTGCGTAATTTACACACCCAAAACAGTCGAAATCGGAACTTTTTTGAAGTCGCTGATGTTCTTCTAGTAATTCTGCATCGTCTCCAGCATACGAGTTGTAAAGATTACTTAATTACTATATTAGAGTAATCATTCAGTCATCAGTTCCACTTCACCAAATGGGGCTCCATTTGGTGAAGTGGAACTGATAGCAAATGCACTAGTTACTATATCGCTAATCGAATCGAAATCGCTACCGGTATACGTAATATGTCAAGAGCTTCCTTGATTTCTCTAGAATGTCATATGCTGAGGCAGAAAGTAAATCCTTTAAATTGAAAAATAATTTTCACAGATACGCAAAACATAAAATATTGTAATGAATTGAAGACCTTAATTTGAAGTCTGTTAAGATCATCCATCAGAAACCGACACTCAAATTGTAGACTGAGTTTTGCATTTGTTTATAATATTTAACATAACATAGTTTTACATGTTGTTAATCACTCTAGTTTTTCATAGCTGAACTGTGAATCTTTATCGAATATTGAATTGTGAGTTAAATACGTTCTAGGAAATATTGATAATTAAAACGACACAGTGTACTACGACATGATACTACTTATATCTTTGAAAGGATTGATACGTCATGTCAGCGACACACGCAACTTTTTCAAGTTACCAGGGCCTCAATTCTGCTATTATGTGTCAGCCACTGTTATTCCATTGACACGCTATTGAGATGCCATTAAGATGCCAATGATATGGGTATTCTACTAACAAAAATTCACAGTTTCAATAGACTGTCGAGACTATATCGACAGTCTATTGAAACAGTGAATTTTTATCTATATATAGAATATAGGTTATCAATGGAGATATTAACAATATTGCCATATCATGAAAATAAAAAATATCATTTTCTTTGTTATCTTAGTTTCTATCGTTTACCAAACTATTACAAAGACATCGAGGACATTTGTATCAGTGACAAGTCATCGGGAGGCCATGGGTCTTACATAGTTAGTAGAATAAGAAGTGCAAAACTATTCCGACGACATTCCATCGACTACAATATTAAAATAGCAGAGTTGAGGCCCTGATGTCATGACCATGGAGGTTAGAGAGAAGGAGAACGATCGTCGAACATATTGTCCCAGAAATATGGACAAAATAAGTGAGGCGCTGCGATCGCTAAGTTGTCTCAATAAAAGCGGGCTGTTGTGCGCTGATTTGAAATGATTTATCAATGTTTAATATACGTGTATAATATCATTCAAAGAAAAAAAAACGAAAAAATTATTAATTAATATTATTATTATTTATTAATAAATAAATTATAAATTATGTTTTTTAATGTTTCTTTTGGTCAAAAATTAAAAAAATTACGGAGCACGATTATTTTCTCACCAATGCCGCGAAGAAAATTTGTACATTATTCAACTACCTTCATCTACTTGTACTCATAAACAGCTAACTTCACAGATACTACTTACCGACGGCAACGCGGCTGGTGGCTGAAAAATGAACTATAAATTCTACAAGTTTTCCGGGACAGGCGGGCTAATGCTTTAGCATAGCGATCGTTCTCCTTCTCTCTAACCTCCATGGTTCACATTCAATTTATGATAAATGTTGTTTTTTTTTATTACAATTTGAACCTTCTTTCTTGGATAGTTTTAATCTTGTAAGCTAATATTTTTCCGACCGATGCCTTTGGGATCGGAGATAGTGTCTAAGTATGTCTTCCAAGTAGAGCTCTATTTTTGAGACTGGTGGACATTTGTTATTAGAGACAACAGCAAGAAATCTGAAGATTTATTCTGATATTAGAAGACATGGTACCCAAGACTGGAACCGTGTCTGAGGGTTCATGAGTCACCCGTCTTTTGCAGCCGTTGTTTATAGGGGGACCCAAAAGTCTAAAAGAACGTTTCTTTTTTGGAAACAACTGTTGACGGATTTCCTCTGTAGCGAACTTGTGACAACGCGGAGTAAATTATACAAAGCAAGTATTGGACATCTCCGCAAATCGAAGACTTTCCTGACATTAATGATAGTCAAATCGCCGTAAACTTAACCCTCCCGATCGGGAGGGGGTTTACGCTATCAACCAATTAGATATACTTCGTAATATGACATAACTGACTAAATCTATGAATGTATAAACTGTAATTGATTGATGATATTTTGTTTAATTAATAAGTTTATAACAAATAAATATCTTCAATAACAAAATTAAGTCGTACAACTTTAAAGTCGTTGCTGGAACAATCCTGCAGATTAATTAGGTATAAGTTCTTGATCACTAGCTAAATCGAATTGGATTTTCCGTACCCAGTCTTCCGATAACTCTTTTGGTTCCCCCTAGAATCTTTTTCCAGTCTTCTGGCGTTACTCTACACAAGCTTTATTTATCAATGTTAACATTTTAATTGCTATGAATGGCGGCGCCATATTGTGTTTTTTATTGTATTATATTAAATAAAAACTTGAAAAAAATTATTGCACAATATGCTATTTACTTCAAAACACTTACTTTTAGTGACACATATATTTCCATAATTCACAAGGGTATGGTATTGCGACGAGTTGAGAGAGATATATATATGAACAGTTTACTACAATGCAAAAAAAAAATACAGACCTTTGATTTGGCCCATATAAGGATAAGATTTAAGCCAACGGTAAAGAAACACAAAAAACCAAAAATATAATTAGTTATCGATTATTGTATGAAAATCTCATCATTCCTTCGGATTCATCTCATTCCTAATTTTTGACGTGATAACTTCTTATGGGAGGGTAAACCGCGTCGTTACGTAACGCGTTATGGCGCCAGTCTGTCTCCCTCCCTTTCTCTCACGCATACGGCAGCGGTAGGCAGGCTCCTCCTCTCACTCTTACCCACAGCGCTAGCCATATTTCGGACATACGCTTTACATAAAATTTAAGTAATAACTTAAGCTTTTCTCAAGTTAAAGAATATCAATATATTTTATATATATAATGTACAACTCACACACGGCCGTCTGATCCCAAACTAGGCAGAGCCTGTACTATGGTAACCAGACTGCTGATAAACATACTTATATATTTCTAAATACATACATATTATAGATAAATTACACACAGACACGGAACAAATGGCCATGCTCATGACACAATACTTGTCCTGGGTGGAAATCAAACCCACTACCCCTACTACTAACTATATTAAATAGTTCAACTTAAATTATTTTAAGTTATCATTTCTGTCGGGCATCCCGCGACGCACACGTTTTTGTAGCATTGGCATAACCTTTTAGGAGCGTAGGTAATCATAAATTTATTAATAATTTTAATGTGTACAAGAATAAGTTTAATGTTTCTATTTTACTCAAGAACTAGGTAGTAATTGTTAATAAAATATATTTAGCCTTAGTGAGTTTTGACAGCGAAAATCGAGATTCCTGGTGTTGTGAAACGAAAGTGTAATTAAGACGTAGAACACTGGGACCCGTTCATACACGTAGGAACATAATGCTTCATGCTCGATTTTCAAAATTAGGATATTTTAATACACAAACTATGTAAGGGTAGACTTAAGAATGTATCACAACCATTGTATAAATACTGGATCAGTAACTGCTATCTGTTGTCCAGTGGATCAGCTCTTAAGTTTACCATATTCGCAAATCAATAATTATCAGATAACGTAGTTACGATAATAAATGTTGTAATAGTCAACAAACTCACGTAACTACGTGAGTTTGTTGACTATTACAACATTTATTTTTATGAGTAATCATCATATTTTATTGAAGTGCATCATATAGCTGCAACTAGGCAAGGTCTGGTTGTTCTAATTTTTTTTATGAACCTCTTATCGTCCACGAAAGGAAGGATTCTTCAATGGTAGTCTCCTATTTAAGTCTAAAAGCAAATCAGGTGACTATCGTGACGACATAAATTTCCAAAACTTCAAAAAATGAACAAAGGAAAAGCTAGTACCGAACCTACCACCACATTCAACGGTAGTTTTAGAAAACGCATCGTAAATACCATAACGTTGAGGTTGACTAAAAGCCTGTCAAATCAGCATTTGTATATGTATATGGATGTACATGTGTGTGGCTGCGCCCACCACGTTCTGTCCCGACAATAAATCAGTGTGCATCTATCAAGCATTCGTTTCACTCGCTCCCTAGCTGTCATCGAGCTGTGTCGAGCTAACGGAGTCGTTGAGAAGCGCTCGAATGGGGGCGGGGGCAGCCAGAACACCTGTTCAAGCTTGAACCACTAACATCGAAAAGAGCGGTATTCGGTAGAAAAATGTTCAGTGTGCGGTCGGTCAAGTCATGCGTCCTCTCATTGTCGGTTCGCGAGTTATACGTGTAAGAAGTGTAACGTACATACTCTTTGAAGGTGACCTTGCTCACCTTCAAAGAGTATGTAAAAAATTGAATTACACCGAGACGGTCAATGAGGGTGATGACGGTAAGATATTAAAAATATCATGTGTAAACGGCGAACCCATGTTTGAAACGGTGACAATTTTGGGGGTACAATTGAAATTTGAAATTGATAGCGGTTCCGCGGTTACGGTTATATCGAGTGCTATGTACCTATAATAGATTATTTTCAAAAAAATCTGTTATACATAGCACTCGCTATAACCGTAACCGGAGGAACCGCCAACAATTTTCAAAAATTAATTTATCCATGGCTTATAATCAATTTGTTTTGGACGAGGATTCTCAAAAATTAATTTGCATTAACACTCATCGCGGCCTTTATAAATATACGCGCATGGTGTTCTTGCTTACTAACGCTCCATCTATTTTTCAGAAAGCAATGGAAGGTATTCTATCAAATATGGAGGGTGTGCTTTGTGTGCTTGATAATTTGCTCGTCACAGGACCTACAAGGGACGTTCACCTACAAAGACTTACTGCTGTGCTCGAACGATTACAAAGTGCAGGGTTGGTTTTGCAAAAGGATAAATGTGAATTCTTTAAAATGAAATTAGTTATCTCGGTTACACAATCGATAAGCATGGTCTTAAAAAGTCTCCCGAAAAGGTTAAAGCGATAGTGGAGGCTCCAGTACCCACAAATGTCAACAAGTTACGGTCATTCTTAGGGTTGGTAAATTATTATAGAAATTTTGTTAAAAATGCTTCAAGTATATTAAGTCCCTTTGTTAAAGAAAGGGGTTAAATGGAACTGGAGCGCATTACACGATAAATCATTTAATCAAATTAAGCAAATATTGTCTTCGGAACAAGTTCTTGCACATTTAAATCCTAATGCTAAATTAATCCTCACTGTTTATGCGTCCCCCACGGGGTTGGGCGCTGTGCTGGCACAGGTTGAAGTTGATGGGTCGGAACGTCCCATATCGTTTGCATCTCGTAGTCTCAACGCGGCCGAGAAAAATTACGCACAAATATAGAAGGAAGCCACTGCTATTATTTTTGGGGTAAGGCGCTTTCACCAATATTTGTATGCGCGATCTGATCCTTTTATTTTACGCACAGATTATAAACCCCTAATCTCTATTTTTGGTCCATATAAAGGCATTCCTGAAGAATCGGCGAACAGGCTCCAACGATACGCGTTATTTCTTAGCGCGTATAATTATACGATAGAATATGTACGTATTATTGATAATTGTGCAGATTATTACATTAAGAGAATTATGCCAAGAAATTAAGAATGATAATGTCATAAGAAGCGTAATTAAATATATCCTAAGTGGATGGCATAAACGCATTTCAGATGAACGATTGCAGCCATATTTTCACTCTCAGTTACAACTATCGTATGAAAATGGGTGTCTTGAGAGGACATAAAATAGTGTTGCTTGAAAAGTTACGCATGAAAGTTATGTCGGAGTTACACACTTTTCACTTAGGGATAGTGAAAACAATAGATAGATAGATAGTGATAAACTCCTGCAGTGTTTGCATGCAATTACGGCCCTCTCCGTCCCGCGCCCCTCTTTCTCCGTGGATAGACTTTTTATGCCCTATTAATAGGAATATGTATTTAATAATAGTAGATGCGCATTCTAAATGGGTAGAAGTTTATAACATGAAGACAGCGTCGACCTCTTTAGCCGTAATTGATAAGATGTATGATTCTATGTCGCGATTTGGATTACCAGAAACAATTGTAAGTGATAATGGTACACCATTCATATCTCAAGAATTCAACCAATTTTGTTCGTCTAACGGTATTGTACACATGACCTCACCAACTTACCACCCCGCTAGTAACGGTCAAGCGGAGAGTTATGTTAAAATCGTAAAAAAGGGTATTAAGTCATGTATATTATCAGACAATAATACTCGGCAAGCGAAATTGAATCTGTTAAAGTATCTTTTTGATTATAGGAACTCCATTCATGGTACCACTGAATGGTCACCCGCTCAATTAGTGTTTGGTCATAACTTAAGATCACGTTTAGATATTATAATCAACCCTAAATTGCCTCCTTCGTCACACTCATCAGACCGTATTCGTAACGTTGTGAAAAAAAACAGTGTTTATAGGTTAAGTCATATGGTGGTAAAAACAAACAAACCTTTTCAATAGGAAATAAGGTTTTATATAAGAACATAATTAATAATACATGTGTTTGGAACAAAGGTATTATTCTAGAACGAATAGGCACGGTTATGTATTTAGTTCAAGATATTTATTCTCTTTTTAATGTAAGGAAGCATAAAAACCAAATAATTTTGTATAAGGGTTTATCTACTGAGTTTGATAATATACCGTGGGATGGCGACAGCAACGCGGAAGGGTTATTACAGAGAGAAAAAGAAAACATCTCGATCGATGTAACGGCACCTGGTTCGGATAGTGAGGATGACGTGATAAGGGAAGGTGGAAGCCAAGTGGAACCACAACCACTAACGGTTGGATCTGCCGGCAGTTCATCGATGATAACTCGGCGAGTCGACTCGGCTCGACCGGTAACATCGCCTACTCCAGGTGAATCTGATGAGGAGCGGATTATGGAGGCAGAGTCAGGCAGCCAGAACGAGCCAGCCGAAGAGCCTACATTCCGTTCAAAGGAATAACCCCTTATCGCGTATGCTGTTGCGGAAAATCCCACGCATTGACTATAAAGGGTTTTTGTAAACATCATATGAGGGAGGAATGTTGTATATGTATATGGATGTACATGTGTCTGGCTGCGCCCACCACGTTCTGTCCTGACAATAAATCAGTGTGCATCTAGCAAGCATTCGTTTCACTCGCTCCCTAGCTGTCATACATAACAGAAACAAACAATTCTTGATTGACTACAAAGGCATAATATTGACTGTACTGTGTCGTCCAGTCCGCGCATATCGAAAAATTGTGATTGATGAAATTAAAAAAGACACGGTCACAAAGTATTGTGTCTGCCGCCATATCACGCGGACTTGAATCCTATAGAGTTGGTATGGGGTCACTAAAAGGTCAATTGGCGTCAACAGATCTTACCACCAATTCGACGCAAAAGTGGGAAAAGTGGAACAAATATTCCCCGCTTACACACAAGCCTAATGGGACCAATGTATTGAACATGTTATTAAAGTGAAAAATGAATATATCCAAACAGATAATCTAATAGACCAAAACTATGCCGACACGTATCGACCGTTTGTTTTAAATTATCGGAAGACACCAATCTTCGTCAGAACGAAGAACGTTAGAGTCACGAAGAAAATTCGGCTTGATTTTCATTTTTTTTTTATAAACGTTTCCTTTGGTTTTTTATTTTAAGTTACTTGGTTAGTAGAAGTTCTCTATTGTCCGTGTGGTGACGGACTAAAAATACTAATAGACTGTCACCACCCTCATTCATCCCGTGGTTGTCGTAAGAGCCGCCTAAGGAAGCAAACTACGCAGGACCATAGCACTGCAAAGTGAAGGAAAACTTGAAACAAACTATACCAACTCGTCTGGCCAGCGTCGTATATTCGGCCAAAACCTTCTTTCTAAGGTAAGGCCTATGTCCTGCAGTGAAATATTAAAACACCGGAAGTAGCTTGATTCTACTGCAATACACATCGATTTTAACAAAACTTTGGGTCTCGCTGAAAGGTTTGAACGTGCTTAAAAGGGTAAAGAGTTATCAAAAGAAAAACGATGTTGCTGAAAAATTTGGTCTACCAATGAGTACTCTGTCAACAATATTGAAACGCGAATGAAACATCTTGAACAAAATTGAAAATGGTCAAAGAAAACATCTAAACCTTAACAAGTCAAAAACTCTATAACTCGAATTATTTGGCGTCTCTTTGAAGTTCAGCTTACTGAGGTTCTACTGTTTAAAGTTCTTATAAAGAATATTTATTATTTTACTTTATTTTTAAATTGTATCTGAATATAATAGACCTGATAAAGATAAGGTGATTTTATTAGAATTATTAAATGTATTAAATTTTTATAATTAATCATAAAAAAAACTTACAATACTGAAATTATAATACATGGAAGTAAATTACATTTTTATAACATCGTGTGTAGACAAACAAAACAAATAAATCCAAAGATATAGAGTTATAGGTACAGTGAAATTAGTCTCGAGAAATTTTTGCATATGTAGTGGTGTGTATATTACTCAGATCTTAGAGCGCGTTTCCACTATATCGTTCTGGCCTATACAAAAATGTTTCGATATCCTAACATTACTATTTAATCTTATACTTATCCCTAGCAACACTCTGATTTTTATTTTCAACAAAAACAAGTTTTTATTTTAAAGAAAAAGGTTTTGACTTTATAAAAAAAAAGGTGTGTGTGCGATTCACACACGATAGAAGTGAAACTTCAAAGAGGAGAGACCGATATTTAATTTTTTTTTTCCTTTCATCTAGGTTTTTAAAACTCCGGGGAGTCTACAGGGGGGTCAAAATTTTTGTTATTTTTGGCCTAGGACGCACCGTTTCCGAGATATTTCAATCTAAAGCAAAAAATCGTCACTTGATAGTGGAAAGTGGAAACACGCACAAAACCAGAATAAACCAGTTTACGTCGTCCGCTACCATACACTACTACAAACGCAAAAAAATCTCCAAGCTAATTTACCTGTATGCAGTGTATAGCCGAGCGCATCACCCACCTCGCGTCCCGCAAACCATAGGAAGGGCATTGCGGCGGTTTGACTATGGTTGGTAGCAAAGTAAATCAGTTATATGCTAAAACAGGGCAATATTGCCACATATTTAAATAATAAAAAGATGTTAGGTTTGGGCCGTAGTGGTTCTTAACACTCCCAATTAAGTTAAATCCTCGTATCATCATATTCACATTAGCAGTGTCCTAGGTGGGATGCAAAAATATACGTACCACCGCTTTGATAGTGAAATACATATTGCTAAGTAAATGGTTCAAGAGAACAGTATTTTATTAAGTAAGTACATTAAATGTTTAGTTGTGATAAGTTAAAATACAGATGATATTATATTTTATACATAAAAGCAAGTGTTTTATTTATTAAAATGCAGTGATAGTCTAAAATAAAAGTTACGAGATCTAAAATGTTTTTTCCTTTACATACCATTAAAAAAAAAGAAAAATAAGTCAGAACCGAGTGTCAAGTGCTTTAATAAAATAAAGCTTATCTATAACTATGTGTAGACCCCGTTCAGGATTATGTTGATTATAATGGACAATTCCAATACCAAATTATATCAGATGAGATGTGTCACAAAAGTCGTATTCCTGAACCAAGTCGTCTTATCGGCATCGTTACCTATATCCGAGTGATTTAGGTATATTATTATCGTTATTCGAATATCGAATGTTACAGGTGTCACGACACTATTCTGAGGTATTTTTTTTTGAATTAAAAGGAATTTAAACATGTGTTCTGAAATATGAAAGTATTGGTACTCGCAACAAGATTTATATTTTTTTTTAAAGGCCAACTCGACATCTGACCGAAGCTATTAAAATACAAGCACTTAATATATAAACACTAACTACGTAATAAAACTAAATAGATGGCAATAATACACAAAAAATACATTTTAATATCTTACAAGCGAATGATGAAATTAGTGAAAACATTCGTTTTATGTCATCAAACAATAATGTAATTTGTAGATTTGATATTTATAATACACAAAATTATTTGCGCATATTAATTCTCGCACAAAGCGAAAGTCCTACAGCGATTGCTGATTCGCCTTCTTTCATTTACGAAGTACACTTAAGTACTGTTCATTTTTTGTATCTCCACATTTGCGCAACTTTTAATAACAGAATATAAAAAACGTGTTAAATACCGACTTTCCGATTAGGTTCTATCATACATTTGTAGATGCTACTAGATGAAACTTTCACGAACATGATTTTTGTCGTAAACTATACTATACCGTAGATTATCTACAGTAAAACAACGGAAAATCCGATCTTTTAACATTTTAAATACTTACAAAATAGAGATCAATAAAATTACTTGAACAAACTGGTATGTCAGTAAATATAAAGACCAGCAGATAACGATTCTTTTTGTCACGCAAATTTTGATGTTCCGTGTGCAGTTTATATTTATATTTCCAAGTAAGACATTCCCAATGATTATTACAAGTGCTAAGATGGTGTTAATAAAACTAATCTACATCACAATATTCACTACATAATAAGTAATAATATTTAATTAATGACTTTAAAATTATCGTCGTTAATAAGCACAAGTAGCAATATTATAATACATAGTACCATTATTATAGCAATAGTGATAAACAGCTCTAATTAATTTTTAAAAAGGCACTTGTGGAAATGGATTTATTTAAAAAACTACAGCTATTAATAACATTAGTTTTTATGTGTAATTTTTCACATTATTACACACTTGGAGTTGATTTAAAATACCTTGCTCATAGGTTGTTCAGTTTGTAATGTCGATCAAATCTTAACCAATACCCGTCATATAACACATGTCACAGTAGCCAATAGTCATTAAAGTACCCACATCTAAATTATAAAAAATGCAAATCTAACGTACGTACGGTACGCATAGACAACCCTATATATTCAATCATGACGCACTGGCCATGTTAATAATATAACAACGCTACAATATTGTTTGTTAAATAGTGATAATTATAGGTATTTTTACTCAGCATGATTAAGAAAGAGGTATATTAAAAATAGTGACTTGTATCGGTAGTAACTACTTACAATGTGACCCGCTTATGTGGCTGGTGTAAAGCTACCGAAGCTTATCATGCCTGAGTGCATTAGGTACAGGAACAAAATTTGAAATAAATAAATAGATAATACACTAATCTTAAAATAAATACATTGTTTATACTCTTAATACAAAGGATGTTTTTATAAATATTTAAAAGAAATCAATAACAACATACAATTTGTTGATTAAAAACAATTACATAAAGTAAGTAATTTAACAACTATGACTATAAAATAATTTCTACCACAACTTCTATAGACTCGTTAGAGGCATTCTATTTAATTCTACGATACATTCTGCCGCATCTATCGAATGCACTTAATGCACAATGACATTATCTTATATGTCATTAGCATATCATTCAGTGGCACAGGCGTACAGTTATTACATAAGCTTGACATACTGTGGCCTGATGTAACCAGCACTTATTAATCAATTCGCTTCTACATAACAAATATCGATAAAAAGGGAATCTATTCAAAATAGTCACATATGCGCTTGGTTTTGACAGCGCTTTTATTCGTATTATCATCGATTTCTATTACGACTCACATTAAAAAAATTGTACTACTCAGTGACGTCATCACGTTCCATTCTATGAACTAAAATAAACTCTTTGGAGTTGACGTGATTAAAATGTTTAAGATTTAATTAACAATATGCTTAGACTCCTTCTTAAATGCAGGAATGCATTTATTAGGGTAAATTTAACAAAAAAAGTTATAAATAGTGTTCAGGAAAATTACTGGTTATAAAGATGTTAATAACTTTAGAGCACTAGACAGTCTCTTTTTTCGCTAAGTCCTCAGCAAATTTGTCAATGTTCAACTCTCATAAAATGTTGCAGACTAATCGACTCAAATTAAAAAAAAAAAGTATTAACTCATAACCATCCTCCCTTCCCCGATTACTTCTTACGTTAAATGTCTGCATCTAACGGCCAATGAGTGTTTTTGAATTAGGATTAAAAGTCGTACCACAATCTGCTTTTATCTGTTATTTTACCATCTGTTCTCGATATTCCATTTATTATTGTAATGAGATATTTAAAAAAAAAAGTGTATTCACTATGGTTCTTTCTTCACCGTCGTGGAACTGATGTAACATCATGTCTAAGAGTAGGGCGTGCGTGGGTTCACGTTTATCATCTCGGTTGTGCTGCAAAACAAAATAGTATGAATAATAATATCAATAATAATAGAACATCACAATATTAGATAACAATTTTTATAAATATGAAGGTCCGATCAGTTGCGATAGAGACATTTGAAAAGTCAAGCAGTACCTACGCTACAGTATTAGCTTCGTCTGTAGCGATATAATACACTCAGCATATAATAACTCTGTACCATCTAAACAGAAACTAAAGAAATCGGAAGCTAACTAGAACAAAACGATTTAAATTTTAAGTAAAAAGTTTTTACACCATTTAATGTTGTATGATAGTAGTATGGATCTCAACGTAAACTAAACTACACTGGGTTCTACTGGCTAGACGAGCAGAATTATCTAGCGTAGATAAATCCAAACATCCCTCAACTCCAGTTTATTAGACTAGAAGTATGTGTTAAGAGATACAGTTACCGGCACGGATCTTAAGCGCTCGGCGAGTGGGGATCGCTTTGCGCATAGAGCACTTCAGGATATAAAATGCACACCCATTTATTATTATTTATTTAGCTACAATATCGCGATGTGCACTGAGCCAATTACTAGACGATACTATGATTCCCTCGCTCCCCGCTCTACTATTACCCACTTAAGGGACCCAAAAAACTACACCTGCGCAGGTGACAGTCAGCGCTCAAGATCCGTGTCGAACATTATACTAACTTTATTAAAAAGCTAATAAAGTACAGCACATTTTTTATACATATGAAGGACTTGAATAAAGTGAAAAAGTATAAGTATCAACTTAAGTACAAGCACAGATGATTCATAGTTTAAAGAAAAATTCAAGTACCTTTTGAAAAAGTAAAATAAAATTATATGAACTTACGAAGAGACAGCGACATTGTTGGAGGTATTCGGCTCTTCTAGGAAGTAGGATTGGGGCATGGGGTGTGCATATCTGATGTTACAACATGCATTATACATCTGTTACTATGTTAGTCACCAAGCTTATACTAAAGTCATGCTGTTTGAATACTATCGTCGAAATCTAAGCCTTTAGGAAAAAGAGTTTACAACAAGCTTGTGTTATAACCTCTAGTATTTTGTACATATGATTTTGTCTTTTAGTGGCCGACATTATATAAATAAAATCATTATTATTCATAACAATAATACTAATTATTATTAATTGTTAGTAAATCATTAAATTATTTCGGACATCCTCAGTTTGAAGTACTCAGATTCTTCAAGTTAAATATGTAAATTTCAAAATAAGATTTCTGTAAGTATAAAAGATCGTATATTTTTTCTAAAATATTGAAAGCGCTTTATAGGTCATTCACTGGGTCTAAATATTTATTTATATATTTTTACACATCATGCACTTTTGGCATTGCCTAAGGCATTCTCTACCAGTCAAAATTTGAGTGATGCAGAGAAAACGGTAAAAAACCAATTTACACCTTTATGAAGGAAAATGGAATGAAAGATGACAAGGCATGCCATATTGTTAATCGTTATGCAAATTAAGAAAGGCAATAAGCAGGCTATGAAATGAAACAATCAAAGATTGTACCTCTTGGAGCACTTGACATGTATGACGAGAAGCACGATGCCCAGCAACAGACACATCGTGCCCACTACTACGTACGCCACGCCCAAGAACGGGTTCTTGCCGCCGAGCAGTGATGTTGTCGATATTACAAAGGATTTTTTTCCGTCGAAATCGATTACAGGATAGCCTAGAAATAATAACAGTATTTAGTTGACATGCACATATTTATTTATTTTATAATCTTATGCACGATATACTCGATATATAAACGATATATATATATACAATATGGGATGGAGGTTATCACAAAAAAATAAATAACAGATAACACGGTTCAATATACGTCGGTTAAAGTAAAAAATAAAATAATAAATTTTGAACAAAATAAATACAATAAAATAATTGCCGACTCTAACGGCAGTGGCGTGAACAATTAATGTTATCGTGTGGGCAAGACTTTGTGTTGTAACGAGTCCCGCTAAATTTATTTTGAAAAGTGCCAATATTAGGTTCTGTGTATAGTGTAGTGTTAAACTGAGTGAATTATCAGTTTTTTGATTTTATTGGGTTATCGATATCAACATCCATAATGCTGTGAGTGACCTTCACAGCCGCGGAATATCCTGACATGATGTTAATTTACGGGAAACTCTATCAAAACACATCTTTAGATTTACGGACAGGTTTGGAATCAATCGTGTATGTCCTACAGACTGGCGAATTTTTGTAAGGGCGGTACAAAGATTACGAGACAACCAAAGTACCTACTTAAGGAGTGACACGTACTGCCGAGTCCGAAGCTAGTCGAGCGTTTTGTAAAGTGATTAGTAGGTAGGTAATAAGAATGTAAAGTTCAAGAAAGCCTAAGTAATTCCTTAGGTAGCTGTCTACATAAGGAATAACTTAGGCTATTTTTCCTCTCAGAAAAACAGTTTAAATTTTTTCCTGGTCCGGGCATCGAACCCACTAAGGCTTTTCACATCCCACGCGAACGAAGTCGCTGGTACCAGTTAGTAAAAAAGTATAATAATTCTCTAGGTGATGAATCTGCCATTTACTCAGTAAGAGCTCCTTCACTTTCATCTTAAAAGAGTATCAATTTGTAGCCATCCTGATCTCAAGAGGAAGCGCATTCCACAAGAGGACAGACTGAACGAGGAACAAAGGGCCGACAAACCCAGTGGTGTGAGATAAGACAATCTAACTTGTTGTGGAGATCTGCATTCAGGCCAGAGTAGCTCACGTCACCTTACTTACTTAAAGGGAAGATAAGAGATTCTGCATGTAAAGTGGGAAAAGAACAATACATTTTTTTATTACTTGATCCGATCTAACCCGATCTAACCAGAATGTTGATAACATGGTTATATAACTAGTACATACATAGATATTATTGATAAATTACAACCCGATGCATAACAAATTATAGTGCTCATCACAAAATTATATATCCTGGATGGGAATTGAACCAATGAGCCACCAGATCAACAGGTCCATTTTAGGTTCATTCTATCTGATGTATAGTGCAGCACAATCATGTTAAGCAGTGGATGATGAGGATATTATAATAACTTGTAAAGATGAAGCACTCATCATCCCATAGACAATTATCTTTGTCTCTGCCTTGAAGCAAGCAAGCCTTCCAATACATGATGTTCCTACTTCCTACAGAGTGAATATTATTTAGGAACTTACTGTAATTTACGACAAGTATATAGCTCCCTTTGACGAGGCCGTCTCGAAAGCCATCCATTTCGTGGTTAACACGACGGTACAGCTTGCGGAACGATGGCAGCGCGGCAGTTCTCATCCACACTATCAGGTCTTCGTTCTATATTTCAGTTGAAAGATAAGTAAATATATAAGTAAGTGTAGTGAGTTCAATCCGCACATGGGACGACACTGTGTGATCCACAAATTGTTGTTCTGAGTCTGGTTGTTCTTTGTATTGTTTCGTATTGTATTTGTTTAGTTTGTATTCACGAATGTTTGTAAAGTCCCCCGCGACACAAGATATATTCCTAGTGAGAGAGTTATAAAAAAATAAATTATTATTAATTCACAATTTACATTTTTATTATATTGCGACCGGGAAGTTTTTTTTATATTTTGTGATGATCATCGTTACTGCTCTGGTGGTTTAATGTTACCTATTTTTTTACCAATAACCGGATATTTTTTCTACATCTATCGTTTCTGAGATTATAGTATCGAAACCTGAAAACAATTTGCGCCAAAAACAAGAGGGTAGTTGATAATCCAAGTTATAGTAAACGATTATAGGTGCCGATAAATATTCATAAAACTGAAAATTGTGTTATTTTATTTCTATGAACTTACTAGCCAGCAGAAAAAAATATTTTAAAAAAAGATAAAAGGCTGTTGTAGGGTAAAGTTGTGAGTCATAACCATTTGACTTGAACATGTACTTTCTTACTATGTTAAACGAATATTACCTGGAAGCCATTGTTCTCTTTATTGGTAGGATCCAACTCCCAAACGTGTTTGCGCCAGTTAGAAGGTTTCGTGAAATTCGCGAAAGCTGAAACAAGTAATTTTTATATTTAATAAACTTTACAAGGGGATCGAATTTTGCATAATAAAACGAATGGTGTTTATTTCTTAGTTATGCTATTACGTATTGACTACATAACATCATTAAATTTGGGCAAACAACTTGGGAAAATTCGTCTAGAAAAATATGTCGAAAGTTAGTAGGAAATATATTAAAAACATACACACCAATTTTGAGGTCACCTGCAGGATTCCTAAACTTAATTTCTCTGTCAGAGGTCCAGGCGATGCCGGTATTGAGGACAGGTACAGAGAACTGTCCGTCTGCAGACTTCACCTCCAATGTATCTGGTATTTCAATAATATGAGTACTTGTTTTATCACATAATATTATTTGTACGTTATATTAGACTCCAAAGCCGTTGTGCAAACTGAAGGCTAATTCTCGTAATAAAAGCTCGGTTACGATTAACTCTCGATCTCACAACATAAAATAATTATCAAAGGTACTTTCTTCATAAAGGGTATTTTCGTAGTAAAGTATTGAACATCCAACGTTGACTGTAATATGATTATATCGTATTGTAACCGAAAACTGAATCGGTAATCTTCTAGTCTTAGCAATACTTTCCTATTATCGAGAGTTGATCGGAACTGAATTTTAACCTAAGTTTTATAACGAGAATTGGCCTTCAGGTGCTTGGTGTTTGACATATTAGGTGTAGTCGAAAAATGTTTAACATTTTGATATTTTTAACATTAGACATTAAAAAAAGTCATGGTATTTTGTAATTACCACAAATAAAATGTTTAATGTCAGTTTTAATAAAAAAAAAATGCCCTGAACCAATAATAACTTAATAATGAACTTTTAAAAAAGCATAATCATTGCCTTCAATGCAACTACATCATGTTGAATTATAATAAATTGTATTGTTCATTCCTTAATTTTACAGCCTAAGGGATGGTATTTGATCTTCAAATTTGAATTAAACCAAACAGGAAGTATTATCTCTCAAATAAACAAAGAATTTGCCAAATACAAAAATTTAAGCGATATATTATATTGACAACCTCCTCATTTCATTTGAAGTTGGTTAAAAAGATAGATATTATTGAAAAACATTGTTTGAGCATGTTTATTATTCAGTCATACGAGATGTGTGGGAGACGAATCTATTGCCAAAATATCTCACTCCGCACAATACAATATAGTACAATGACCACTAGCACCTGAACTAGGCCGAGCCTGTATCTCAGATGCTAGTTTCTTCCAGAGGCATTATTCATGTATTTTCATCCAGCGTATAGGTCGGTTGTAGGATATCTGAAGGGTTTGAAGGTCCTTCAGTAATGCTCTTTGTGCTCTTTCAAGTTTATTCATGAGCATTTTAAATGCACCGCTATAAGACGTAACACAGAACAGAATGAGCAAGGGCAAAGTAAATTGTTTTTATTAGATCGTAATTAGCAACGTGTCGAAGTTTTTGTTCTATCTGTAAGTTGGTTAATGTGTGGACACCATGTCAGTCTCTCATCCAGCATTATTCCCAAGTATTTTATGGTTGGAACTCTATCGAGGAAGGCACAGGTGCAGCTGTTTTCTATTGTAGGCATGTTAAGGCAAGAGTTATCATGAATTTGTAGGGCAAAACTCGGCGGTACGGTACGCTCTGTGTTTACAAAAATAATATATTTTGTTTCAGCAACATTTAGTGCCAGTAGGTTTGCACTTAGTCATTCTGAAATAATATTAAGTCCGACTTCGGCCTGCACTTTTGACCCTTTTCACGTGTTTCCATAGAATATAAGTGCAGTATCATCTGCAAATGTGAAAAAATTGCAATTTTTTAATTTCAGATTACATATATTATTGAAGTAGATCAGAAACAAAGTCGGGCCCAGAACTCTGCCCTGGGGTACGCCATAATGAATACGGTTATCACTACTAATGAGGCCATCGATCGTAATCCTTTGGTTTCGATTTTTAAGATCACTAGCAAATAGCTCCAGCGTTTTACCTCGAATACCTACTTTTTCCATTTCGTCTAGCAGACTCGGAACAGAGACCGTGTCAAAAGCTTTTACGAGGTCTAGAAACACACCAATACATTTTATTTACTTATATATATGGGAAGCTACACAGTCCACGAGCTCGGAGACCGCCTGCTTTGTCGATCTAGCAGCTCGGAACCCGAACTGGTTATCTGATAGTATGTTTCCTTTTTTCAGATAGGACATCAGTCTCCTGTTCATAATTTTAGACAAAGGAGGCAGTACCGCGATCGGTCGATAGTTGTTGACACAATGTCTGGCTACCGCCTTATAAGCAGGATGGATGATGGATATTTTAAAAACTTGAGGAAAAACACCAGTTGTTTAACAAAGATTAATAATATGGGTCATAATAGATGTAACTATACTTTTAGCCATTTTTAACAATTTTGTGGGAATACCATCCCAACCCATGGCACTCTCACTCTTTAAGTTCCTAATTATAGACTCAATTTCTAGTTCCATTGCTTCTAATAGTATCATAGAATTAACTGGTGAATATGTGATTTAACCCTGAATATATTGTTTTTAACTCTTTTAGATATTATTTCGTTTGCCAGAGCGGTTCCAGTATTAGACAGGTACTCATTTACTTTTTCCACTGCTACCTCGGGTGTGCTGGATATTTTAAGGAGATCATCAGCTGGTTTGTTTTTACTTTTTTTGGTTTGTTTTAGAATCAATTATCTTCTATTTCATTTTCGGGTCTTATGCATACTTTCCTAATTCGTTTCTGTCAAAATTTCATTTTAATCGTTTTAACAAGTCATTGCAAAAATTCTTGTATATACCGGGTCTACCAATAGGGATGAACTGGTTTTGACAGCTCATAGCGGCCATGTTTGATAATAGATCTTTGACTTCTCTTGACATTTGTGTTCAGTAAGGTTTGCCATTTTATCATGTCACGTTTCACTTTAAACCACCGCTTGGAAATTGTCCAAAATTATTACGAAAGTGAAGATGGAAACCCTGTTACTGTGAATGGCGAGCGCTATAATTCGATGTTAACCTAATATTTCTTTCCGGAATTTAATGATATTGATGCAGACGACCTTTATTTGCAACAAGACGGTGCACCACCTCACATTACTCGAGTGAACATGGAATTATTGCGTGGAAAGTTTGGTGAGTCGTTAATTTCGAGAAATGGACCGATCAGTTGGCCACCAAGATCGTGTGATTTAACACCTTTAGACTATTTTCTTTGGGGTTACGTTCTCATCTATCATCTAAAGTGTACAGCAATAATCCAGCTACAATTCGTGACCTAAAAACCAACATTCGACGAGCCATAGCCGACATACCGGCCGAAATGGTGCACCGCGTCATCGAAAATTGGCGTGAGCGGGTGACCGTCTTCAAAAAGAGCCGCGGCGGTCATTTGGCCGATATATTATTTAAAACATAATTTGCATAAAATTATCTATCAAATAAATTAATCGGATGCATTTTTCATATAAAATTGTGTGTTTTATTCAATTTTTAAACCAGGACGTTCTTATTGGTAAACCCCATACTATATGTAATTTTTACTATTTCATTTTTAGGCTCTCTTTTACCTTTCATATGCATACTAATACGCTCTGTTGTGTAAGTAAAACACTGTAGAAGATTTTTATTGAAGTCATTGTATTAAACTATTCACAACATATAATTACGGGAACATTCATTGTTTGGACTAATTTATCAAGAAGACGTCTAATTAAATGGATGCATGAAAAGTATCTATTGCTATCTGGTGCCACTATTTGATGCAAATTTTTTTAGGAAGGTGTATCCATTATATTTCATAGTATATATCTAACTGTTTATGTTAGATAAATACTCCGATACATCAATATTTGATGTATATTTCATTTGAGTTTTTTTTGTACCTTATAACTTACCATTAAATAATGAGTTTGCAATAGCGCCACAAGGTGCTACAGGCTTCACTTTCCCGTCCTCCTCAGCATAAGCGAATGGTTCGCAGTCAGTCGATGGGTTCAGTGACAGGCGACCGAGAAGTTGATTGTCATCTCTACAAAAAAAAAGAAAATCAGAAATATTTCCAATTGGAAATTCTTGCTCACTAAGAACTTGAAAGTTTTTAACATTTGTAACAGTTATCAAAACCACAGCACTTAGCAAATCAACAGATGTGCACACACACAGCCTTATTTTATTATAACTGAATTTGTGCAGACATGGGGCAGCACTTTGGCATATCGCAACATTTTCAATATTAGGTCTAGTGGTTATTGACCCTGATTGCTAAGCCAGAGGTTGTGGGTTTGATTCCCTCTCAAATCAAAAATAATTGAAATACAAGTGTCATTATTTTTCTTTTCTGTGGAACCTCTAAGGCATACAATTCTTAATAAAAGAGAAAGAACAGCAAGTGATCTCACTAAGGGGTTTATATCATTGTTAAAGGTATGAGGGCAATAATGCAAATCATAGACATAGTAGGATTTAATTACCTTGACTTAACATATCGTCTATGATTCTGGTAGTAGTTACCAAGTCCATAATAAAAGAAAACATCTTTTTTATAGTCCTCTGTCAGGTTGAATTCAAGGCGGCATATGCAGGGTTCCAATGTGTGCTTGATGAAACTAGCACATGTTATATTATCATTTTCTTTCATACAGTGTGTATAGTCTATAACATGTTCTTTAACCTGAAAATTTGATTTATTTACAGCATATGCATGTGTTTAATAAGAATTTTCACCACCCCTATTCATCCAATGAGCCTTAAAAGAGACAACTGTGGGAGCAAACTATCAGGACAACAGTACTGCAAAGAGAATTACAATTTGACACAAACCCTATACCAAGCCGTCTGGCCAGTGTGCTATAGTAGGTCAAAAACTCCTATCTCAGGAGAGGCCTATTTAAGGCTGTTAATATAATGTTGATTGATAAGTTTTCTTTAAATAAGAAGTATACACTGATAAACCAACATTCCAAACTAATAAAATATTTCAAGACACCTTACACACATTCAAGAATTATGTTATGTTTTTTACATAATAGAATTTATTTATCTCATTGGCTTTAATAATATACTTGCTAAACACAGCTCTGCATCACTCATAGGTTGAAAATGCCTATGGCCTTAAGTCCGCCTTATGCAATGTTTTGCAGGAAGTTTTTTTCCTGCTCAAAGCACTGGTACTATGAGGAGGAAAGAGAGAGAAAATGTAGATAAAAAAATACTTTAAACCTAGGTAGTAAATACCCATAGTGTCACTTGACATATACATGAATCACAAAACTTCATATAAATGTTACTTACTTCATTCTGTGCTACTGCTAGACATAATATTGTTTAATGTCAATTTCTTAAATATTTTATTAATGGCAAATAAAAAAAAAAGTAAAGTTACTACTTCGCTGCATCATAAATTAGAAAAATAGGTGATTAGGAAATAGGTGTGACAACTTGGTCATACGCAAATCGTACCTCATCTGAAAAGTAGAGCAAACCAATCCCAACAGGTATAAATGCTATCCCTATGACGAAGAAAGTCGGCAGAACAGTGCCAGCAGTAAGAATAGGCTGCCAAGCAGGCAGACGTTGCTGCTTGAACGCAGATTCTGTAAGAAAAACAATTTTCTAACTAACAACTCACTAATCGATAACAACACAAGGCACTATCTTATTAAATGAGTCTCACCTGCGGGGCGCCTAGATTGCCCGTTGTGCTCCGAAGTATCACTAGGCGTTGCCATGGTCGCTGAATACTTTTAAGGTTTGTAATTTGCAGAAAATGAGTTCAGCTAATGTAAATTATGATATCACATCCATTCGCGTATTTTGACATTTAACTATTTCTCTCTTTCTCTCTCTATCAGTTTATTTTAGTGTTGCTAACACCTCATCTACCGTAAATGACAAAAAGTAACACCACAAAAAATAATAATAAGACCATTTATTTGCAGAAAATGACTATGTGATGTTTACAATAGGTGATTCACATTATTAAAAATACAAAATAATGTCAAGTATAAAAACATTGACTCGACTGCAATATAGCTGTTTTCTTCTTTTGTAAGGAACACTATCTTGAATAGGTGGTAAACCAATGTAAAAAGCAGTAAATACAAAAATGGGTTTAGTGAAATGTGGAAGCATTTTTGATTTCTTCTTTGAACAAAAGTAACTATCTTGGTTTAAGTAACTAACTTTGTGCACGAGTGAAATTCCTGAAGACCTGACTCGGAATCAGGAAGGAGAATAAAATGAACTCCAGTAAAGTTTCTTTTGCAATTTCATTGTTTTTAATCATTATTTCTTCGGAGTCTATTAGTTTTCTTGGGTATGTTACCCCGATTTATAAGGTTTCATAACCAAAATGGCAAAATGGCGGACATGACGCAACTATAAGGGTTTCGCCTTATAGTTGCGTCATGTCCGTCCGTCTGTAGACACTATATCTCAAAGACTATTAGTGCTACCTGTAAACCTGTTATTTCGTATGCACATACATAATATTTACCCCAACTAAGTGGTAAAATAACATCTGTTTTTTTTTGGATAAGTACCTCTAGTACCTACCTTTAAAGTAGGTACTTTTAATATTCATCCATCCCGAAATGGCACGCCACCGCAAAGAACACTGATAAATTTTATTTTAGATTCGCAAATGCAATAAATGAAAAATGAAATTGCTTCGGGTCATTTACAGACTATTCATCATCAGCTTATCGCAGTCCATTGTTGGACATAGACCTCTCCCATTGCACGCCACTTAGATCGATTTTGGGCTTCTCGCATCCAGCTTCTGCGAGTCATCTTGCGCAAATCGTCATTCCACCTGGCCTGTGGGCGTCCTACACTACGTTTACCGAGACGCGGTCTCCACTCAAGAACTCGTTTTCCCCAACGGTTGTCGGTTCTGCGGCTAATATGGCCAGCCCACTGCCACTTCAGCTTGCTGGTCCGGTAGGCTATGTCGGTGACGTTGGTTCTCTGCCAGATCACATCATTCCTGACGCGATCCCTTAAAGAAACGCCGAGCATAGCTCTTTCCATAGCACGTTGAGCGAGTTTGAACTTGATGACCAGCCGTACCACGTTTCGGCTCCGTATGTCATGGCGGGTAGGACGCACTCATTAAAGACTTTCGTCTTAAGACACTGTGGGATTGACGATGAGAAGACTCGACGTAGCTTCCCAAACGCTGCCCAACCCAACTGAATTCTTCTGTTCACCTCGTCCTCGAAGTTGTTTCTACCTAACTGCAATGTCTGCCCGAGGTACACATAATTTTGAACAACTTCGAGAACGGCACCGTGTACCGCAATCGGTTCCGGTAGTACATGTTCGTTGAACATGACCTTGGTTTTATCCAAGTTCATCCAAGTAGGCCGATGCGTACTGAAGAGTCAGCTAGGTCGTTTAGCATTTGCTGTAGGTCCTGCAACGTCTCTGCCATGATGACGATATCGTCTGCAAATCGCAAGTGAGAGATGTATTCGCCATTGATATTGATGCCACGCCCTTTCCAGTGCAGCGTCTTGAACATTGCACTGGATTTGTGAACAATTTCGGGGAGATAACGTCCCCTTGTCTCACTCCTCGATGCAATGGTACGGGCCTTGTTTGCTGATTCTGTACTTTCTCATAGTCCACGAATGCTAGACACAGGGGCTGATTATATTCTTCGGTGTTCTGCCGCACTGTGTGGATGTGGTCTATGGTGCCATATCCGCTCCGAAACCCAGCTTGCTCCGGTGGTTGGAATTCGTCGATTCTTTGCGCAAGACGATTCGTGATAACTCTCGAAAACAGCTTGTAGACGTGGCTTAGAAGGGATAAGGGTCGATAGTTCTTCAACATGGTCTTGTCACCCTTTTGAAGAACAAGACAACCACACTCCTACTCCACGCTTCCGGAGTTCTCCCTTCAAAAAGGACAGCGTTGAAGAGCTTTTGGAGCTCTCTTAGTACGGGTTTACCCCCGGCCTTTAGCAGCTCTGTTGTAACGCCATCCTCTCCAGAGGCTTTTCCATTTTTCAGCTGTCCAAGAGCCATCTCGATTTCGTGAGTGCTAACTTCTGGCAGGTCTTCGGTGTAGTGACGTGTTAATGTGGCTCTAGAGTCCTCATTTTCAGGATCAGGTCGAGAAGCATGCGACGACTATAGATGGCCATAGAAGCTTTCCACTTCCAAAAGGACTGCCAGCTTCGAAGCAACGACTTCTCCACTTTCTGTGGTCAACTTTGTCAGGTCAACTTCTTCCAAAAGATTGTACGAACACTTTTGACCCCCGATTTTGCTCGATCGCTTTTTTAATTGAAAGAGTATTGGAGCACCGGAGGTCGTGTCGTACGAGTTTACTGATCTCTCGGTTTAGAGTCCGCTTTGCCGACAAAGTGACAGGTAGGTTTTCACGTCGTTTCTTCATCAGCCCTAGGGTCCTTTCTGAAAGCTTCGACTTCCTGCTGCATTTCACAAAATCTCGTACCTTCTTCCCTGAGGATCCGAACCACATTTTCGAGGTTTTGGTTTACGTCGGTTGTGGTTTCCACGGCAGCGAATCGGTTTTCCAGTTTTGATTGGAACGTTTCAGATCCTGTCATGGCTTGGAGCAGAGTCGGTTGGAGCCTGGATTTCATTAAACAGACACGTTCAGCCTTAAAGGTAATATTCAGAGAGCCCCGGACAAGTCGGTGATCACTACCGGTATTAAACCTATTGATTGCTAAGACGTCTCTGAATATGTGCTTCCTATCCGTCATGATGAAATCGATCTCATTTTTGGTCATGTTTCTTGAAGAAAGAGTTCATCAAAAAGAGCCCCTCCCGTTCGAGGAAGTTGACCAGCATTTGTTGACCTACTACCGATTCGCTGCAATTCTGTACTCCCACTTTAGCGTTGAAGTCACCCATAACAACGTTGTAGTGGGTCTTAGTTGTGAAGTGGAGGGCCCTCGATTTGTTATCGTACATATCCTCCACCTCGTCGTCCGAGTGTGCCAAGGTCGGTGCGTACACTTGCACAACCTTGAGGCTATACCTCTCGGTGAGCTTGATAATGAGGTACGCCACCCTGTTCGACACACTGGAAATTTCCACAACGTTGTGAGAAAGGAACTTATTTACCAGAAACCCAACGCCACCTTGGGATTGTTAGTCTCCCTCGCAGAAGTACATTAGGTATCCTGACTCGAGGGTTATGGTGTCCTCCCCCTCTCTTCGGACTTCACATAGCCCTAGGATATGCCACCTAATCTTCCCAAGTTCCACCTCAAGTTGCGCCAGATGCGAGTCAAGCCGTAGCGTGCGTCCGTTGTACGTAGCCAGGGTCAGTCGGTTGTGGTGGCCTCCCGTAGCCCGGAGATTCTTCGCACCCTCTGCCCCGCCGTTACCGTGGTCGCCACCATGACCAGGAAAAACGGGGCCGCCGGGAACTGGGGGTAGTGGCCTTTGTTGCGTCTGCATGGGGAGGGTTTGCCCATAATCGCCACCCTGGGCAGGCGGGTTGGCGATTATTATTATTATTAATAAAGTGTCAAATTGCCGATTTGTACTGGGTAATTGAAACTCGTTTTTTTTAAGACGTAAAATATTTATTTAATCAAAATATTTACCCTCCTTATTTATACATTGCTGCCATCTGCACGGAATTATGCATTTACGATAGAACTCTGGGGATCTAGATTCAACAAACGGTTTGAAAGCATTTTGTGCAAAAAAAAACCCAGGGGGCCCTGGGAAGAATTTTTTTATCACGTAGAAAGTTGTCCAAATCACGAAAAAAATGGTTTGATGATGACTTATGGTTTCTAAGTGCCGCTCCTGTAGAGTTACAATGGTTTCTCGCGCAGTGTGGGGTCTTGCGTTATCAGCGAGCAATAATTGTGAAGATCGATTCACGAGTCGGGGCTGTTTCACTGCTAGTTTCGCCATCTTTGTTCGAAGTTCAGCTCAGTAAACATCTGCTGTTATTACCTGACCAGACCTGAAAAAGCTGTAGTGAATAACACCATGAAGAGACAACCTAACAGTAACCACTACCTTTTAATTGGTAAGCTTTGCTTTAGAGCACTGTTGCGGCGTTTGACCTGGGTCAGCCATTGCATTTTTCGCTTACGGTTATCGTAATCAATCCACTTTTCATCACATGTCAAAATTCCAACAAATATTCCTTAATTTCTGTACCGATTCAAAGAGGCAACACAAGTTTCAACACGCATTTCTTTCTGCAGATAAGTCAAATCCCGAGGCACCCATTTTTCATATATATATAATCCTTGATATGATGGCATTTCATGGCATAATGCCTGTGTACACACACCCTTCGCACAATAAAACATGTTTAGATCACACACTTCTTAAAACCACATTAACAGCACGTTGTCTTGTCCTATAAGCAACTCTTGCCGATCATAATAGTGTTGCCTTTTACATAGCTGTTCTTCCCAAATCTAAACCTGCTAAAATAATAAAACGCATAGATTATAACTTTTTGAATACAGAACAAATGTCGATTTTGGCTCACTGGACGCAATCGGAGATGCTAACGAAGCTTAGATGCTAAGAAAATAAAGAAGTATCCTGAAAATGAGGTCCTAAAACTAAGTACAAACGGTACCGTAATTTCTCTTCGACTCAATCTAAAAAAGTGAGAAGACTTCAATTTCAACACGCAGGTAAAGACAGTGAAAAGATTTGGAAAAACATTATAGAGATTACCAGTGCGACAATTCAAAGACAGTCCATTAGATTTAATAGACATAAGTGACCCACAAACATCAGTAAATTACGTCAACAATTACTTTACAAGTGTAGGAAAAACGTTACTGAAAACATCCAAAAACATAACCTACAAACAGAATTTATCACTTTAAATTCATATTGTCGTTCTTTCACTCTTCTTCCCACTGCTGATGATGAGCTCAGTACTTTAGAGGCTTAGAGAGTGAGTGCTCAGTTGGGCTAAACGGTATATCTAGTGTCATTTGACATCCACAAGCCAAATATGCATATTTTAATATCACCGATAACGTAGGTACATATGTAAATAATCTGTCTCTCACAACCGAAGTACTGCCGAAAATTTAAAAGAATCACGAATTTATCCAATACATAAGTGTCGACAGAGGCTGTGTCAAGAATTATAGACCTATCTCCATCCTCCCTATTCTCTCAAAAATACTAGAACGCATTATTAACAATAGACTTAGACGATAGAATTTAGAAAATAAAAATCTTTTGTCACAAGCACAACATGGTTTCAGAGCAAAAAGATCCACAGCAGATATTGGATCTTACGAGCTATATAGTTTACAACGTAGACACTAAAAAAAAAACTAAGAAATATTTTTAGATTTAGCAAAAGCTTTTGACACAGTCTCTGATACTATCCTGGTAAAAAATCTTTAGAGCATCGTTGTTAGGATTCTTCAACTGAAACTCATACAAGATTACCTGACTGATAGAAGGCAATGTGGAAAAATCGGTAATACAACCGGGGAAGAGACACCCATTACTTTTGGTGTTCCTTAAGGCAGTATCCTAGGTTAGACCTTGTTCCTAGTAAACATTAACGATCTCTGCAACATTGAAAATGAAACTGCTTTACTCTTTTGTAGCAATTCATGGAGCAAAATACTTTTAAATGCCCAGAGAAAAATGAATACTGTTACAAAAATGATTTAATAAAAATATGCTCACATTAAGTATCGCAAAGTCTACTTATATAACGTTTTCAACTAAATCTAATGACACACCTGATCCCTCGCTTCGTATAATCTCACTTTCGTGTCTTAATGTCAATGGTACAGACTCCTCATGCCCTGACCTTAAAGATACTTCATCAACCAAATAACCCTAACTGCCTTAGCCAGTATTGCCATCCTAGGCATCGAGATATCGCCGGCTGGAAGGAAGCCAGGCTGGTACTTATCCAGAAATCTGGCAGGGCTGCAGATTCTCCCTCGGCGTTCCAACCGATATGCTTGATGGAAGAGGCGGCGAAACTCTTTGAAAGAGTTATTGCCGCCCGTATCAACCAGCACCTGTCGCGAGTGGGCCCTGACGTATCAGACAACCAATTTGGCTTCTGACAGGGACGATCGACGCTAGACGCGATCGAACGCGTCCGCTACTTGTCGGAAGAGGTTGTCTATCGGGGGGGGGGGAGTGGCGTTGGCCGTCAGTCTTGACATAGTCAACGCCTTTAACTCCCTCCCGTGGCGGCCGATTAGGGAGGCACTGGTGTATCACCAGTTGCCCCCGACCTGCGAGACATCATCGGGGTTTATCTATTTATATCGTATATGGGTCGGGACGGCGAAGATTGCCGAAGGGAGGTCACATGCGGGGTTGCCCAGGGGTCAGTCTTAGGACCACTTCTGTGGAACCTCGCGTATGATGCCGTTCTGAGGACCAGCCTTCCCCCAGGATTGAGTGTCGTCTGCTATGCGGACGACACTCTGGTACTGGCTGGGGGGCATGGCTTCCAGGAGGTCATAGAGCTCGCCGAGTCAGGGGTGGCTTGTGTCGTCCAAAAGATCAGCGGTCTGGGTCTAAGGGTTGCACCTCATAAGACGGCAGCCATTGATATAATACTTACATAGATGAGTAATTACCGCCTAAAATCGTTGCTACTGCACATATGTCCACAGGCATATGCGTAGCAAACGTCAATTCATTATTCAATGTGGCGTCAACCGAGTTGAACATAGCGACACATGACAGTAACAATCGCCAAAATGGCTAAATGCGTAGTGAAAGAATGCGATTCAAGGTCACAAAACATTAATAATAATAATAATAATAAATTTATTTATTTTCAGACATTAGTCCATAGATATGTTAGTAACAGTAATCTTACAACTATGTTAGTTCTACATTAACACAAAACAAATTAAAAAATAAATCGTGGGGATGCGCTAGCATGCAGACGCATCCACCTTTGTAGGATTGGAAGATCCCACCTCTCGGACAATACTCTCAGGATGCCATTGGTGCTGCTTAGCAGTCGATTGGACATTGACGCGCTCCGCTTCCTTATGATTGCATAAAAGTCATCGCAACGTGCCTCCGCGAACATGTTTGATGCACTGCAAAACCTCGACAGATTCAATAGCATCCTGAAAGCATTGTTGTACTGGACGCGTAGTGCGCTGTACGCCCGCTGCGTAAAGTTAGTCCACAAGCTGCACGTGTAGAAGGACTGACAATATGCTTTGAAAAGAGTAACTTTTACTGGTGTGGTACAACGTGCGAACCTGTGAGCCAACATATTACACCGGACAGACAGCGCCCTACGCTCCCTCTCAATATCAAGGTCATCTGATAAGTCATCGGCGACCCAATGCCCAAGGTACTTAAACTTATAAACTCTCTTTAAAGGAGTTCCGCAAAGAGTGACTGGAGGTACAATTGAGTAGCATTTGGTACCAGCTTTAAAGATCATAAACTCGCTCTTTTTGGCATTATACTTGAGACCATGACTCGCCGCATATGTCTCACAGATACCTATCAACCTACGTAGTGCACCAATCGATGGGCTCAGCAGCACCATGTCATCAGCGTAGCTTATATTATTTATGCACACACCGTCAATAGAACAACCTATGTTTGTGCTACTAAGCTCACCGATCAGCCCATTCATATACAGATTAAAGAGACGAGGCGAGGATATACCACCTTGCCTCACGCCACACTCCAACCTGTACATGTCCGACCGCACATCCGACCATCTTACCCTATTTTTCTGCTGACTGTACCAATATTTAAATAGAGATACAATCTCACGTGGTAGATTCGTATCACATTGTAGCTTCTGCCACAGCCTGTCATAATTAACAAGGTCAAAAGCTTTTGAGAGATCTAAATAACAAGCGTATACAGGTGTATTTCTAGCTGTATAGTACTGGACAGTCTGCTTGAGACAGAGAACAGCACTCTCAGTTGATAAACCGGGCCTAAACCCAAACTGTGCGTCATGTAATTGTAGGTGCCGTTCCAACTGCCGGTCAAGCAAACTGTCCAGCACCTTAGCAATAACAGTCGCAAGTGAAATTGGCCTATAATTAGACATATTCGACAAATCGCCAGTCTTATCCTTTACGATAGGCACAACGTCTGTATACATTAAATCGTCTGGCAAAAAGCTATGACTAATACACATGTTGAACAAGAATGCAAGCACCCTCGGTAGATGTATGCCCGCATACTGCAAATGCTCGATGCTAAGACTGTCGTGACCTGGGGATTTGCCTCTTACCATATTTTTTATAACTAGGGCAACCTCCTTAGCGGAAAACCTGATGTTAATATACTCGGGACGACTGTCCGCAGCGAGCATTTGCGACGAGGGTCCGAGAGGTGATGACACACTGAAGTGACGCTGAAAGGCACAAGCTATATCGTGTGGGTCGTGAACACTACCCACACTCACCGGAGAGCTCGACTTAGGGTTCAACTTACTCGTATTTTTCCAAAAATTAACATAGTTTTTATTCGAATGGTGTTTCGCAATAATGTCCATCTTAATTTGAGTTTCATTGTTCTGACAGTGCTTTAATTTAGATTTAAATATTCTTCTAGTTTCAGTCATATTGTTATATATATACCCCGAACTAGGTTTGCCGTAGGTCACCCACGTTTGAAACCAAAATCTCGCTCTCCTGTGTGCATCACTAACATACCTATTCCACCCTATCACATATTTATGTTTCCGTGCAACCCCTTTGCGGCTCAGCTTAGCGGCTTCAGTAAGAATACTGACAATCTCATTATACATTTTAATTAAGAGTATTTTATGTTGCTCATTATTACACACTTTACCAGCGCAGTTAGAAAATTCTGTTGGGCAGTCAATTAATTTTAATTTAGAATTACAATAGGTGCTATATTCTTGAATTTGACAATAATCTCTCGACCCCCATTTTACATCATTAAGCGAACTAACACTGGTTGAAACTTTAGGCAAAATAACATTTAAGTTACATTGTATAAACAAAGGATGGTGATCGGACCAATATGTGTCATACAATACTTTCATATTTACAACCGTGCGCCTCGCTGCGCTTGTTACAACACAGTGATCGAGCCAACGGCGGCACCCGTGTGACTCACTTACAAACGTATAGGTATCGCGCGGCATGCATTCAACGTCTACAAGCGACCACGATCGCTCAGAACAAAAAGTTATTAGTTCGTTAGAAAACAGCTCACCTGGGTGCGCGTTGAAATCACCCAGAATAAATACCGATTCCACGTCACTACTTTCAATTATTGCGTTTAGTTCACTTAAACAATCCGTAAACTCCGCTAAATTTTCCATAGAACAAGTAGGCATGTAAATAGATATCACTATCATAGACCGGTCGTTGAGCACAAGCTTTATCGCCGCTAGGCGCACACTTCTACACGGTAACACTGACACAGAGGGAAAAACCGCTTTTCTCCAGAGTAAGGCGACACCACCGTAAGGTCTCCCTCTGAGTACGCCATCTGACGTATCGACAGCCGACTTCGAAGTAAACGAAAATTCGTCATCAATACCACCAACGAATTGTATATCATGGGGCAACAGCCAGGTCTCCTGAAGCGCAACTATATCGGCCTCCTTACATAACTTTCTTACACATTCTACGGACCTGATGACACTCTTACAGTTGAACGTTACAAGCGTAGTTGTACTATCCATCAATTGATAAATTAGCTCCATTTATCTCCCGATAAGCAGGCGTACCCTGCTTTCGTTTAAAATCAAAGTAACGGCGGTATAAAATACCTTCGGGCCAGAAATCGTCTTTCAAAAATAATTCTAGCTTTTGCTTTGGTACAAAAGCTATGTACCCGTTATAGTCCTTACTTAATTTCATGTTTATTTTATCAATCTTTATGTCTAAGTTAGTCTTTTGCAGTAAATAAGCTTTGATGTCACTTTCAGTTGTCTCTTTAGACACATTGTATACATATATTGGCACTTTAATATCCGCTGCCTTAAAATTACTATTTAAGTCGAGAATTGCTTTTCCTGTACTTCCTACAAAACGATTTCTCAGTCTCCTTTTTTTTTGAACCAAAGTCCACTCCTCTTGGACAGTACTGGACTGTTTCTTCGGCCGTCCATTCTGCACAATCGCAGAGAACGTCTTTTTACTGTCGTTACTAACATACGGGGAAGCCGCCGGCAGGGGCGGTGACGGTGGCGGAGGGTCGCTGTTAAACGTACAGCTGGCGACAGATGAAGGTACTGGAGCGTTACCAGTCATCACATCGCCAGTCGGCGAGCGATCAGCTGTTTTCTCTTGGCTGTCAGGCACCGTTCGGGTAGTAAATACGCGCGGAGATTTAACTTTACGCCTTTTTGACGTCAAATTACGCTGTTTCGAGATGGGTGTCATCACAGTAGCTTGGGTTTCTGTGGATGTATGCATACCACAAACAGGCGATAGCCCCATGGGCCCACTTTCGTACTCATAGTCGGTGCGTAGACCGGCGTCCCGTTTTGCAATTAAATTTCTTGGGAAGTTATTGACAATTGAGGCATTTTTAAGTGCTTCAATCTCCGCCTGCAGCTCCTGCAGCTGGTTTACTGGCGCGTACTCAGTGGAGATACGATTCAATTCACTCCGAAACCACACCAGGTCCTTTAAAATACGGGTCACGTCAACATGATCGAAAAGAACTGGGGGTAGTTTTTGCAAATCTCGAGCAACAAAAATAGGAATGTCCTCAGGATCCGTTTCCTTTAATAAGCAAACTATATCATCAATGTCACGTACTGCCTTTCCTTGTCTTCTTCTTGCCTTCTTTGGTTTTGTTGTTGATATAGAATCAAACAACAAATTTTTAGCATCCAAAATTTCACTTTCAGCAAAGGCACTAACACAAATGCGGGTAATACTTTGTTCATCCATCACGTCTAACTTATTACAAATGAAAGCTAATACTTCATTTATAACTACGTTGCAATTAGAACACTTCACAATTTGAGAAGTCATTGTTTACAACAAATCTTTTCACGGCGAGCAGGCGACCGAACACGGCGCGATGCAGGCACACCTGTCGACAGCGCGTGCGACGCGTGACTGTAATAAATCATGCGGAATTACTTTTCACGTGTAAGTTTATGGTTTTTGTATTGATAATATCGTAAATAAGGCTATAATTGAAATAAAACACTGATAATTGTAATTTAGAATCAGTGTTACCATTAAAAAATCATTTTGGTTTTCCCACATTAGTGGGAGAATTTATAATTTATGAAATAATATGCTTTATACTGTTTTTAAACATTTTGCTTAAAATAATAAAATATAGGAAGAACGGTAGTTGTTAGGGCTGGACCGATTCCTTTTTTTAGGGACCCGTTGAACGTTCACTGCGAGCTTGGCAGAAGTGCCAAGCTCGCAGTGCTGGAGACTTTTGTAAAAAAAAATTAATTCATTGTTTTTCTTAATTTATTATCAATTTTAAATAATAATTGTACAAAATAATAATAATAATAATAATATATGTTTATCATAAAAATAAAAATATAAAATAAAAAAGTAAATAAACATAAATAATTTTTTTTATAAAATATATTTTTTTTTTTTAATTTGTTTTTTAAATTATAATAGAATTTGCAATACACCCTGGGGATTATTTATTATCAGTACAAGTTGATCATTCACTTTTATAATTAAATGCTATTATTTTTACATACGTAAAAATAAGATTGTATAATGAAAGTAAAATATCCACACAAACTTATAAAAAAGAGTCTAAAAGACAATTGTATACAAAACTGATGCTTCACAGCGCAGTTTGATTTTACACTGAATATAAACCCTTTTAACCAACTATTTCCAGTTATTTTATTATTTATACCTATTCTATTTAATTCGAAATATATTATTTAGAATATTTAAATTAATTTATTTTATTACAAAATTGTTTTAAAAAAAAATTGTTTCTTAGTTGTTATGGGTAAAATTTCATACGGTAGTCAACACTGGCCCACCATCGTAAAGTTATATCTTTGTCTTTGTCTAATCCGAGCGATGGTATTGTTCTTGTCTCGCGTGTAAATGAGACATAAATATGTTTACTTTCAAATGTTTAGTGGTATCAAAGCTACGTCGTCAAAGTTCAAAAGTGGTTACACTTTTTTCGACGTGTGATAATGAGGTTTGCTTCTCTAGTGTTGTTTTAACTCAATGACGGCAGCCCTGTGGTTCCATAGGAAACGCAGAGGTGCAGTTCCCACCCGCTCGATTATCAGAGTGGGGGGAACAGAGGTCAAGGTCGGTCGGTACATCAAATACCTCGGCCTCACCCTGGACAGCCGTTGGAGCTTCGAGGAGCATTTCGAGCGGTTGATCCCTCGAGTTCGCGGAGTGGCGGGCTCCCTACAGAGGCTATTACCTAATCTGGGGGGTCCGCAGGAGGAAGTTCGTCGCCTCTACTGTGCGGTGATACGATCCATGGCCCTCTACGGATCGCCGATATGGGCAAAGCGCTTATCGGCCTCCTCCCGCTGGCGAGCTAAGCTCAATCAAGCGCAGCGGCTAGCGGCCATTCGGATTGTACGGGGATACCGCACCATATCGTCGGAGGCGGCGACAGTCCTGGCTCGTTTCCCGCCTTTTGATATCCTGGCGGATACGGACGCCAGGGTCTACGACCAGACTCGCCGCCTAGGTGAGAGCGGGAACGACCAGGACGAGCTCGAAACGCGGCGGAACGCTCACCGACAGGCACTGGCGCAGTGGCGCGCGCGGTTGGAACAGCCGCGGAATGCGCGCCAACGTGCTGTCGGTGCCGTTTTGCCTAACTTGGAAGCTTGGGTAGGTAGGGAGGGAGGTCGCGTCACCTACCGACTGACGCAGGTGCTCACTGGGCATGGCTGCTTCGGTGAGTACCTGACTCGGATTGGGACTCCGCCCAGCACACGCTGGAAGACTGCCCCGCGTGGGCATCTGAACGCGAAGTCCTGGTCGATGAAATCGAGACTTGTCCCCGCCAGCAATCATTACTGCCATGCTGGCGGGTGAGGAGGGTTGGGGCGCAGTGGTCTCTTTCTGTGAAGCTGTAATGCTCCAGAAAGAGACCGCTGAACAGGATCGGGAGAGGGCCGATCCCGAGCGAAGAAGACGTCGACGACGTAATGAGCAGCCGACGAGACCGCGGGCCGCCAGAGAGTGGGGACCTCTGGTGGCAGATTAATTGCTGCGGTAGGGGAAAGGATGGCAGCCTGATCGCACTGAAAATGTGATCGGGCTGCAACATCTGGATAGGCTGAGAGGCAGGGAGAAGCCACTGGCTTTCCCTGAGATGGGACCTGGTTAGGTGCGGCGTCGATCTGGGGGACCTGAAATCACATGGCCCGGGTTCTCCCCAGAACAGGGCGCCTAAGGCTGGCCGTCGGAGTGGTTTTTAGTGGAATCACCACATACTATTGGCTCCTATAACCCCAAGGAGCCGGAGATCCGAAGGGATTTTCCACTACGTCAACAAAAAAAAAGAAAAAAAAAAGGCATCGAGATATCGAGCGAACTCCAGTTTCGCGGTCATTCAGAGGGTAAGGTCAAATTGGCCTCGAAGAAGCTCAGTGTGCTGAATAGATCGAAGCAGTATTTCACTCCAGGTCATCGCCTCCAACTCTATAAGGCGCAAGTCCGACCGCATATGGAATACTGTTCTCATCTCTATGCAGGGGTACCACAGTACTAGCTTCTCCCTCTGGACCGCATCAGACGAAGGCCGACTCGAATTGTCCATAGCCCAAAGTTCTTCGATCGGCTTGATCCCTTGGCGTTACGTAGATGAATTTATTGTTCCACACGGCAAAATTTTCACCAATCCCTTGTATAATTGGCGCTCCACCACTTTGCGTTTTCCCGGACCGATACGACCTTCAAGAAAAGAGCGTACTTTCACGCTTGTGATTCCTGAGTTGCAGGCTGCGTGCGTTTATGGGCGGCGGTAGTCACTAGTCCATCAGGTGAACCGTCGGCTCGTTTTGCCCCCTCTTCCTGAAAAAATAAAATAAGTTTAAAGACACTGCGTAACTCTCTTATGGAATATGCTTTTTTTGTAAGGCGTTAGTTGTTAACAAAAATAATTTACGACGTTTGCAGTTTTCGGGTGAAAAATATCGGGATAAGACCGTTAGGCGAGGCGTCGATCGAAATGGAGCGGTCGGTATCGCCTGGTCGGGGTCCTTCCCAAATAAGGCGTCTAAGACCGGCCATCAGGGTGGTTTTAGGGGAAACACCATATACTTATAGAGCTCTTTCAAAGGTAGGACCGTGTGATTTCAAAGTCTCCTCTGAAACGACGCTGCGCCTTTTCAGGCAATATCGCGGGGAAAGTCGCAATCTTCCCTTCACCAGGCATTTTAAGACATGAAAAACTGACAAACTCACAAAAATACACTACTTTGAAGACAAAAAAAAGATGTCATAATTTCGTAAAGGTACTCTTGCAAGTAAAAGATATTAGTTTCGTTTATTCTCCTCAACATTTTCATGTTTTTCTTATCCGACTAAAAAACAACTCAAAAAAACATTACAGGGGTATTCGATATCTCTCGTGACGATACTGATGGGGCAATTCAGTTTTGTCTGTTAGTTCCACACAGACATTCAGAAACCAGGTGTATATACCAGAGCACTGGTTTATAAACTGACAAATCTTTCAAAAAAGTAAGTTTTACGACATTTATTTATAACAATTTTTTTTTTATATTATGTAGGTATTATATGACTGAACATGCATGCTAGTCCAATGAAATGTAGGGTGCATAATTTAATGCCTATTAAAGTTTAAATTTCTATGATAAGTAAGTACATTACAATTTAATGGCTCATGCAATAAGTTGTTCTTGCGAATTTGCCATTAAATTCCTAATATGCATTGTACACATGTACGTACCTAATAAAAACTTGTGCTATATATAGGTACTTTTAAATGTTTTTTTGGATTAGCATCGAAATGACAAAAACTAAATCGACCAAAGTACGCTTCTGACTCGCATAACGAGGGTTTCTTAAAAACTTGTATATACGATTTAGACAGCTCGTGAATTATCGCCTCGAGAATCGGTCATAGAAGATTTTTGGTAATTTTTATTTAAAGATAAACTTAAATCTGCTATTTAAAAATACTACCTCTTACATTGTATACGTCTCGGTCAATTTCAATAAAAAGTAAACGGATTCCTGAAAGAAAAAGGAGAAACAAATAAACAATTTACAAATATTTGTGTTTTACAAAAATATAACCAGTGTAGAGATACATTTTAGCTACTTATGATTCTTTTGGCGCATTTAATCTGGAATTGTAAGAAAATATGGCTAGAAATGTTCAAAAGAACGTTCTATAGGGACGATAAGGCAATTGTTTTCGAAGCGGAGAAAAATCGTTCTTGATCACAAAATTGATCTCGAATTCTTATAAGGTAGGTATAGTAAAAACACATTAGCAAAATAATAAATGGCATTTAAGCATTTAAATCCATTCGATACAACGAAGTTCGATGGTATAAAACTAATTCAACTGGACTGTTAGTATATTATGTTAGTTGTTATTTTAATATGGTATTACGACCCAAGGTTAATTTTAATCTACAAACTATTAAACATATTATTATTTTTAAACGTAACTTAACTACTTGACCTTAGGTATAAATATTGATAATTTTAAAAGCCCATCACAAAAGTAAGTAATCTTGACAGTTTGTGTTTAATATGCAGAGTTTGATGGTGTGGTACGTGATTTTGCTAGTGAGCAGTGTATGTGCTCAAAATAATGGACTATTTGAGCTAAACATTGTTCATTACAATGACTTTCATGCCCGGTGAGTTCCTTCCTTCCTTCTTCCGAGCCTTTTTCCAAACTAGGTTGGGGTCGGCTTATAGTCTACTACGCCGTATGGCCAAACTTTGATTTTTTATATGGAGCAACTGCCATGAAGGACTGTTGTCGGACTTTTTAGGGCTCCAACTACCCGTAATGATTGCCACAGATATGGTATGGCAACCGAGACCGACGGCTTTACGTGCTCTCCGAAGCACGGAGGGGTCTCAATGTGTTAAGATTGGTCACCCATCCATAGATTCAACTGGCTAGGATTGTTTAACTTCGAATGGGTTAACCTACTTAGCCACAAGCCCAACCATGACTTTCATGTGTGTGTCATGACTTTCATGAGTGAATAACTAAATATTATTGTTAAATATTGGTTTTATTTATAGGGTATCTTATGAAACGGTTTTAATAAGCGCCTGGTGTGTTCGAATTGTATTTAAAGAAATATATTTAATTACATAAATATTACAGATTAATAGCTACTTTTAAATAAGAAAAAATATTAATCGTGCTTATATTTAAATCGTCATTCATTATTCTAAAGCGGTTGAGGAAAATTCAACAATGTAATCGTCCGTCTTTAACTCTGTGTAAACAAATTGTTTACCGGGCTATTTCGTGTTTATATTTGAGAATAACTTCTAGTTGGGTGCAGTTTTGCCTCTAGGCAAACCCTTAGATTGGTCGCTGGTGCATTGGTTTGGGCACTGGTAAATTTTGACTTTCATCCACAGCAGCAGCCATTAGAGAAGAGGTTCGACCGTATTTGAAGGTTTTTGAAAACAATTTTACCTTACAGTTGATGAAAATGATGATAAATGAATTTAATCTGTTGACAAAGATCTGACAGAGATCTGTTGACTGTAAATTTCGGACCAGTTATGTTCAAAAGAATAGGTAATGTAAGTCTCTAAAGACGTGACATTTTTTATAAGTATACGTGTGTCTCTTCTCTGAAAATCAGGAGATCTTTACAGTGAAACTGGGTATATGATAACTTTCTATTAATTGTGGACTGCCGGAATGATGATTGTATGGAATTATTTTTAGATCTTTGTTCATAGCTTTCCATTCAGTAGGATAAAATAAACATGACGAGTCATAATAAAAAAAAAGGGTTGTGAAAAGAAATGGCATCGTTTTTCTAATTACAGGTTTGATGAAGTCAGCCCAAATGGTGCAGCTTGCAATCCAACCATTGCCCCGTGTATTGGGGGCTTCGCAAGATTATACACAGCTGTTATGAACACATTTAAGGTGGAGCCTGACTCATTGTTACTCAACGCGGGAGACAATTTCCAGGGCACAATTTGGTACAACTTCTATCGATGGAACGCCACTCAGCACTTCATGAATTTACTGCCTCATGATGCTCATGTGCGTATTCATAAAACTACTGCACCTAAAACAATTTTCTTGTCCAAAACATAAATGTGAATGTATAAATGTTCTTCGTAACTAAAGAAAGGAAACAATCTAGACTTCAGCGTCCAGTTTAAGCATGTTTCAATGGAAATTAAGAAAAATAATTAGAATTTGGCAAGGAAATCATGAACAACCAAAAACCAGCAAAGTTTACACTAAATCCATACAATTTTAAAGTAATCCATATTAATTATACACAGGTTCTTGGCAATCACGAGTTTGACAACGGCTTGGAGGGCTTGCTTCCTTACTTGGAACATTTGAAGGCACCAATGCTTGGAACTAATGTGAACACTATTCGGGAGCCAACGATGTCGGCCTATATTAAGAAACACATCATAGTCAAACGTCGTGGTAGAAACATTGGTATCATCGGCGCACTGCTGCGTAAGGTAAATAAGACAAGATAGAGTACTATGCAAACTTACCATAAAAAGACATCATACGGATCATCTCGGTAAGTTCATTTCTGGGGACAATAGGTATGTTGCCGGAGACATAACGTGATTTTAGTAACAGTTGACAAAATAGTTGAGTCCCCTCCGTACCTCGGAGAGCACGTTAAGCCATCGGTCCCGCTTGCCACACGAACATCTGTGGTAATCGTTACGGGTAGTTAGAGCCCCTTTTTTTCTTTACTATTAGACAACTCCCGCATTAGGAATATATCCTGCCATTAGACTTTACACTAGCCAGGAGACTTTACAAACATACATGAAACGGACACAAAGAACACCTAGACTCAGGACAACAATTTGGGAATTACACAAAGTGTCGTTCCATGTGAGGATGGACCTCAAAACACTCAACGTAGTTGAAATCGGCGTGGCCGTGACCATTTAAACCACTACGCCATCCGTGCAGTCAGCCCTAAAAAGTCCGACAAGAGTCTTTCTACAGAACTTTGGTTTCGCCCAGTACTTCGGTTGTACTAATGGCAGTCGCTCTAAAATCTAAGCTCAACCGTATTGTAGTATAGACTTAAAGCCTTAAAGCGTCATACTCCTAGAGTGAAACACATACTCGTAAGTGGAATCTATCTATTATCTTTATGAAAAAGGTTGTAGTATGCTGGAGCTATTTATAGTTGCATATAAACAGTGTAAGACTTAGGCTTATGAGGGAATGCTCACAAAGATAGCTAATGTCAGCAAGAACTGACTTACCAGTTAATCATAAGATTTTATCATTTGGTTGCTTGAAGGCAGCAGGCAAAGATTTAAGATTTTTTAAAGACTTGTTACACTAGCTGGCACTATCACTAGCTTTGTTACACTATAATAGCGTATTTCATATAGTTTTTAGTGTGTGTGTTCACATATCATTAATAAACTTCTTTATACTATTTTCTGTCTACATTATATTTTGTTGCTTTTTATTTTCAGTTCACTGGATCAAAAGGCCAATTGGTAATTGAGGATGAGCTAGAAGCAGTCAACCGAGAGGCTGCAATCTTAACTGAAAAAGGTGTAGACATCATCATTTTGCTTACTCATATGGGATTCAATAGCGACTTGTGAGTAGCGATCATTAAAGGTTTACTTATAAAAAATTGTAAAGGAACGGGTTTTGTGTCTATCTAACACCAAGACCCAGACCAGTTTGACCAGGCGAGATGATCGCACCTTCTTGGTCGCGGTACAATAATTTTTGATGTTGCGAAGTTGTATCAGCAGTTCCTCCCAAACGTACTCGATATACACCCTTACTGACGGTCCCATTTGCTTCAACAAAATATTGTATAATGCCACCATTGACAGGCATGACAGTTACAATCAAACTTTTAGCTCACTGGATCCCTTATCTCTACCGCAACTCTTTTAAAAAAACATACAATCAAGATTGTATCGCAGAATACAAAAATACGAACAGCTAACATCAGGGTGTCTAACAGGGTATTTTCTTGGATTTTGCCAAAGCTTTTAACACGATCTCTGGGCCTGAAATGGTATTACACTTAGCATATTTCGGGACTATCTTACAAGGAGAACACAGAGAGTAAAGGTTAGGTCATATATTAGCGATGATAAAGAACTTGTCTTTGGTGTAGGTTATTTAGGTATTAGGCCTAGTATTACCTCAGGGTATTTAGGTATTAGGCCCTACTCTCTTCGTTATATATGTCAATCGACTTTGCCAGCTCTCGATACCCAAGTGCAAAATACTTGTATATGCAGACGATACTGTACTTATTGAAAACGGTAGCACTTGGGACTCTGCATTACACTCTGCAGAGAAAGCACTAGGGATAGTGTTAGAATGTTTAAATTCTCACTTGCCTACGCTTAATGTTGCTAAAACGCATTACATCACTAGTACAGCAAATAGCATAACTCAACCAAACATTCCTAACATTAAGGCTCACAGCTGTACTCTGTCCACTCGAGTAGATTGCAATTGTCCTTCCATCCAAAACACATCGTGTCCGTAAGTTAATTTTTCCAATAAAAACATTACAAAAGGTAGCCGATGCTGCACTGCTTAAAACCATCTAATTATCATTAGTTCAGTCTTTGGTAACCTACTGTATAGATATTTCAAGACCTCATTGTTGCGTTTGGAGAGAGCGCAGCGGGCTGTCTTGAAGGCAGTGCTAAACAGGCCTTACAGATACTCAAATTCGAACTTATACAAAGAATTTCCTGTACTGACTGTGGGACAGCGGTGTGTCTTCCATATAACTCTCCGCAGACATTCTTCTCTGGGTTTTAATCCTCGATCACAGATGGATAAACGGCGTAAAGCCATTATATATCCAACACATCATGTAAGGACGGACTAGCAGGTAGACACTACCTGAGTCTTTGTGGTCACCTTTATAACAGACTAAATAAAATCTGTAACTTGTACCCTTTAAGAAGAATGGAATGTAAGAACGGAATTACTGGGTACGTTAAAAACGCAACGTATGAAGAGACAGAAAGCTTGCTCATGAAAGTGATCTAAAGTCGTCATGGTGTACACTACAAACCACACACACAAACACACACCACATAGAAACACTCGTACACACATAATGTGTTACACGCTCATCATACACAATCGCGTACATACAGTTTTACAATACACACCTTTTGTTTTTATGTTATTTATACCATTTCTTACTGAACATACTTTGACTATTTGTAAATGTTCTAAAATTATATAATTTGTCACATAGTTTATACTGGCACAGACATCGCCGTTAACTCTAGTTTTCAAAGTGTCATAAGAGCCAATTAAATTTATAACATTAGCATAGATTTAAAGATAGGAAATGTTGTATTCCTGATTTCAGTCAATAAAGAATTATTATTATTACTAGGGCCCTCGCGGCGCGTGTTTCCTCAACTGTGGACATTATAGTGGGTGGCCACACAAATACCCTACTTTATAATGGTGAAACACCTAACGGTGAAACACCTCAGGGCAGATATCCTACAATTGTTCAGCAAGTTAGTGGACATCGGGTACGTACTGTTCTCGTTTTTATAATGTCTAGTAGTAAGCATTAACTTTTTTTCTTTTTTTTTCTTAAAAACTGTACTGTTGCAATGGATAAATCTCGATCTTCCTTACACTGATCGACAGACATAAATCACTGGCTTAATAGAAGGGTGAGGAAGTTTCAAATTTTCTACTTGAAATTATTACACAACATTGATCAGTATTGAAAAATAATCTTAAATAATCGTTCTTAAACATTTTTAGATTGCAGTAGTACAGGCGTCGTGTTTCACACGTTTTCTGGGTAACATCAAGTTCTTCATCAATGATAAGGGTATAGTCGAAAGATGGGCAGGTTTTCCTATATACCTAAATTCTTCTATTGTACAAGGTCAGTACCTACAACCTCATTTTGCCTCCCCCAAGGAGCGCCAACTATCTTGGGCAGTCCACATTCATCCGCTGCCAGCAACTTTACTTTAGTCGTTGTTGTCTTATACTCTGGCCTATACCATATTACTGATCAAATCGATAACCAATTTTCGAACACAGAATAGGTAGAATAACATAAAACTGTTGATAGTGACTGCTAGCGACAATTTTACTGCAAGCATGAAAAGGCTCTTAGTAGCTTTTAGTGGATCGTATAAAGATAGTATAAAATACAATATTTGCTTGCAATTGCAGTTTATGTCCTTATCCGAGAACTCTCACCTTCTAGTACTGCTTCGAGCTTAGTATAGGTAAAAAGTCAGTAAGTAATTGTTCTTTTAATGATTTTGGTTTTACTAATGCAACCTAATTTGAATTTGTGCAGATCCTAATATCCTGAGAGAATTGGCACTGTGGCGCCAGCAGGTAGAGGCGGTGGCCAAGGAAGTGCTGGGCGTGTCAAGTGTCACGCTAAGTAGATCTTCTTGCTGGGGAGGTGAATGTAGTCTAGGAAGCTGGGTCTGCGATGGCTTCTTGGACGAGGTACTTACACAAAACATGAGACGTAGTGAGAATAGACGTCTCAGGAATTGAGTTTTAGTGGAGTTAGGTTAGGGTACATATCTACTTTATACCATAGTTGTGCCCCGACTTCCTTCGCGTGATTGGCAGAAATTGGTTCACGCAGAGATCCAAGTGAGTTCTATTTTTTATGGCAATCGACTTGGAGAGTTTACAAAAAGATTCTTATGACTACCAACACGTGAAAGAGCGAATTACCCAAAAAATATATTCCGTGGGATAAAATCAACCAATACTGAAATGGTTTTTATCTCACAGCTACCAGGGGTACCTCGGTAAAGAGATAATGTTTTGCTCTGAGCTATTTTTTGTTACTAAATTAAATCAGGTTTTTAAAATACGCGCTGGTAGACTGTGTGTGTTCGGGTAATCTGAAAAACTGAATCTTTTTCTATAACGGTATTTATCAAAATCGTAATCGTCCTTTAATAGGCTTGTTGGCTAGTGATCCTAACTACCAAGCTAGAGGTTGCGGGTTCGATTCATACCTAGGACAAATAATTATGTGATGAGTACGATCATTTGTTCTGAGTGTAGGTGTAACTTATTAATAATATGTATGGATTTATAAATAGGCTTATTAGCAGTCTGGTTACAATAGTACAGGCTCTGCCTAGTTTGGAATCAGACGGCCGTGTGTGAGATGTGTGAAGTTATTATTCTTTACTTTCTCCTGAAATGTAATTCCTAAAAAAATATTACTTGTTTGCATAGCAGAACAACCTCGGTCATTCTCGAAATCTGTGGGATTCTGAGGATAAGTAAAAATATTAGTTTTTTTTTTATTTTAATCTTTTATAGACTACATAACATTCGTAAATGGAAAAAACGAAGCTTTTGTCAACACGCGGACTGGCGTTATTACTTACTTTACTTGTTGCCTTAACGGTCATGATATTTATTCTGCTGATTTAAAATATAAGTTTTGCTTTAGAAATGTTTAAGAAATCATTCGACTTGTTTCAGCTTCTGTGGATGCGCCAAAACACAAGTCACAGCAATGATGTGTACGTTTGCCTGCTCAGCGTTGGCGGCCTCAAAATGCAAATAGACCCGGGCAGTTAGTACACTTGTTAAATATTACCGATGTTAACTGACTGAAATAAAAGAAGCAGTTGAATAGGTACCTAATAAATACCTACGCATAACTTTTTTCTTTTTTAAAAAGACAACTCCCGCATTAGGAATATATCCTGTGTCGCGGGGGACTTTACAAACATACATGAAACGGACACAAAGAACACCCAGACTCAGAACAACAATTTGTGGATCACACAAAGTGTCGTCCCATGTGGGGTTTGAGCCCACAACACTCGACGTAGTAGGAAGCGGCGTGGCGACCGCTTAAACCACTACGCCATCCGTGCAGTCAATTAAGACAAACAATTAAGATAGAAGTACTCTTATATTTAAAATGCTAATGTTAAATAGTAATGTGGTTTATAAAATCAGAATAATTTCATTTATAAGGGCACTAGCTTCTTGCCGGGTTTAGCTTGCGTAAAGGCATTTTTTCAATCCCTCGGAAACATTTTTTTTCTAGATGATAGGAGACCCCTTAAGGTGCAAAATTTCATGATAATGAGATAAGCCCCAGCGAATCACGAATTACGGAGGACTGGCTAAACAATTACTACTTACTAAAACTTAAGACTAACTCCGACAATGCGATACTAGTACCGGAGTGTCTTAAAATTTATTATTTAAATTAAATACAGTTTCGTCGGGATCATCTCTTTTGGCAATTCGCGTCACAAGAAGTCGTTTCAACAAAATTGATATTTCACAATCGATGGTAAATCATATTGACGTACGAAATAATGGCACGAGGCGTGGATTCAGCAAATTAGACGTTGTAATAGATTCAGAATCTTAAATTATACATAAATTTATTATCATCACTCTATCAAGCGGAAATGGTCAAGGCAGGATACTTAACAAAAAAAGTACGAGTAAACAAAAACAAGTTTTTGTATATTAACTTTTTCCGTGCGGAAATCGCCGAAATTCCTTCGGATACCACCCCGGCCTGCTTCTGCTAGGGTGACAGATGGCCTCACCTGTCACCCCTAGGCCTGCGCTTATGGAGGACGGAGGTCGTTCTGCGACCTCCGACGCCTGAGTCGCCTGCGGTACCTGGCCCGTTCCCGTCTGGCGGGCCGGGAGAGTCCTAAACCTCTCCCGGTCCCGCTCCGCCGTCTCCTTCGCGAGCATAACTTGCTCGCAGACGGCAGAGTTAAACGCACTCTCGCTCCGCACGATAGCCGCAATCAGGCTATCGAGCGAGAGAACTCCCACTCCGATGGCCGCCACGAGGTCTCGCCTCTGCTCAACCCACGCCGGGCACTCTGCCAGCGTGTGGAGAGCCGTGTCCACGGTCTGGCTATCGCAGTGGTGGCACTCAGGCGTTGGCTCCTTGCAGATCAGACACAGGTGATCCCCGAAACATCCTTTCCCAGTGATCACCTTCGTCAGTCGGTATGAGAGGGTCCCGTGACGCCTCTCGAGCCAATCCTCCATAACGGGTCTTACCGCCGCGATGACGGCGTGCCCATTGGTATATTACCCTGACATATGTTGACAGACGTAACTACCGAGAGTCTCCTGATGGTCTTACCATACGAAAACCTTCTTCAAGTCTACGATATTAAGGGCCAATATCTTCAGGAAGCGCTGGAGCTTGCTGTTGGCGTTCCTTGGACTCACACCTTCGCCAGCAAACATATATTGCAGATCGGGGGTAAGTTTAGATACTGCACGAGGCTCAAATATGCAGTATCCTATAAGAATTCAAATTTAAGATTAATATGTGAAAATGATTAACCTTTACTAAATTCTTTTGTACTATTCAGGTCTCCGCATCGTCGTAAACGCATCTAAGCCGGTCGGGTCCCGCGTTACAGCCACGGCTCGATGTACGGATTGTGGTGGATCTGGATACCTACCCCTTGATCCTAACAAGACGTATAAAGTTGTGTCTTGGAATTACATTGGTGACGGACGCGGAGGGTTTACGGTAAAATCTCTAGTTTAAACCTCACTTATTTAGTTCCCTATTTTTTGATAATTATTTAAGATCCATACTTGTAATCGATTCATACAAACATCCAAATGCATCTACAACTGCTTGTGCTGTAAACCTAGCAGAAGCAGGCCGGGGTGGGTGGCTGCGGAGCGCGCACGCCCTTCGGGGGCTGGAAGGGAACATCGGGGTTCCCACACAGGAGGTTTGCGGTTTTTAGTCGGTTCGAGTCCAACATAACCACCCGGTGTGTGGTATCCAAGGGGAGTTCCACATAGGAAAATCAAAAGAAGTTTTTAATCACATTGGTTCCAGTATTAGACTACACCCTGCTCAGACCATGTCAGTCCAAATATTTATGAGTTTAAATAATAATATATATTTTACAGATGTTGGCTAAGCACAGAGAAAATGTAGAAAACTTGGGAGTAGACTATGTATTGCTACAAAGGTACCTGAGAAGACAGCAAAAAGTGGCTAAGGATCTCGATGGCCGGATACAAATAGTCTATTAATATTCTCCTCTAGTTCCTGTCTTAGAAAAAGAAAAATAATAAATCAGACTACAGTTTAGCGAAATAGAGTAGAAAATTACAGGATAGTTTAATATGAAATATAATACGATGACGTATGTGAAACGGATGCAAAAAGGAAACAAAGAATCATTTTTAATCATGTGTTATTTTTAGCTCATAATTATTTTCTACTTTTTCTTTTCAAACCCCAAAAATAAACACTGCATATTAATTATTATTTTCTCTTAATCTCATCTTGTACTATTTCATAATAATGTATTAAATTAAATAACCATAAACCTACATATTACCGTATCTTTACATTAATTATCATGTCCAATCGTGGGGATTATATGTATATCCCACGGCTGTACATGATAAATGTTATCTAATAGTTTTAGATAAGACATGGCTTAATAATGAACAGTCCAGTACTAGTTAAAAGAATATAAAAAAATGTTAAATATAAATGTGAGTTGATCCAATACGATGATGTTTAATAAAATTATAATTCTCTATACAAGCAACTGTCGTTCTCTCTTTTTGTTTCAAAGTCTATCAGCTAACCAAATATGAGGAGAAACGGAATAAGTCACAATCAGTCTCAGGTCATCATATCCAACAGTATTAGAAGCACCAATCAAAGTCCACTTAGCAATAGTTAGTCACGAATAAAAAAAGGAAACAGTTCAAAAATACAACTTCTACTTTACAAGTATTTCATATAATTTAGAACTATTTCTAGGTTCAAAATATACTTACTAATTATTTTATACATTTTCTGACATAAACACCCCGTATTAATCATTTTTATCTAACGTAACTTTTTATCTTAGGTATTACTGAATGTTGATAATTTTGGCAGTTTATCTCAAAATAATCTTGAAATTTTATTTCGCCATTCATTTGACGTGTGGAATTCAATAGGAAAAGCATTTTAATATAGTGGATAGAGGATATAGAAGCGAGGCAGGCAAGATGGTGTGGTATCTGCTTCTTTTAGCGAGTTGCGTGCTCGCTCAAGATACTGGACTCTATGAGCTCAATATAATACATTTCAATGACTTTCATGCCCAGTGAGTATTTCGATTTGTTTTTAATCAAGAGCGTCTGTAAGGTCTTGGACACATTTTTGTAATTTTTAAATAAAGAAGCTTATTTAGAATTTATTCATCACATCCCCCATCATTTAAAACCCGTAAAATTTTAAAAGGGGTTTCCACCCCCGGGGGGGTTGGAAACAAATTTTTTTTTTGGGGCCTTTTCCCCCCTTAGAAAGGGGGGGGGGTTTGCATTTCCCCATTTTTTTCCGCCTGGCGTGGTAAATCATATTGACGTACGAAATAATGGCACGAGGCGTGGATTCAGCAAATTAGACGTTGTAATAGATTCAGAATCTTAAATTATACATAAATTTATTATCATCACTCTATCAAGCGGAAATGGTCAAGGCAGGATACTTAACAAAAAAAGTACGAGTAAACAAAAACAAGTTTTTGTATATTAACTTTTTCCGTGCGGAAATCGCCGAAATTCCTTCGGATACCACCCCGGCCTGCTTCTGCTAGGGTGACAGATGGCCTCACCTGTCACCCCTAGGCCTGCGCTTATGGAGGACGGAGGTCGTTCTGCGACCTCCGACGCCTGAGTCGCCTGCGGTACCTGGCCCGTTCCCGTCTGGCGGGCCGGGAGAGTCCTAAACCTCTCCCGGTCCCGCTCCGCCGTCTCCTTCGCGAGCATAACTTGCTCGCAGACGGCAGAGTTAAACGCACTCTCGCTCCGCACGATAGCCGCAATCAGGCTATCGAGCGAGAGAACTCCCACTCCGATGGCCGCCACGAGGTCTCGCCTCTGCTCAACCCACGCCGGGCACTCTGCCAGCGTGTGGAGAGCCGTGTCCACGGTCTGGCTATCGCAGTGGTGGCACTCAGGCGTTGGCTCCTTGCAGATCAGACACAGGTGATCCCCGAAACATCCTTTCCCAGTGATCACCTTCGTCAGTCGGTATGAGAGGGTCCCGTGACGCCTCTCGAGCCAATCCTCCATAACGGGTCTTACCGCCGCGATGACGGCGTGCCCATTGGTATATTACCCTGACATATGTTGACAGACGTAACTACCGAGAGTCTCCTGATGGTCTTACCATACGAAAACCTTCTTCAAGTCTACGATATTAAGGGCCAATATCTTCAGGAAGCGCTGGAGCTTGCTGTTGGCGTTCCTTGGACTCACACCTTCGCCAGCAAACATATATTGCAGATCGGGGGTAAGTTTAGATACTGCACGAGGCTCAAATATGCAGTATCCTATAAGAATTCAAATTTAAGATTAATATGTGAAAATGATTAACCTTTACTAAATTCTTTTGTACTATTCAGGTCTCCGCATCGTCGTAAACGCATCTAAGCCGGTCGGGTCCCGCGTTACAGCCACGGCTCGATGTACGGATTGTGGTGGATCTGGATACCTACCCCTTGATCCTAACAAGACGTATAAAGTTGTGTCTTGGAATTACATTGGTGACGGACGCGGAGGGTTTACGGTAAAATCTCTAGTTTAAACCTCACTTATTTAGTTCCCTATTTTTTGATAATTATTTAAGATCCATACTTGTAATCGATTCATACAAACATCCAAATGCATCTACAACTGCTTGTGCTGTAAACCTAGCAGAAGCAGGCCGGGGTGGGTGGCTGCGGAGCGCGCACGCCCTTCGGGGGCTGGAAGGGAACATCGGGGTTCCCACACAGGAGGTTTGCGGTTTTTAGTCGGTTCGAGTCCAACATAACCACCCGGTGTGTGGTATCCAAGGGGAGTTCCACATAGGAAAATCAAAAGAAGTTTTTAATCACATTGGTTCCAGTATTAGACTACACCCTGCTCAGACCATGTCAGTCCAAATATTTATGAGTTTAAATAATAATATATATTTTACAGATGTTGGCTAAGCACAGAGAAAATGTAGAAAACTTGGGAGTAGACTATGTATTGCTACAAAGGTACCTGAGAAGACAGCAAAAAGTGGCTAAGGATCTCGATGGCCGGATACAAATAGTCTATTAATATTCTCCTCTAGTTCCTGTCTTAGAAAAAGAAAAATAATAAATCAGACTACAGTTTAGCGAAATAGAGTAGAAAATTACAGGATAGTTTAATATGAAATATAATACGATGACGTATGTGAAACGGATGCAAAAAGGAAACAAAGAATCATTTTTAATCATGTGTTATTTTTAGCTCATAATTATTTTCTACTTTTTCTTTTCAAACCCCAAAAATAAACACTGCATATTAATTATTATTTTCTCTTAATCTCATCTTGTACTATTTCATAATAATGTATTAAATTAAATAACCATAAACCTACATATTACCGTATCTTTACATTAATTATCATGTCCAATCGTGGGGATTATATGTATATCCCACGGCTGTACATGATAAATGTTATCTAATAGTTTTAGATAAGACATGGCTTAATAATGAACAGTCCAGTACTAGTTAAAAGAATATAAAAAAATGTTAAATATAAATGTGAGTTGATCCAATACGATGATGTTTAATAAAATTATAATTCTCTATACAAGCAACTGTCGTTCTCTCTTTTTGTTTCAAAGTCTATCAGCTAACCAAATATGAGGAGAAACGGAATAAGTCACAATCAGTCTCAGGTCATCATATCCAACAGTATTAGAAGCACCAATCAAAGTCCACTTAGCAATAGTTAGTCACGAATAAAAAAAGGAAACAGTTCAAAAATACAACTTCTACTTTACAAGTATTTCATATAATTTAGAACTATTTCTAGGTTCAAAATATACTTACTAATTATTTTATACATTTTCTGACATAAACACCCCGTATTAATCATTTTTATCTAACGTAACTTTTTATCTTAGGTATTACTGAATGTTGATAATTTTGGCAGTTTATCTCAAAATAATCTTGAAATTTTATTTCGCCATTCATTTGACGTGTGGAATTCAATAGGAAAAGCATTTTAATATAGTGGATAGAGGATATAGAAGCGAGGCAGGCAAGATGGTGTGGTATCTGCTTCTTTTAGCGAGTTGCGTGCTCGCTCAAGATACTGGACTCTATGAGCTCAATATAATACATTTCAATGACTTTCATGCCCAGTGAGTATTTCGATTTGTTTTTAATCAAGAGCGTCTGTAAGGTCTTGGACACATTTTTGTAATTTTTAAATAAAGAAGCTTATTTAGAATTTATTCATCACATCACATCATCAGCCTGTAATAGTCCACTGCTGAACATAGGCCTCTCCTTAGAAAGGAGGTTTTGGCCTACTATACCACGCTGGCCAGGCGGGTTGGTATAGGGTTTGTGACAAGTTTTCCTTCTTTTTGCAGAGCTGGTGTCCTGCGTTGTTTTGCGCCCTTAGTTGACTCTTACGACACCCACGGGATGAATTGGGGTAGTGACATTCCGTATTCTTAATCCGTCACTACACGGACTTAAATCACTTTCCACGTGTTTAAAACTACATTTTTTTAAACAACAGTTACATACATGAAAATTTAACATTTTAGGGAAGACAAATATTTTTTAAACAACCACTAGAATAAATAACTTCTGAATCTACCTTGAAAGTCTAGGAGAACAAAATAAGAAAGAAAAAAGTTGCCTTTGTGTTTGTTAATCGACTTCAAAAAAAGGAGTAAGTTCTCAATTTGGTGTTTTTTTTTCTGTTTTTTACCTCAGAACTCCGTGAACCGATAAACCGTTTAGAGAAATATTTTATTTTAAGGCGTATCCTTCCTGTTTGGTCTCATTTAAATTTGAAAACAAAATACCCTTCCTGAGAGCTGAAAATAAAGGAATGAAGAACAGTTTATTACAATGTCATAACGATATAGGCGCAATACGCCTGAGTATGTGATACTTTTTAAAAGTAAATTGCGTATTATTTGATGCTAAACTTTACACATTTACTTTTATCAGCTATTATTACTCAGCTAAGCAATTTTTTCATTGCTTTACCACTCGGTGGTTTTCCACACTACCCTCTGCGGCTTGGGGGAAGAAATCTAAGAGCGACAACGGACATCTGCATCTCAAGCGTTATAAGTGTGACCCTTGAGATGGAGATGTCCCCTAGGGGCGGTAGTTACTTACCGCAAGTTAACCCGACTGCTCGCTTATACCATAGGTACAACCCCCTTATACCAAGAAGAAAAAAGCAGAGGAAGTGATTTTTTTTTTTTGTCACGGGTTCCATGCAGCTTTAGAAAAAAGAAATAGTAAAAAAACATACAGTACCTAACCCTAAAATACCAAATCAAACACACCGATAGCTAAAAAACCCAAGTTGTATTAATAAAGTAATCTCTTTGTTTGATTTTTGTGACAATATCTGACATGAATTAAACATAATCACCTCAATTACCTCAATGTACTTAGCACTTTATACAATACGCTTGAACAATCGATAAGATTATTCTATTTAATTATTTTTTTCAAATTAATCCTTCGTTTACCGATCATTTTTGCAAGTAACAGACTGTTTTAAAAAAAATAGAATAGATGTTTCTTAAATCACAAAATTATATTAAGAAGCTTATAACAAAACCTAGTCAGGTTATTACTTATGTTTAGATCAAACTCGAAAAACCTTATACGGTGTTCGCTACTATGTGCACATTATTAAATGTATCTATCTATATGGTTTCGCTTGCTTATGTTTAATATAACGTAGTTATCTTCTTAAATTAAAAAAAAAAGACATCTAAACAGTTGGTAAAGAAAAGGTACTTCATAAAGTATATCACGACACACACAAACATGAAATGCAGAATATACGAGCTATGTTCGTGCTTAGGCATTCACTATTTTATTGACATTTCATCGTTGATGGCAAGGATCGGTGGAATCAGATTTGCAAATTGCTGCTGCTATATCTGTATCTACTTACACGAGTTTTAAGGATTGTCAGATCCTTCATTTAAAGTCTAGTACCAACTGGTGTTGAACAAGTTTGATCATCCAAAGCGAGCGAGTGTCGAAAGATACGATGAAAGCTGCTTGCAATGTTAGTGGAGTATATATTCTTCAATCAAAATCAATTTAATATTAGAGATTTGATCGTATGGACTCGTGGAACAAAAGAAGACAAATTATGAAACGACTCGCCTGAATTCCTTCATTTAATGCTTTATTTGTATCGTTTAGTTCTTTTTATAATAAAAATATTGAACATTTAGGAATATCAGATCCCTTCAATAATTATAATCCTAAATATCTGCTTTTTTTTCAACACAGCTTTGACGAAGTAAGTCCAAGTGGTGGCGTATGCAATCCGACCGTTGCTCCGTGCATTGGGGGTTTCGCAAGGTTGTACACAGCGGTTCAAGAAGCGTTTGAGGCGGAGCCCGACTCATTGCTACTTAACGGTGGAGATAGTTTCCAAGGCACAATCTGGTACAACTTCTTGCGATGGAATGTCACTCAACACTTCATGAATTTGCTACCTCATGATGCACATGTTAGTATTGTTACAATAATGTTTTTTTCTGACTTCGCGACTATTTCAAAAATAATGCTAGCAACGTATCGAACGAGGCTGAGCTCTTGCTTTACTTTGACCTTTTGCAAGAGTTATAAAACCATCCAATGCTGAAATTGACAAAAACACAAATGTTAAAAATCTAGGCAAGTCGTGATTGTTTTTCTTGAGATTTGCAAAGATGTAAATGCTTTTGAGGGTTAAGAACCATCATACATAAATACGTAAACAGTAAAACGCAAATCTATTGCTCATCTTTGCGTGCGAATCTGTTCTGATTATAGCAAACAGTGTAAAGTGTAAGAGGGTCAGATTTAACACGTTATTCGTATTTAAAAAAAATGTAATATTATATATGTATATTACTAAAGTATACCAACTTAGAATCCTTCAATGTTCTGGAAATGATTAATGACTTTACAAAAAAAGTAACCCACGCCTCGTGTCTACACGTTTCATATAGTCATTTAATATTTGTCTTTGTATAGGCCTAGGGCCATATAAGTGCACCAAGTAACCAAGAACCTTTTTAACACGCTTCACCTGTATGTTTGTTTGTTTGTATGTAACCGACTCCTTTGAGCTCGATTTTGCCCTACTTTGAACGATCAGATTTGATTCAAACTTTGCACACCTGTCAAAGGTCGATGACAATGCAATAATCCGATCAAAATATCCGATTATCCTAATTAATTAATTTCTTTCCGCATCCTTTGCATGCGAGTAAGAGAGACAGAGCTAGTGCGCGAACTACGCATGCGTGCAGTTCCAGACTTGCTCTTTCGGGCACTCAGTTCAGCACAACCTTATAAAAACTAATATGGTAGTTGCGTCTTGTTCCTTATACTTACATATATGTCCCGACAAATCTAATACGCATTCTATTATCATTTTATAATATCCATAATATATTTATAACCGTGATTTACAGAAAAAACTTCGTATTCGCAACAAAACAAAATATTAAGGACAGAAATATCTATTTATTTTGCGGCATATAATTCAGTTACCAGCATGAGCTTGGATCTGCAGTCGATAAGGTCACCAACTGTTAAGAAGATCAAATTTTCGGAGAGGGAACCTGAGAAACGACTACCGTATCCAAGGAAGGCAGCAGGCACCCAATTTCCCCATTTATCTGATTAGTCACTGTCTTATAAAAACTAATATGGTAGTTGCGTCTTGTTCCTTATACTTACATATATGTCCCGACAAATCTAATACGCATTTCTTCCTAAAGTATTGAAAATATTCGTAGGTTCGAAAGTGATGCTAAGGTCGAACATTGACGTGTCAAAAGGTTTAGTAAATGGTAACATGGGTTTTATTACAGAAATTATCTGGCCAAATTTTCGCAGGGGCCAAGTATATGCTGAAGATATTCCGTCCGTTCGTATCGATTTTGGTTCGGACGGAGTACACGTAATTAAACCAATGTCGATACAGTTCCCAGCAAAATATAGCTATGGAACTGTTGAGCGACGAATGTTGCCATAAATCCTGAGTTGGGCGTCGACCGTCCACAAGATGCAAGGTTGTACAGTTGATCATGCAGTCATTTATTTGGGTCGCTGCTGGACAAGCTTATGTGGCACTTAGTCGTGGAAGATCCTTGGACGGTATACGAATTGAAGAACTTGATTGTTCGAAATTAACAGGAAGAACTCCATGTAACAGTGAAGCATTGAATGAAATGATTCGATCACGAGATAAACCATAAAAGAACCTGCAAGAAGTACCACAAGTAATCTTCTAAGCTACGTAATGGAAATGGTACCAACAGTGGACAATGGGGGGCAGATCGACGCCGCATACTTCGACTTCAAAAAAGCTTTCGACTTGGTCGATAATGACATGTTGCTGAAGAAGTTGGCAGGCTTCGGATTCACTCCGCATCTACTTAACTTCTTTGCAAGTTATATGAGTGACAGGCAGCAATATGTGGAGTATGCAGGACACAAAACGCGACCATATTTTACTAGATCTGGCGTCAGTCAGGGAAGTAACTTGGGTCCTTTGGAGTTTTTATTAATGGTTAACGATCTGCCGAGTGTCATACAAGAGGCCAAGTGTTTGTTATTTGCAGATGACCTGAAATTGTCTCTCGCTGTTGGAAGCATTGTGAAAAGCTGCAGAGGGACATAGACAGAGTCGTTAGTTGGAGCAAGCAGAATCGGTTGCAGTTTAACGTGTCGAAGTGTGTGACTATCTCATTCTCACGTGCACGCACACCTATCCAACACAAGTACACGATGGAGGGGACTGAGATGACCAGGGTAACTGAAGTGAGGGATTTGGGAGTGCGTTTTACCACTGAGCTAGCGTTTCGTGATCACGTACTCAAAGTCTGTAAAAAAGCTTATAGGAACTTGGGGTTGGTACTTCGTATGGCTAAAGATTTTACCAATATAAAAGCTGTTACAGCATTATATAATGCTTTAGTTAGGAGCCAACTGGAGTGTAATGCAGTTATCTGGGCTCCATATGAGACTAAATATAGTCTCATGTTGGAGCGGGTGCAAAATAAATTTATTAGATTTATTTACATGAAGTTGTACGGAGTCTATCCTTTTTATCCGTTAATGTATCCTACCCTGTTTATATTAGGTATGGTTGGATATAATGAACTGAGGGTCAGGAGGGAACTCACACTCGTAACCTATATCTTTAATGTGATTAGAGGGGGAATACATAATGCAGATGTATTAGAGAGGGTGGGTCTGTGTGTCCCAGACGGCTACGCGGGACGTCGGCGGCGACCGCGCCTTCTGGCGGTGCCGCGCGCACGCACTAACTTACTACGCGAGGCACCTTTGACGCGCGAGCTGCGCACACTCAACCTCATAGCTGACGATGTGGATATATTTTGTTGTTCTTTGAGTGAATTTACAATTATAGCACTATGTAAAATTGGTTAATTTAGTTTGTAATTTGGTTTAGTTTGGCTGAAGTTTAATTAATGTGGCTACAATATCGCCTTGGAATACTACTGTAAAGATATTGTAAGAAAAAATAAAAAAAATAAAAATAAAAAAAAATTTACAATCAGTCACATTAATGCTTGGGTATGGAATTTTCAATCCGTTACTACTCTACATGATACTATAATTAAAGGAGCGAATCTGTTGGCGGCAATGAGAATGAGGATGAGTGTGAACCACCCCACGCTTTTTTACAATAATGTACATTCATTTTTTTTACACTGTACTTAATCAAACTTAATCAAATTTACACTATTCTTAATCCAAATTTATTAAACTTTATTTTCTGTTTTTTAGTTGGATTTTCTATAAAAGCGTGTTTTTTTTAGTTTTTTTAAACTATTATTTATTTCAAAACACAAAGACATCTCCCTTTCGCGAAAGGTTCTACTACCAGTAGAGAACATTATCCATCCCAGTAGATGAGACGGGTAATTAATCGATCGATCGATGGCGCGCTCTTTTGATTCATTTTACCGCCTCTATTTCGTGAAAGTATAATACAGATAGTTCTAATCTTATTTCTTGCATTTAACGTGTACTTCTTGTTGAATTGCTCTCAATCCATATAATTAAAAAATAAAAAATTTTTAAAAAAAAAAAATAAACCATGTTTTTTAATTTTACCCCCGGGGTAAAATAATCCCGGGGGTTTGAACCACATTCGTACTAAAGACAATAGGCGTCAGTGCGTCAACTTGCTCTTTCGGGCACTCAGTTCAGCACAACCTTATAAAAACGAATATGGTAGTTGCGTCTTGTTCCTTATACTTACATATATGTCCCGACAAATCTAATACGCATTCTATTATCATTTTATAATATCCATAATATATTTATAACCGTGATTTACAGAAAAAACTTCGTATTCGCAACAAAACAAAATATTAAGGACAGAAATATCTATTTATTTTGCGGCATATAATTCAGTTACCAGCATGAGCTTGGATCTGCAGTCGATAAGGTCACCAACTGTTAAGAAGATCAAATTTTCGGAGAGGGAACCTGAGAAACGACTACCGTATCCAAGGAAGGCAGCAGGCACCCAATTTCCCCATTTATCTGATTAGTCACTGTCTTATAAAAACTAATATGGTAGTTGCGTCTTGTTCCTTATACTTACATATATGTCCCGACAAATCTAATACGCATTTCTTCCTAAAGTATTGAAAATATTCGTAGGTTCGAAAGTGATGCTAAGGTCGAACATTGACGTGTCAAAAGGTTTAGTAAATGGTAACATGGGTTTTATTACAGAAATTATCTGGCCAAATTTTCGCAGGGGCCAAGTATATGCTGAAGATATTCCGTCCGTTCGTATCGATTTTGGTTCGGACGGAGTACACGTAATTAAACCAATGTCGATACAGTTCCCAGCAAAATATAGCTATGGAACTGTTGAGCGACGAATGTTGCCATAAATCCTGAGTTGGGCGTCGACCGTCCACAAGATGCAAGGTTGTACAGTTGATCATGCAGTCATTTATTTGGGTCGCTGCTGGACAAGCTTATGTGGCACTTAGTCGTGGAAGATCCTTGGACGGTATACGAATTGAAGAACTTGATTGTTCGAAATTAACAGGAAGAACTCCATGTAACAGTGAAGCATTGAATGAAATGATTCGATCACGAGATAAACCATAAAAGAACCTGCAAGAAGTACCACAAGTAATCTTCTAAGCTACGTAATGGAAATGGTACCAACAGTGGACAATGGGGGGCAGATCGACGCCGCATACTTCGACTTCAAAAAAGCTTTCGACTTGGTCGATAATGACATGTTGCTGAAGAAGTTGGCAGGCTTCGGATTCACTCCGCATCTACTTAACTTCTTTGCAAGTTATATGAGTGACAGGCAGCAATATGTGGAGTATGCAGGACACAAAACGCGACCATATTTTACTAGATCTGGCGTCAGTCAGGGAAGTAACTTGGGTCCTTTGGAGTTTTTATTAATGGTTAACGATCTGCCGAGTGTCATACAAGAGGCCAAGTGTTTGTTATTTGCAGATGACCTGAAATTGTCTCTCGCTGTTGGAAGCATTGTGAAAAGCTGCAGAGGGACATAGACAGAGTCGTTAGTTGGAGCAAGCAGAATCGGTTGCAGTTTAACGTGTCGAAGTGTGTGACTATCTCATTCTCACGTGCACGCACACCTATCCAACACAAGTACACGATGGAGGGGACTGAGATGACCAGGGTAACTGAAGTGAGGGATTTGGGAGTGCGTTTTACCACTGAGCTAGCGTTTCGTGATCACGTACTCAAAGTCTGTAAAAAAGCTTATAGGAACTTGGGGTTGGTACTTCGTATGGCTAAAGATTTTACCAATATAAAAGCTGTTACAGCATTATATAATGCTTTAGTTAGGAGCCAACTGGAGTGTAATGCAGTTATCTGGGCTCCATATGAGACTAAATATAGTCTCATGTTGGAGCGGGTGCAAAATAAATTTATTAGATTTATTTACATGAAGTTGTACGGAGTCTATCCTTTTTATCCGTTAATGTATCCTACCCTGTTTATATTAGGTATGGTTGGATATAATGAACTGAGGGTCAGGAGGGAACTCACACTCGTAACCTATATCTTTAATGTGATTAGAGGGGGAATACATAATGCAGATGTATTAGAGAGGGTGGGTCTGTGTGTCCCAGACGGCTACGCGGGACGTCGGCGGCGACCGCGCCTTCTGGCGGTGCCGCGCGCACGCACTAACTTACTACGCGAGGCACCTTTGACGCGCGAGCTGCGCACACTCAACCTCATAGCTGACGATGTGGATATATTTTGTTGTTCTTTGAGTGAATTTACAATTATAGCACTATGTAAAATTGGTTAATTTAGTTTGTAATTTGGTTTAGTTTGGCTGAAGTTTAATTAATGTGGCTACAATATCGCCTTGGAATACTACTGTAAAGATATTGTAAGAAAAAATAAAAAAAATAAAAATAAAAAAAAATTTACAATCAGTCACATTAATGCTTGGGTATGGAATTTTCAATCCGTTACTACTCTACATGATACTATAATTAAAGGAGCGAATCTGTTGGCGGCAATGAGAATGAGGATGAGTGTGAACCACCCCACGCTTTTTTACAATAATGTACATTCATTTTTTTTACACTGTACTTAATCAAACTTAATCAAATTTACACTATTCTTAATCCAAATTTATTAAACTTTATTTTCTGTTTTTTAGTTGGATTTTCTATAAAAGCGTGTTTTTTTTAGTTTTTTTAAACTATTATTTATTTCAAAACACAAAGACATCTCCCTTTCGCGAAAGGTTCTACTACCAGTAGAGAACATTATCCATCCCAGTAGATGAGACGGGTAATTAATCGATCGATCGATGGCGCGCTCTTTTGATTCATTTTACCGCCTCTATTTCGTGAAAGTATAATACAGATAGTTCTAATCTTATTTCTTGCATTTAACGTGTACTTCTTGTTGAATTGCTCTCAATCCATATAATTAAAAAATAAAATACATGTTATTAATCACAGGTGCTAGGTAATCACGAGTTTGACCACGGCGTGGAAGGCCTAGTGCCTTATTTGGAACGTTTGCAGGCGCCAATGCTTGGCGCTAATGTGAATACCGCTGGTGAGCCATCTATGACACCCTACATTAAGAACCATATTATTGTCGAGCGACGAGGTAGAAAGATAGGAATCATTGGAGTGCTGCTGCGACAGGTAATACAAAAGTTTATCTAAGTATACTATTATATGTTAATTAATTTTTCAATATCTGAAAAATAACTTTTGCTTTACGTTTAGTACATGTACCTGCTATCTATAAAATTATGCTATAAATTGAATTAGTAATTAACTATTTGTTTTTAGAAAAAACATATAACTGGCTATTTCGGTTTTTTTTTTCGATTTTCTGTAGCAAAAAAGATAAAAGAAATACCACCAAGCTCAACATTTAAGCAGCAAAATTTTTGTTTTCCTTACTTATTTTTATATTTTCTATAAAAGTTCCTGGAGATTTTTACCCGAACTTAATATATTTTAGTCTGCTGAGAATATGTTAACTTTACGTTCTTAGAATCTCTTCAAAGTTTGCAAATAAATGATAACGCCATTTTGTTCCAGTTTTCTGCACCCATTGGAAATGTAGTAGTGGAGGATGAGTTGGAAGCTGTGAACCGCGAGGCCGCCATCTTAACAGAGCAAAACGTGGATATCATCATTGTACTCTCACATATTGGATACACTAGTGATTTGTGAGTGTCGATCAGTTGATGTCATTTATTACTTAGTATATTCTTGTATTGACATAACATTGATATAATTTAAACTTTAGACATATTGTTAAAACATCAAGACAATTTTGACTAAATCAGCAGCAGCATGTCAGATATTCCAAAAATACAGTTTTAGAATTTCTGACAAATTAAAAACGAAAGGGTTACAATTGCCTTCTAACTATCTTTAATTTTTGCCACTTTAATGTCGTTCTTGAATACTAAATAATATTAAATCTTGTAGTAAAATAATATATAATACAATGACATTGAACCCTTCGTACGGAGCTCCAATTCGACCTAGGGCACGCCGTTATCGTAAGACGCACGGAGGATTAGCTCGAGAGGCATCACGGAACCCTCTCATACAGGCTGACGCATGTGATAACCGGGAAAGGATGCTTCGGAGATTACCTGTGTCTAATCTGTGTCTGAGTGCCACCACTGCGACGGCCGGACCGTGGACACGGCGCTCCATACGCTGGCAGAATGCCCGGCGTGGGTGGTGCAAAGGCGTGGCCTTATGGCGGTCATCGGAGTGGGACTTGTCTCGCTCAGTAACACGATTGCCGCCATGGTACGAGCCGAGCCGAGCGAAGTGCATGGAACTCCGCCGTCTCCTTTTGCGAGCAGTAATCTGCTCATTCTTAATTCTGCAAGCATAACTGTTTGCGAAGGCGATGGCAGAGCAGGACCGGGAGAGGTTCAGAACTTACCCGTTCCGCCAGCCCGCTAGGAAGACAGGTGAGGCCACCTGTCACTCTAGCAGAAGCAGGCCATCGGGAACATCATAAGGAACATCGGGGTTCCCACACAGGAGGGGGTTAGGCGGTTTTTGGTCGGTTCAAGGCCAACCTAATCACCCCACTGGTGGGTGGTATCCGAGAGGAGGTCCGCACAGGAAAAAAAATTCTAATTCGACCCGCCTGGATCCTGTGAGAGTTGGATTTGCATGCGAAGGGTTTTTTGTTATTATGAAATAATTATGTGTTCTTAGGTGTATGCAAAAGAAGAATATTATAGCAACTTTTGTCAATAACCAATATGAATTTTAATTTTTAAGAACTTTTTAAATTGATTCGACAGTAAGTACCTACTTACAGTGAGAATTCGAACAACTTAACTTGATGGCTAACTGAAGCTTCCATATTGAATCAAATCACAAGACAAGTGCAATGATTGTTCAGTGGGACCATACTTACGGCTGTAAAAAAGAAAAAGAGTATGCTTTATAAGAGAGATCTATAGGGGATAAGCTGGAAGAGAGAATCGTTTTCTAAAACTGTTTTTTAAACAGGGCATTGGCTGCAAGAGTTTCGCCTACTGTGGACATAATAGTGGGCGCGCATTCACACACCTTACTTTACAATGGAGAAACACCAGATGGTGCCACCCCACTCGGTACCTATCCTACGATTGTAGAACAATCAAATGGACACAAGGTACATATTATTCGTAGAACATTTTAAAAATATAAATTAAGCGTAACACAGATAGAGAACTAAGAAGATTGTCATTCTTTATACATAAAAGAGTTATTGCGTAATGTGTAATGATTTATCGTGTGGAGACCTAGATGGGTTTTTAAGCATAGTTAAATTATTGAAAACATGAGCAATCAAGCAGTTCATGGTTTTTAAGGGTCAAGCTTAAAAAAAAAAGTCCTTTAATAAAATATACAGTAATGAACACTTTACGTGTCCTGATGTCTCTACGCTTACGCCCCGCGATGAGTTCGGTATCGCCTGAATTTGCGTTGTATTCCAAATATCAGTACCTTATATGTTGAAATAGTGCAAAACTACTTAAGTACGCATATATTATTTCATTATCTTTGCCTTACTTAAGGTGAAGCTGTCTGATGTTTAAAATTTATTTTGTCGTTAGATTCCAGTAGTTCAAGCGTCGTGTTACACTCGCTACCTGGGCAACATCAAGTTCTTCATTAACGAACAAGGCATCGTTGAAGATTGGGAAGGGTTGCCCGTCTACCTGGGTACTTCCATAGTACAGGGTCAGTACCTAGTAGCATTGTATGTTAATTTTTTATTTACTTTATTATAGAGTATCTTTAATCCAAAAAACGTTATGTTCCTGAGGGACAGAAAAATAACTGCTATGTTAACAAAACCTTTTGTTAGTGGAGCTAGTGGAAAACTTTATTCTCCTCTAGCTTTTGCCCAGAGCTTGGCTAGCCACTATTGCTTAAATATTATTTGAACACGTCGTTTTATCAACACAGATCCTAAAATTCTAATGGAATTGGAACCATGGCGCCAGCAGGTCGACACGGTAGGCAAGGAAGTGCTAGGTGTGTCAAGAGTCACTCTAAACAGGTCGTGGTGCTCAAGTGGCGAATGCAACCTTGGCAGCTGGGTCTGCGATGGCTTTTTGGAAGAGGTACTTACCTATTTAGGTAGCTTAAACGAAAGCTTCTCTATACACCTAATAATGTTGTGAACCTTCACCAGCAGTTTACTTTAATAATTTTTTGCCAACGACGGCGAAATTTTGTGGTTATAATCACAGTTTCTTTCAGAAACTCCAGCTATTGTAACTGAAATCTAAATGGCCACTTGGTCATGTTATGATGACCGATTCCCGTCAGACACTTAATATAGTGGCCGGCTAATACAATTTACACCTTTTTATTTTTCTTACGCTTTAACCTGATTCAGAATAGCGATTTACATTCTTTTATTTGTTTTCGTTGTTACAGCTCATGTTAACGCGCCCAGGTACCGGTTGGAATACAGTAGACGTTTGTCTAGTCAACACTGGCGGACTTAGGGTCCAAATTAATCCTGGAAGTTAGTATCTTAAATTACACAAATGTATGTTTATACACCAAATCGTGTATGGAAAATGTTTATGAAAACTTTAAAACGGCGACAGCGCGTCTCCTATGAAATAGCATGTTTGTAACATTTTTTATTTTCTTTCGTTAACAGATGTAACCACCGAAAGTCTGCTAATGGCGGTACCATTCGAGAATTATGTACAAATCTACGACCTGAAAGGCCAATATCTCCAGGAAGCGCTAGAGTTCGCCGTCGGCGTTTCTTGGAATACCACATTTTCTAGCGGACGGATGTTGCAAATAGGGGGTAAGTTCACCATTACAGATTTAACTTATACGGACGAAGCTGGACGAACCAACAAAAATTAAGTCCTGTGTCAAGAACACAAGAGTTAGAACATAAAGAGATTTTCGCAAATTTTCCAAATGTAACAAAATCTTTCATTTCAATTAAACTAATTAGTCAGTCAGTCAGATTACTATCAGGTTAATTGTATAGAGAAGAACAGGCAAGACTAAACCTGCTTACTTGTTGTTGTATCTATCAGGTATACATATGGTTGTCAACGCAAATGAACCCGTCGGATCCCGTGTCACGGCCACCATTCGGTGTACCAACTGCGATGTGCCACGTTACCTGCCGCTTGAACCTAACAAGACGTACAAAGTCTTGACCCAGAACTACATTGGCGATGGTGGTGGTGGTTTTTCGGTAAGATATTATTAATTTTGAAAAGAGGAGTCGCGATCGATAGTTTAAGAGCTATTCCAAACTGCCAGATGATGATTAGGATAGAGATGATGGTTAGGTTAGTGGGCAAAGGCATAATAAAGAAACAGTAGAAACTGCAGTGCAGCAGTCAATAGCTAGAAATGCTCTTGTTGGACACAAGATGAGACAATAAGACGATACCGAAGTATCAACCTAGGATTGCACGTCATGCAACCGTAGGAAATACAAGAAATCACTCCTCCTACTATCTGTAGGATTCTCGAAGCCTCAATCCTGACAAGTGAACTATAAAACATTCCACCCAGTTTGTAGACAAATCTTTCACTGTGCAAGCAGTAAGACTCTGGAACAACTTGCCTGAATCAATCCGACAAGCTAAAACTTTTTTTTTAAATTATTAAAGGATTTTTATGTGTCATTATAAATACTGTTCTGGTTCACTATTTAATATATTATATATTCCAAATATGTATGGGTATGTGTGTATGTATATACATATGTGTATTTTTATATGTGTAATGTCCATAGATGTATATTTGTGTATGAATGTGTTTGTTTATGTTTCTGAATATTTTTAAATATTCATGTGATATTGTGTTACGTGTATGTATACTACTCTAAATGGTTAAATACCTAAAATCCGTGTTAAGGTTGTCTGGAAGAGATCGCTGTGAGCGATAAGACCGCCGATTGTTACGTTTACTTATTTGTAACTCATCTTCTGTTATTTTCTATTAAAGTGTATACAATAAAGATATAAATAAATAAAGTTACAGTGAGCGCAGACCAGAAATAATCGAAGTTGCAATATACTATAATAAGTTTTTGACAGTTCGATAAAGAGTCAATATGTTAACCACTGGATCACGTTGCCGATTGGAATATTTCTCTAAGTTTGAACTTGAATTTTAAAGTATTGATGTTATAATTTTTCGTAACGAATAATAAAATTAAGATTTAACGGCCCAGATGCGTTTTCTATGTAAACACTATAAAAATCCCAACACGCAAGCAACGCACGTTATGTGAGTCTGTGTACCAGTTTAAAAAAATTGTCGATATTTTACAGATGTTAGCCGAACACAGAGAAAACCTAGAAAACTTGGAAGTGGACTACGTGTTACTGCAGAGGTACATGAGAAGACAAGGAATCGTGGTGAAGGATCTCGATGGCCGAATAGAAATAGTTTATTAATATTTTATTCTATGACCTCTATTAGCTAAGAATAATAACAGCAAGGGAAAAATGACTATACACCTATGGCATATAGTTGCGAGTATACAACAATCTCAGCATAATTGTGAAACACGAATAAAAGTAACGGGGCACTTTCTTGTTTCAATTCTTCTGAAGAGATACCCATCTATGAATGTTATCTCCGACTCCCTTGACACATGACAAATAAGATAAAAGTTATTAAAATATGTGGTACCTACATATATCAAAAGCTTCTGATAAAGAGGTAATGATAAAGAAATTACGCTAATAATTTTTATCCTTCATTAAACAAATACAAAATACTTAGCTCTTATCTTTTACAACCAATATAACTGATAACATGTCAAATCGTAGCGGATTATTGCCCATATGCGATAATAACCTCCAATGTGAAAAGGATTCTCCCATTATACGTAGTTTAGCACCCGTCGCTGCGCCTCAGTTTAGGGGCAAGGCCTTCTACAGTGAGGGCGCCCTTAAGATGTGGTGCAGCGACGAATATGCCCTACAGTGGCTTCGCCGATCCCTGGTAAGGATCCCATCACCACGTGAAGGCACCAAACTGGTCGTCAGGAGGCAGTCTGAGATCCCGAAAAGGATCAAGGCTGGACTCCTGGTACCACAAATCGGACCAGATGATACACTGGTCCGTATTCAAACGAGGCTAAAGTACCAAAATAGCCAGTACAATGTGGCCAACTGGGCCCTCTACCATGCCGAGGCGCAGGAGGAAAAGAAATGTCTCTTCCTAGTGCTCGGTATCCCAGAAGAGGACGTCGTGAAGCTCAAGGCTAGCGAGCGTAGAGTATACTACAAACTGGGTAACCTCTACGTTCGCTTCCTTGATGAACGTCCCGCCCCACCAACTAACCCAAACGAGGAGCCATTCGAGGGGGGAGGAGAATCGGCCCTACAACACCCTAAGGACGGCAATGGAGGGGATCCTCTGAGACCCGTTGAGGAAACAGCCTGCCGGGGTCCACCTCCTGAGGAGTTGGAGGACCTACCGGTGGGCGAGAGTGACCTCGACGACATAGAGGATATGCTGAACAGCGATGATGGCGCTGTCTGCACCCCCCCATAACACCCTTATAGCCATCCAAATCAACCTCCAGCACAGCCATACAGCAACGGCTACCCTACGCAGAGAGCTGGAGGTAAAAACCAACACCGTAGCCCTAATCCAGGAGCCGTGGATTAGGAAGGGCAGGATCTGCGGTCTAAATAATATTGGAGGTAAGATACTTCTCAACACTACCATTGATAACCCGCGCACTTGTATTTATACACCAAAACATGCGTGTACTACCTTAATGACCGAGTTCTGTTCCAGAGACCTTACCTCTGTTAGGTTAAAGGAACCCTCATCAAACCTGCCTGACGTGGTGATAGCATCAGCCTACTTGCCGGGCGATGCTGACATCCCCACTCCGGAGCTGGCTGCGCTGGCACACCACTGCGAGCGCGAGGGTCTAGAGCTGATCATCTCTGCCGACACCAACGCGCACCATGCGCTGTGGGGCAGCAGGAGCAACAACCGGAGAGGTGAGGAATTTGTATCGTTCCTATTATCAACCAACCTTAACATTATCAACGTGGGCTCGGAGCCGACATTTGTCACGTCCAGGGCCCAAACTATAATTGATCTTACATTAGCAAGTGAGCACGCATCGCAACACATATCGAACTGGCATGTTTCGAACGAAGCATCGTGCTCAGACCATCGCTGGATCAAATTTAACTTTGAAATGAAACTTAAACTACCCGATCCCCGACGGAATCCCCGCACGATGGACCGGAAACGGTATGAACATCTTACTGCGGAGAATCTGCGAAGCATCAACCCAACATACGCTACGGGGACTGTTAAGGACATTGACAGTCATGTTGTCAACCTTACACAGACACTGATCGATTGCTTTGAACAAACATGCCCACTTTCCACACCCAGAACTGGACCACAGAACAAACACCAATGGTGGGGTCCGGAACTGGAAAGACTACGTCGTAAAGTGAGAAAGTTGTTCAATAAAGCAAAAAACTCGCGATTAGACCAACATTGGGATGCCTACACGCAGGCCCGACAACAATATAAGAAGAGAATCAGAACCAGGAAAACTGAGTGCTGGAGAAACTTCTGTACTAACATAGAGAACAACAACCAGGCCAATAGAGTCAAAATCATACTGTGTAGTAGAGGCGAACACAATCTTGGCTCACTGAAGAAGCCTGATGGTGAGTATACCAAAACAGACTCGGAAGCCTCAGAGCTGTTATTAAAAACACACTTCCCTGGATGTCGCATATCAGATGTGATGGAAAAATGGGAAGACAGATGGGAAAAACCACCAGATGATACAGACTGGGATACGGCCCGCAAAGTTGTCACCCATGACAAACTAAGATGGGCAATTAACAGCTTCCTACCATTCAAGGCGCCAGGACTAGATGGTGTCTTCCCAGGCCTACTGAGATGGTCTGATACGACATTACTGGACCATCTTATAAAAATCTATAGGGGCTGCCTGGCGCATCAGTACATCCCCTTGAAATGGAGAGAAGTTAAAGTAGTCTTCATCCCCAAACCTGGTAAAGGTGACTACACACAACCCAAATCACACCGACCTATTAGTCTCACATCTTTCCTACTAAAGGTTCTTGAGAGGCTAATAGATAGGGAAATCAGGGAAACTGCGTTAGTCAGTCACCCTCTACACCTCAATCAACACGCATACTCGATGGGTAAATCAACAGAATCTGCCCTACATCGAGTTGTTTCATATATAGAAGACAATCTAAATCACAAAAGGTCAACACTGGCCACCTTTATCGATATCGAGGGAGCCTTTGACAAGACCAACTTCACCAGCATTAGCCAAGCTCTTTCTAGGCATGGTGTTGATTCCACAATCTCAGGGTGGATTGACAGCATGCTAAGATATAGAGCTATACAATTCACTGTGAGCGAAGTGACTAGAGGAGTGGTGGCTAGAGGTTGCCCCCAGGGCGGTGTACTCTCCCCCCTTCTATGGAACATTGTTGTGGATGAGCTCATCGCACAACTCAATGACCAAAGATTCCTCACAATAGGCTATGCAGACGATCTTACCATTCTCATCAGCGGTCCTTTTGAGAGCATTACATGCGATCAAATGAGACTTGCACTGAAGATCGTGGAACAATGGTGCGCAGCACACAACCTGACAGTGAACCCATCCAAAACAGAGATGATCATGTTCACAAACAAACGCAGCCTAGGAAATCTCAGACTTCCCAAGCTATTTGGAACACAACTTACTCTTACCAAAGAGGTCAAATACCTAGGAGTAATACTGGACAGTAAACTCCTGTGGAATAAGCACCTCGATGAAAAACTGAATAAAGCCTGCATTATTTTCTGCCAATGCAAGCGGCTACTCGGCAAAAGCTGGGGACTATCACCCAAAATTACTTTATGGCTATACAGGACAGTCATAAGACCAATAATCACTTACGGTGCTGTTGTCTGGTGGCAGAGAACAGAGCTAAGCACCGTCATAAACAAACTGCAGCAATTCCAGCGACTCCCATGCTCCGCGGTCACTGGCTGTATGCGCACAACGCCTACTGCCGCACTGGAGGTGGCTCTTGGTCTGCCACCCCTGGATCTATTCATACAGCAGGAGGCCGCCATGGCGATCATCAGACTCAAACACCTGGGTCTATGGCACAAAAGGGAGGGATCGCACTCTAAATTATGGGATCAATTGGTGGAATACGAACCACTGATAGCAGCTCCATGCGATAGAATCCCAAAACACCATATCTTCACAAGAAGATACTACATCCAGATACATGGAAATGACCGTGATCAATCCGGCATTAACGAAGTCCGAATTTACACGGACGGTTCCAAGACTAGGTCAGGAACTGGAGCCGGAGTTTTCTCGCAAGACCTAAATATAAACATATCACTAGCGTTAGGCCAACACAGCTCCATATTTCAATGTGAATGTGTGGCAATAACTTACGCCGCCACAACGGCCATGTCAAGGGGTATCAAGGACTACAACATCCGAATAATATCCGACAGCATGGCCGTCTTAAAGGCATTGGAGGGCAACACAATGACCTCTGGTGTTGTCCTCGAATGCCACCAAGCACTGGAACAGCTCGCTATATTCAATGGGGTACTCCTCCAATGGATTAAAGGGCACAGTAACTCACACGGGAACGATGCCGCAGATGAGTTGGCAAGGAGGGGATCGGCAACCCCAACCTCTGGCCCAACCCCACTTCTGCCCATATCGTTTAACCAAATACGATGCTGGGTCAGGCAACGGACCTGTGAAGCACACAACCGGAGGTGGAAAAACTCACCCGGCTGCAGACAGTCCAAACTGGTGCTGAATCAAGTCACGCCACGACTCACCTGCAGACTGATCAGTCTTAGCAGACCGGACATCAGAATGGTTGTCGGAACTATTACAGGACATCTAGCTCTGAACCGACAACTATTCATAGTCAATGCGACGGACAGCCCCCTGTGCAGGGGGTGTCTGGAAGCTGAAGAAACGGCCGCCCACGTAGTCCTGGAATGCGAGGGAGTGGCCACACAACGGGCAAATATCATTCCTGATATAAAGTCGCTCCTAGAAGCCTGTGAACGCCCCAGGAGGCTTCTGCGCTTCTGGAAGGAGCTTGGCTGGCTCACCTAGTCAGCCAATCCCCGACGCATAAAGGACCACTCTGAGTCTAAATGCGGAAACCGAGGCCCACAACCAATACCAATACCAATATACGTAGTTTTTGTTTCAAAGGTGACTCCAAAGTATGTTTAGCTATAATTAAAGAAAATCTGTTCAGATGTTCGAAAATCATTAGCTTTTGCTGAACGATGAAATATGTTTTGTGAACGGGTATTCTAAACATTTAATTTACGTTTATAAGACAACAGCCGTTTTAGGAATCATACTTCTCGCGTGGTACTTTACTTTTAAATTATGGGTTTTTCCGTGCGGAAATCCCCTCGGATACCACCTATCGGTGGCATGTCGGACTCGAACCAACTAAAACCGCACGCCGTCTCGGGTACTAATAGCCGGGGAACCAGGTATACCCTAGAAAGGAAGTCCCTGGTGCGGGTCAAAGAGCACGTAGACTCAGGATAACTATGTGAATTTTATACTTAGAAAAATTTGAACGGTGTCAAAATTGTCAAAAAAAAACCAAGCAATCTGTCGTTACTGGATAATGTAGGTGATATACGTAGCAGTTTTAAATAGAAATAAAACAGATAACATTGAGTCTATTTAATTTATTTTCCATCAAACAATTTAATATTAATCACTTCTTTAAAAAGTTACCAGTGTAGGTACAACGTCTCGTTGTAACAAAATAAAATAATATTTAAGTACAAATATTTACAATAGTCATATTCTAATTTTTCATGTCATTACGTATGAGTTACATTTTTATGTACAAAATACAAAATAAAGCCTTATCAATAGCACACTCATTTTAAATACTTAATTAACCTAAAGATATAAGTTACTACAACACTACTGTACAGAGAAGTTGAGACACCACCAGCCGAGTAAAACAACTATTGACAAGTATTGAAGACTTTTTATTATTGGTTAATGGTAGAGTTCATTCGAGCACAGTAATGTAATGTAATATTGTATTGTTTTACATCAAGAACTGTGACAAAATAAGGGAAAATATGTGTTAAATTAAGAAAAAGTGTGTATAAGAAGAAATATTTATAAAAGAAAGAAAAAGAAAATTCAAGATGGCTGTTCGCAATTTAATGATTATATTGCTGTTCGCTTTCCCTGCAGACTAAATAACGTTAAATGATTCGGTTCTGTCAGTGGCAGTAACGGTTTACTGCCGTGTACACACACTTGGCATAGCATCAATATTGCAAAAAAAAAACAATTATTTAAATACTGAAATTAAAACACAGTTGACCTGTGAATTGGTTTCGTGGTAAAAAATATCATATTGTACACTTTATTAGACTACAAAAAAAACAAACAGTGTAGGTATCCTAGTAGTCACTAGTATTTAAAAAAATGAACTGCAAAATGTGAATATCGAATCATTAACACTGTGTCAGATCAACTTTAGGCACAGAGATGACAGACAACTCCCGTGTGAACAAGTCGATATTTTTGATGAAGTCTGTGTTGCTCTCCGTGGTGTCTCCGATGGGCTGGCTTGCGTCTAAGTACACGAGGCTGTAGTTTTTGTTCTGTACCTTTGCAATAGTGCTGTTCTCTCCTTTGTGGCCCATTATCTAAAAATAATTATACTTTATTAAATTACCGTTGATGATAATAATAATTTAAATCGTGTTAATTAAATATTGCTTGCTGCTCATATCTTGCTCAAAAAATTGGAAACCTTATAATTCGATTTCTATTTATATTCTAAACGTGAGACGTTTTTAAATCTTATTATATTATATATTTTTTAGACCTGATGCTCAAATTAGCTAAATAATAATACTTCACACATTTCACAGGTCTGATCACAAAGTAGGTATCTCAGAGCCTGTGCTATGGTAACTGTAACGGCACGGTAACAGACTGCTGATAAACATACTTAAGTGATAATGAATGATTAGGAATTTGTATTTTTTGTTAAAGGGCTGAACTCACAGACATTGCCACGGTTGAAAAATTCAGGCATTCTAAAGGTATACATTTACATCAACTAGATGTTTGTTTTGTTCAATATGTATTTTACACATCTTCAACATAATACATATATGTTTTAAATTCTTTTTTCTTTACTTATTATTTTACTTTTCTCATACAATAATAATTGATATTTTTCTATTGGAAAATGTAACCAGCAAATGATAGTCCCTACTTGTTAATAACTTGAAATAAATAATGTGTTAAATGTTATGTAATGACGTCATACCTGTACGGACAGTTTTCTGAACTGTGACTTGTTGCCCGTAGAGAAGTGGTTTTCCACCCAACTCCTGATGTCCGACAATTTAATTTTATCTATCGCCTCGGCCTCCAAAAACAGCCGGCGAAATTGGTACTCCCTGCTCACAATCTCACGCCAATTTCTTTCAACCTATAATCGACATGTTTGATACTTAAAGGGTTCTATACCTTCAAAGGGCTGGGAGATCACCGTCATTCTAAAGAAGACTTAGGTAATTCTAAATTTCTTTTGTGTTTTGACGTAGCAATGTATAAACTTTTAGCAACCACGTAGGGTACAATTTCTTTTTGGTTCTATAGAAAGATGTACTCAAGATGTCAGCGGGTAGCGGGTGGTATAGAGAGGAAGGGCAACGCGTGCAACTGCGCGTCAATACGTGTTGTAAAGTCTGTTATACTTCGGGTTCGACGCACACGTGATTACGATCTCAATATAAGTTAGACGATTACGCGACAGGATAATGTATATTAAGTCTACAAATTTCTTAAAGTCACAACATGACGTCATTCGAATGTACAAACGACATTAAAAATATTGTATTTTTTTTCATGCTGTAACATTCAAGTTAATCAGTATTGCTTTTTGTAAAACCCATAATATTTTTCAAATAAAATGAATTGAATTAAATAGACATTAATTTGGTGGAAACTGTTTCTGAAGCGACGGATTCCTCGGCAACCAGCATAAAAAAATTGTAAAGAAAGCATGGAAGCAGAGGTCAGTATAGTCACTTTCCATTCACCAGGGAAAAATCTTTTTTCAAACTTTTTTGACAAGCAAACAATTCAACTTACAATCGCATTAACAGTATTAGCACAGTAGTTTAATTTAAATATTTATTACCTCCTCCTTAAGCTCGTAATCAGTGGTATGTTTGAGTTGCACGAGCGATTGTTTGGTGGCGGCGAGAGTGCGCTCGTTGAGCCGTTTCATATCGCGAGCGAACTTCTTTAGGAACGTTTCAACCCGCGTGTCTACGTGCGATACACTTGAATGACAGAAAAAAAAATCATTTACATAATAAGGTTTAAATAACAGCTGTAGGATTGAAAACCGTATATCTGTTGTACAAATTATTTATTTATTGTAGACACGCCAGCATCATACATATATAACATTGTTCAAAATACAGTTCAACATAAAGGATAGTTCTTATACTCGTATGTATGTAGACCAATTAAAGGCATGCACAGTATACATCACTAAATAGACGCACATACAAGTAATAGCAAAATTAAGATTACAGTTAACGAACACACAAATCATTTAACAAATAACACTTTTGAACAAGAAACCTTCAGTGACAAACTATATTAAAAAAATTGTGTTATATATGATATATATGTGCCATCCACATGAGTCGTCATCAAACAATACAATCAGCGAAATCACAATACTCAAATACAACTCTGAACCAGAAGAATCTCAACAGAGAATTGCAACTCTGTAACCTTTAAGGAATCATTCACTAGCTAATTACGAAATGTCACATGTTGTCTGTAGGCTATATATGTATATAGGCTGTTATAACTAAGGAATAAAGTATTAGGTATTAGGGTTAGGCAATGTGTACGTACATCCATGATGATCCATGTGGTGACGGATTAAGAATACGGAGTGTCATCACCCATATTTATCTAGTGGGTGTCGTAAGAGCCGACTAAGGGAGCAAACTACGCATGACAACAACACTGCACAGAGAAGGAAAACTTGAAACAAACCCTATACCGACCCGTCTGGCCAGCGTGGTACAGTAGGCCAAATCCTCATTTCTAAGGAGAGGCTTAGGTCCAGCAGTGGACTGTTAGTAGCTGTTCATGATTCTGAGGGTAAGGAAAAGATAGAGTGAGATAATATCTGTGATCAAATTGATTAGGTGAACATACCTAAATTTGTCGACCTGAGTGTTGACAGTGACGGAGAAGCCTAACACGCCAAAAGTGTATCGCATCATGCTGAACACGCTGTATCCGAGCTGCTCCTTCGTACGTAGGGAGTCGAACACCGGCTCCTCCATCAGTAGCTGCCGAAGGTATTAAATATGTCAAATATTGTCTTTTTCAGTGCGGGCCAATCGTAGCGCCGAACGCGGTCACCGTGACGATCGAGTAGATGTGAAATAAACTTGCACCTAGGCCTCTGATATCCACAACCAAAATAATCGATATCTAGGGTCTGTAGAAAGACCGTTCTCGTACTTTTTAGGGCTCCAACTACCCGGAACGATTGCCACAGATGTTCGTATGGTAACCGGGACCGACGGCTTAAAGTGCTCTCACTGTGTTAAGAAATGGTCACCCATCCATAGACTGACCTGGCTAGTATTGCTTAATTTTTAATGTGTTAAACCTACTCGGTTACCACTTCACTTACACTGTGAGGTAATTATTATTACTGTCCGAAAATATAACTTCTAGAACCCCGTTGCAAAGTCTGTGTGTACTGGGTACTGGGATTTATATATTTAAAAAATGTGAAATAGTTACCATGAGCACTTCGAGCGTGGCGGTGTCTCGCGCCGTGGTGGCCTCTCCCTGGTAGTAGTTCGTCACAATGCTGTTAGTTGACTGGTCATTGAAGCTCATCACGCGGATCTTACGCTCACCTAACGGCAGCTGGACTACCTTCACCTACAAATATAATTTGTATCAATATGTTAAAGTGGTCAGAAACAGCAGGAGCGATACAATGAGCCTGACTGCGTGAAAATCGTATACTTAATTCACTAACTTAATTATATTTTTACATCTTTTTTAGCATTTCTCGTTCCAAATTACTTTTAAATATAAAGGTGGAATATATTTTTGTAAGACATTTATGAAACCCTTTACTCGTTTTGAAAAAAAAACTAAATTTGGAGACAAAGTGACGCCAAAACCGGTCATTTTAATTTTTGTAATTTCAATTAAGATAAATGTAACGAGCCAAAAACATCAAGCTGTTAAGGCTATAGTGCGTGAAGAACAAATGTACACAACCCTTCTTCTGGCACACACCCATGAAAAACATAACTTCTTTTGGTACAGTCGGATAACAAGCGAGTTTGAGCCCAATTTTTCAGTTAAATTACAAGATAATTAAAACTATGCTTCAACTTTCAAGAACAAAAGCTGTGACAATATAACATGATCAATGTTAGATACATTGGGCTTCATAGTTTCCACAGTTAAGAATTTTATTGGTAAAATGTTAAAAAGTGTTTTCCCTTACCTCAGGTATTTCCTCTTCACTAAGTCCATTCCATTTTATGTTATTGAGCACGTTGTCCGCTATTTTGATGGCCTCGTACCACGCTACGTTGCCTTGCATCAGGATCTGGCATGTTACATATGAAATTAGACATGGAAAGAAATCTTAACATAAATGACGCTTGCTTTGAGTGCTAATAGTATTTTAGGTGTATTATAAAAGTGTGCTTCTACTTTTGTTTTTCGAGTTATATCCGAGCATTAAGCATGCGATCACTATGAAATTATTGAAATAGGTGGTGTCACTAACCTGGCAGTACATGGTGCTGAGGAGTTTTTCGCTGAATTGCTTTAGATCAGTTAGCGTTAGATCATGTACAATGGTCGCCTTTTCGCGGGGAGACACGTACGGTTTTAGTAAGATGTTCATACGAACGTCCCTGTATAAAAAAAAAATACAGTTATGGTAAAACTTATTGCTAAAGAAATAATGATTGTTAGAAAACTGCCTTATTGAAATATTTTAGGGTTGTTTGCTAATAGTTTGGCACTTGACTTGTTTTCTATATAAGTTTAGATCATATTTTGACTTATAAGTATTCAAGAAGTATATGGCCGTCCTAATAGTAATCAGTGCCTAGAAAGTAACAGCAGGGGGTTTTATTATCGTTCTGGTGTTAAGAAACCCTGTCTATGATAGCAGACTTGCTATCTCAGACTTTCTTAACATAGAGTAAAACTCAAACTGTAATTGACACAACAAAACAACTGTATTTTATTTTTATTATACTACTACAGAAAAAGTGGGTCAGTAGTGTGTTACTAGTATTGGAGTGCAATATACAAGTGTCTCACTTGGCAAGCTTGTGCGGTTTGATGAGCACGTTGTGGTAGGTGCGCGCGCGCACCTCGCGCACCGCCTCGAACATCGCGTCCGTCATGTTATGCGTCGACGTCTGCATCCCTCGAGTTATCAGCTCCACTAGTAACTGCCAATATATATATTTTCAAATACCATGGTACATGCAGAATTTATCTAACCATTTTTATCTTTTAATTGGTATTTTTTTGATAGATCTATACAGATACTCAATTTTTTTTTTTAATGTGTCCATCACTATTATATATTCTGGAACACTGATAAATATTTATGCATTAACTATAACTAACTTACATACTAACAGTCGAATCAACTGCCCCATTACAAATTGCAATTTTACATTTACAATTTGGAGCTAGAAATCTTACAAGTTACTAATAAAAGCCTTTATAACTGACAGAACTGACACATTATTCATTGGAAATAATTACTGCTGCTTTTCATATACTCACATGTAGATTTTCACTATACCCGCTGACCTTCATAGTCAGTCCTTTGTCGCCGACATACAGTGAGTGAGAGAGGTCTGCCATGTTGGCTGGATACACGTCTTCCTACAAAACATAATAACGAACTCATAATACAAAAGGAAGTATGCATACAATCTGATGAGATGAGAAGAATATTTTTAGCCAAGCAAGTAAAGGGGAAAGTTTAGTAAGTGTGCAATCATCCTCTGTATATTAACTTGCTATTAAAGCAGTACATCATTTATCTCATCTCTAAGTAAAGAAGTCTATGTCTCAATGCTGATTGATTGAGAGCCGTTACCTTCCTTATATAAAAGGATCCCGTTATACTAATACATAATAATTAGATATTTTGATAGTTGAGGAATAGAAAACCTACTGTCATACCTATGACACAGTTCCTTTTAATTATTGAAGTGAAAACTTGGGCATTTTTGAACAACAAACGAACGTATTTTATGGGAAACAACCATTGAACTCGCGACAATGTAACCGTTACCGACATCTCTGTATATAAGTATGTAACTTTCACTTCTGTCGGCACTCGCGGAGTGCCACTGCCTTTTTGCATATTTGATTTTTTTATTGTAAAAGAAGGGGAAGGGGGAGGCAAACGAGCCGACGTGTCACCTGATGATAAATAACTACTTCCGCTCACGGACATCTGCTACTCAAGTGTCATTGGTGCACTGCCGCCCTTAAAGTCCCCAGATTGAAGGGGAGCCTGAGTTTGGGTTGCGGTAACCTCACACACTTGGTGAAAAGCATTGAAAGAATTGCTGAACAGCGATTTCACTCAAGCCACTGTGGCAAGGCATAGCTCTCCAACGCTCCCGCAATGTCTAACCATCAAATCCTACGTACAATATAACAGGACAATTTTTAAAACCATCAACCAGTAATAAGTTATCCCGTCTGGTGCACTCTTATTAATATGCAGTATTTTATATACTACTTCTTCACTACGACGGTTGATAATCGTATGTAACGTGCAAATTTTTGCATACCTTGAGCCCTTGTTGCAGCACATCTGTCCATAGATCAAGTAAACATGACCTGTGAATGACAAAGCCTTGTTTAATTTGTACATTTAACAAACGATACAATAGGCTAGTTGACTCAATTTGAAAACTTGGTTAATTTTATACTTTAATATCTATTAATATCTATTTAATTTTATCCTAAAAAAAGCAAGCAATATTTACATTACGTATTAAAAAAAAAAACAATTTAAATTTCGATTAGTTTAGGAAACGCTGAATAGTGTCATGGCGTCTAAAATGACGTTACAGTCTGTGAAACAAAACTGTTTACATCTGTGTCCAGTTTCAACTGAAACTGAAAAAATATGCCAAAAACGAAAAACAATATGGAGTAACCTGCTCTGTTGTATGAGAACGTCAACAACAACAATGATGTTTTGCGTGGCGTGACGTAACACTTTCTGATTGGTGTTCGCTGTCACGTGACCTAATGCCTCTTTGTTCGAATTTATTTGTAAAAAAATATTAATAATCTTAAACATTTATGAGAAATAGACTGGTTTTTTCTTATCTATGTATCTTCATTTATAATTTGAAACTATAAACCAAGCAATTTGTTATTAGTGGACACAAGCCTATTCTTGCTTGCTATCAGGCATCGATACGTAATACGACCCGGCAACTTTGTTTCTTTTTTAATGTACCCTCGTTTCGGGCAATCGTAGATTATAAGTGAATTTTATTCTTTTTGAGAATTAAATATCTTAAACCAGAACAAACCTAATACACGTCACACACGTCTACGTATTTTACGCTTCTGTATCCTAATATCTATCCTGGATCCCTATCGACTAATTATAAAGCATCCTTAAATAGCTCATTATAATACTTACTCTCGAGGTGACTTCAGACTTAGCGGTGTGATGAAGTAGAAATACAGTAAGGCTGTGGGAAAACGAAACTTAAAGTCTGGCTTGTACCACAACTCCATGTGACGATTCTTTCGGAAAAGGTTCGGTTGGTCTAGTCTGTAACATAAAAGTAAAGCAGGGATTAACACTTACTTACACATGTAATAACTTAGCAGTGTATATATAGCTAGGATATGAATTTCAAATAAATTATCCAAAAGAAAGAAGAATATAGGATAAGTTATGACAATAGAAGTGTTGCAGTGAAATACCACAGTTGAAAACCGTAAAAAACAATAGACGATGGTTTTTTTTTCTATTAGTTATAATATTGTTAAAAAATACACTCATATTGGTTGTGTAGGATGTCATTGGAGTTAGCCAATGACATCCTACACATTAGTCCATTCTCGTTAAGAAAATAGTGACGAATCGATCAAGCCCCGCCTCTGACCAATCAGTTTTTTTTTATGGTATCCACCGCCACGCCACTTCATACTGCACTGAGTGTCGTGGTCTCGATCTCCACATGGGACAACACTTTGTGTGATCCACAATTTGTTGTTCTGAGTCTGGGTGATATTTGTGTTTGTTTCATGTATTTGTTTCAAATATTCATGTATTTTACATGAATGTTTGTTTCTTTTTTTTCTTTTAGAAAGAATAAGAGTCGCCAGTGTGTGGCCGCTCTTTGAGACCTCCTCTCATAAAAAAAGGGATTGGGTTCCGTTAACCTCAGTCGCTTGATGAAAAGAGAGCACATTTATGCCGAACTATGGCTCTCCCACGTAAGATTCCAACTCAAGGTTTTTCAAATTGTCGTCTCGTACGAAAGCTTGAAACGCGATTGGTCAGGGGACGGGGTCTGATCGATGCGTCACTATTTTCTTAATGCGAATAGACTGCTAATGAGATTCTATGAAGAATCACATATGAATACACACATTTGAATATGCATCTATTCAATAAGCGACAACAAATCTTACCTGAAGTTATTAACAGTAGCAATCAAATCGCCATGTTTAAATTCCTTAACTTTCTTTTTACTACTTTCAATTTTCTTACTGATATCTTTCACAGAAATATTCGACAACTCGACACCAAGCTCCTCAGCTTCTTCTTTGTAAACAGGGTCGGGTTCTATCAGGTCGAAGTTGGTAGTGAGGTAGATGTTCTTCTCAGGTAAGTGAAACTGGGGATATGGGTCTGCGTTTATCCAACGTTCAAGCCACTTGCTGGGGATATCTGTTAAAACAATAACTGGTGATAACATGATGATTCGTAATTAAACGTCTTCCTCCTAGTGTGTGGATGTCTAATAAGAAATAAATAATAAGGAACAAAAGTAGTTCACCATCATCATCAACAGCCTTTTATAGTCCACTATTGGACAGACATAAGCCTCTTCTTAGAAAGGAGGTTTTGGCCTACTATACCATGCTGGCCAGACGAGTGGGTGTTATTTGTGTCCGTTTCATGTACGAGGGGCGGCTGAAAAGTTCGCGGCCTAGGGTACTTAACGATGAGTAATTAGCTTGTTACTCATGTCACTAGTTGCGACACTCAGAAGTATTATAAAAGCAATCACTAATTAAGTTTGCACTCACAGTTCAATTATTTATCGAACAACAAACATCACCATGTTAGCCAAATCTGAAAATTCTCGGAATTTTTAACACCGCGCCGTGATAAAACTCCTCGTAAAGAAGGGTCGTTCAGGATTCTGCGCCTTCATATACGATGGTGAAAAAATGGACTAGCCTATTTCAACAAGGACGAGAGAGCTGTGAAGACGACCCTCGCCCTGGCCGTTCTGTCGCGGTACTGACCGAAGAAAACGTCTAAAAAGTCGAAAAAATCGTCGAATAATTAAATTGTGGCAGATTGCTGAAGAATCGCAGATAAGCAAAGAAAGAGTTGGTGAAATTTTATATGAATATTTGAACATGAGAAAAATTAGCACGCGCTGGGTAACGAAAATGCTCACACCGCTCCACAAGCAACGTCCACTCGCAAGTCGCAAAGATTTTTTGAAGCTAGTCGGCGATAACAAGGAAGACTTTTGGCAACGGATAGTCACCGTAGATGAAACATGGATTCGATAAAAAAAGGAGAAAGGTCGTGGAAGAAATTCAAGGTGGAAAAGTCGGCGTCCAAGCTAATGGCGACTGTTTTCAGGGATAGCGAGGGAATTTCGCTTATCGGCTACCTATCAGGGGAACTATGATGGATGGCCAATATTACGCTCATTTGTTGACTCAGGATCGCGAGGCTACTGTACAGAAAGGACGTGGGAAACTGACGCGCGGAGTGCTCTTTCGCGGGGTTCTCAGAGATTGACCACCCTCCATATAGCCCAGACCTAGCAATTAGCGACTTTTTCCTGTTTTCCAACTTGAAAAAGGGCTTACGGGGCCGGAGATTTGCAGATGAGAACGAAATGAAATCTGCGGTTGAAGCATTTTGAAGAGAAAGATACAGAATATTTTTTGTATGGGTTAAAGGCATTGTATGTGATATGTGAGAAATGTATTTCACTTGAAGGAGATTACATATATTAAAAAATAAAAAATAGAAACCATATTATTTTCTTTCATTAAGTACCTTAGGCCGCGGACTTATCAGCCGTCGCTCGTATGTATACAGGGTTACAAGAAAAGTCGTGCTAGATCCGTTAAGGGCGTGGAGTACCCATCATTTCTGACATATTTCACTATGAAACACCCTACCCTAAACTTAACCCTTTTCGAGATAATCGTCTTTTAATTTTTTTATTGAAATTTGCTGATTTTTAGGCTACTACATTTATTTTTGTTTATTTTGTGTATCTTATTATTATTATTTTTGCATTTTTACATGTGTAATAAGATGCTTTAGGACGTCAGTCATTATAATAGTTCATAAGTTAATTGAATAGATCGTAGTAGACAAGTGAAAGTAAAGAAATAAAAAAAAATATTAGAAAATTATTTTTCTCTAACGGATATCTAAAAACAATATGGTAATTGTTCGGCAGATATTTTTTAAAATATCTACGTTTCATCAGCTATCTAACGAGGTATAATAATCTAGGGTTTGTATTACATTTCGTGGAAAAAAAGTAGTTGGGACGCTCCAGGTAACAGTTCTAACGGTCCCGCGCCTATTGTCCTTCAAGTTAAGACGCACCAAGCGAGCGAGACAAGTGACGATTTATTCACTGTGATTCTGGACTATTTCTTCTGATTTGTGACTACTGTGCTTGTTAACCGGACTCTGATTTGTACCTGTGATACGGAAGTGTTGAAGATGACGTCCTACACACCTGAGGAATATGCTGATATGCTTATTTGTTACGGATACTGCGATTGTGTGTCTGCACAAGCTCGCAACGAATACATAACTCGCTACCCTGGTCGTCGAGTGCCGGATGTGGCCGTTTTTGACAGAGTTTATCGAAGACTTCGAGAAACTGGCTCTTCTTTGAGACGAAATACCGACAGACAATTTCTAAGGAGAGGCCTATGTCCAGCAGTGGACTAGTATAGGCTGTTGATGTGATGTGATGATGTGACAGACATGGGAAGACCACGAATTGACGACGAAGAATAGGACAATGAGATAGTGATTCCTAATGCGGGAGTTGTCTTTTTAAATAGAAAAATAGAATAGTTGGTATAGGGTTTGTGTTAAGTTTTCCTTTTAGTAGTTACTACTATGATAATTAAATTTCGGAAGGGTTTTATCCCTACTAATATTATAAATGCGAAAGTAACTGCTTAATCGATTTTAATCTGGCTTGGAGATACTTTGATTTTTGAGGAAGGACATGGGCTACTTTTTACCGCGATAAACGATATGCACGCAGGCAGAGCCGAAAAAGCTGAAGTACAAAATAGTTACTACCTATTTAAACATATTTTCCTCTCATTCTTATATTTCGATGGCATATAACAATAGGGAATAAGCATGTATTTTTTTTAAACGATTCTACTAGTTATTACATTACCAAAAATAAATATAACACATCCGAAATATAAACCGTTAAGCAAAAACAATTTTATTAAAATCACTATCATTTTGGGGCAATTTGAACACGTCCATTTTGGCGCGCTTTTTTTGTGACGTCAGATTACACTTTCAGACGAATTCGATGTCAACAACGGAGTGAAGTTCACAAAGTTTGTGAAAGTTAAAAAAGTGAGTGATAAAAATTAACTTATTACCATGGAAAAGCCAATAAAAACTTATTATAAATATTGTGCCGTTCCTTTGTGCCCAAATAATATCAAAACTGCACCTGACAAAGTATATTCAGTCATTGTGTTGAGTCTTTCTACACGGGAATTTAATAATTTAACACTGAAAACGTATTAGTTATTAACTTAAAATGAAACAAATAATCACCAGAAACCAAATATTACAAATACACACAACTTGTTGACACTCTTGACAGTGTGACTTCGTCGTTGAATAAAACTGTGACGTCACGTTTTATTCAACCAATAGCGTTGCGTTTTAGAAATTTGCGAGGGAATCTTAAAAAAGCCAATTTTTGATGATTAAATTTCACTATTAAATTATAATAAATTTCAAAAATCTATCTATCTATGGGTATCTTTTTTTAGCAATAAAAATTACAAATAAAAATATTTTGTCCATTTTGGTGTCACGTGCATATTCCCTATTAGCACGAAAGAATTAGAGTTCCTGGTAAAAGATCCTCATGTTCTCGAGTTATTGCTTACTCGAATTATTCCTAAAGCGATCCGCAAAAACTATCCCCTTACTACCATTGGCATCATATAGCGGAACATACCAGTTAGTACTGAGGTATCCAGACTATCCAGTACAGATTTAAACGATTTCAACTCTAAGTAAATGATACTACTTACCCATTTTCTTGTACTCAGTGCCGAACCATTTTTCCTTAGAATCGTAGGTTATAGGCGTGGAATGTTTATTCGACAATATCATTATGTTTACTTTATCTGCACTCATGCAATCCAATAAATCTGTTATGCCCTGGAAAAAGAAACAATAGACTTGTATATTTATATGAAACTACCTGTAGTACCCTGCCACGCTTGGCACATCAAAATTGCATTGATGAGAAATAAGGAATTGACGCAAAATCGATAAAAACAATTTTTGAAGCGGTTTGTTTATCGTGTGATGTTTGTGAAGTGTACACAAACCAACTTAACAATTTATATATATAGACATATATATATAGATAAACAATCAATGTTGTTTCAGTAACATTAACAGTCACCGTCTAACAAAAAATATAATATGCAAGGTTATCTTTTGTGAATTAGTGAAACCATATGAAAATATCTCGTAAGTGGTCCAATGGTACACCCAAAAGGAATTATTACATTCTACCAGTAAAAATTTAACAAATGCTTGCATATTAAAAGAATCCATGTCTATAATAAAAACATAACATTTCAAATATACATCTAAGGCTTTTACCTATGAAGCTTGAATTTGATTGCTTAAATTTTGATAATATATAATTGTGTATATAATTGTATTACAATGTTACAGTCAGAACTCAACCCGTCGAAAGTATTTTTAACCGACAAAATCAGCAAACGTATCGTTATAACCTCATCTAACCCAAATGCACTAAGAAAAGCAGCCAAAACTACTATTTCCCAATACCGGTTGAAAATACTTTTAACCAGTTAAGACTTCTGACTGTAACATATATAAATATTTCTATCTAACCAGAGGGTATAACAGTTCAATTCTAAAGAAGTTACAATAAACTATTAAAGACATAAAAAAAAGGAAAATTAAATAATGGTTATCAGTCTACTATTTATTATACAGAAATATAACGAACAACAAACCCCTGATGGTGTTAATTCAAAAACTTGGTCCCGTTTTAATGAATTACTCATTAATTCCATAAATCTATATGGTACTAGAGATGTGGAATGTCATAACATATGTTTTTAAGAATGATAAATAAAGAAAAACAAAATAAACAGTGTGTCCTAGAAAACTCACCTTGGGGTCATATTTATAATATAGTCTATCACCAGTGATGTAGTGTTCTGGCGGATAGAAGTGCATATTTTCTGCAAGTGTTTCAACGTACTCTGACGGTTGTGATTCTTCTTCGAATCTGAAACTTGTCTCTTCTATTGTCTGGAGAAATAATGATAAAAGAAATGAGTTAGTGGCCTAATAAAGCAGGGAATTTTACACAAATACATCTTTGATTCATTAGTACTTTGAACAGCAGTTGACTTAAACCCCCGTTAGTGTAATGGCACTGGTCCATTTGCTTTAAGAAAATAGTGACACATCTATCAATACGGTTCGAAGAAATTATCGTTTCGTAGCTTAGAACCTGAATCTCGCTGCTTAATATATGCGTCACTGTTTTCTTGACGCGAATGGACTATGGTGTATCATAAGATGAAATACAATTAATTACCTTTATTTCGTCGTATATTCTTTCTGTAGGTCCAATTTGTTTCAGCATATTTATATATGAGAATATTGCTTCCAATACCTGAAATGTTACCAGATGATGTAAAAAAGTAAATTAATGCATTGGTAAAGAAATGGCCCTAAATGGGAGTTTAATATGAAATGAAAGAATTAATATTAATACGTACCTCGTCAATGTGATCCAGTCCTTGTTTAGTGAGCACGACTTGTGTAGAGAACAGGCTGTATATAGATGTGTAGTCAATGACTTTTTTTTTCAACTAATATATTTTCTGCTAATTATGATAACCTGGCACATATTCACACACACAGGTATGTAACAGTATTATAATGGAGTAGATGACCGTCAAGTCGAAGCAGTATCTTTGTATTAAACGTCATAGCAATAGACGTGACTTATTTTTGTATGAAATAATGTGACGTGATGTCAGAAGTAGCTATTTTCAGATAATTTAGTGTTGATTTTTATGAAAGAATTAATATTAATACGTACCTCGTCAATGTGATCCAGTCCTTGTTTAGTGAGCACGACTTGTGTAGAGAACAGGCTGTATATAGATGTGTAGTCAATGCCGCTTTCAGAATTACCTGTGTATATAGCTAACGCCCAAACCCTGAAAACGAGTAAAAAGTTAGTCTAGGGCCTAGTGTGAGGATATTTCACATAAAATAGTTAGTCACGGTGAAGAGTTCAGTGCAGGCCAATCGTAACGCCGAACGTGGTTACCATTGAAAGCGAGTTGATGTGAAATAAACTCTAGGCCCCTATATCCTAATACTATAATGCGATAGTGAGTTGGTTTGTTTGTTATGCTAGTTATAAATACAGACATAGGACATAGGGTATCTTTCGTAACGGAAAAAATATTTCTTTATTGTACACCATGTAACAGGTAAAATTGGTACAAGTGGCGGCCTTATCGCTCAGAGGCAATCTCTTACAGGCAACCATGCTGCCAAGTAGTGTACTGTGTACCGAATTTATTGCCAAAACTTATATAAATGCGAGCGAACACGCGCGCTGGCAGTAGCTTATTTATTGTTTACTGTTTTGTCTCATTTTTTGTGATTAGTATCTATACTAATATTATAAAGCTGAAGAGTTTGTTGGTACGGATTGAAAAATTCGTTTAGTGTTGGAGAGAACTATTTATCGAGGAAGGCTATAAGCAATGTAACATCACGCTACGTCAAATAGGAACGGAGCATCGATAAAAAAACACTCAGAAATGAGTAAAACTTGTTACTTGTGGGAGACGCATTTGAGATGAAGTTGCGGCCGGTGAGTTAGGCGCTATCAACTAAACACATAACTCTAAGCTGTAATTACTTACTTCTTCCTTAGATATGAGAGCAAACTGCCCTTCCCTTCATGTCCTAGCAAATACGATACGTATTGGTGAGGTTTTGACTCGTACTCGCGCAGCAACGATCGCATACACCATGTTAAATGGACCTGGAAAATTAAAGCGTTTTACAGGAAATCGTAAAAAAACTTTTGTCTTGTTTAATAAAAACCTTTATGTTAATATATCAAGAACATTATTCTTCAATACGATTGAATTGTCTTATCAAAATAAAAATGTGGGTACAAAAATATTGAAAAAAACTAAAGTGCTTGGTTATAAAAATGATAAAATTATATTTATTTCTGAAAGTAAATCTGTAAGAAAATTATTATTGACATTTACAGTTCAGAATGATTTATGGTGTTGTATCTATACTTAATATTATAAAGCTAAAGATTTTGTTTGTTTGGTGGAACGCGCTAATCTCAGGAACTACTGGTTCGAAATGAAAAAATATTTTGGTGTTGGATAACCTATTTATCGAGAAAGGCTATAAGGCTACACATAATCACGCTACGACAAATAGGAGCCAAGCATCAATGAATAATGATTAAGAAGAATGTAAATGTAACGGGACAATTTATTCCTTTTGAGAACCGCAGACGAAAGCTTTATGATCTTATCAACATTAAGTATGGTTGGTTAAGCTTACTATGATTTTAAATAAAATAATGTAACAAATACAGGTAGCATCTGGATATCAAAAAATACTTCAATAATTATATTAAACAACCAAATAAACAAACCAAACAGAAAAACTTTTTTTTTTCAACTAATATATTTTCTGCTAATTATGATAACCTGGCACAGATTCACACACACAGGTATGTAACAGTATTATACTGGAGTAGATGACCGTCAAGTCAAACCAGTATCTTTGAATTAAACGTCATAGGAATAGACGTGACTTATTTTTGTATGAAATAATGTGACGTGATGTCAGAAGTAGCTATTTTCAGATAATTTAATGTTGATTTGAAGATATAATATCACTAAAACATTAAATTGATAGTGGAGGATCATTCAAGGTGTACTTTAATTATTTAAACCCAGGAATCTACCCTATTATCGATATGTGAGTCTCGTTCCTTATGTATTGGAGGTAATCTTAAATTGATGTTTACAAATAAACCAGTATACGAGTATACAACGAATACCATAATTAATATAACAATTAAAGGATATCCTTATAAATATACGAACGACAATGTTACGAACCCCAATTACATACATCATCACCATCAATAATAATCAACTGCTGTACGTAGGCCTCTCCTTAGAAAGGAGGTTTTGGTCTACTATAGGTATCACGCTGGTCCGACGGGATGGTATAGAGTTTATTTGTATACACAGCACTGTTCGTTCGAGATTACATTTACATAACTATAATTTCTAAATACAGTTAATCTTACCTCTGTGGTATCTCCCACAGGTTTAACGTAGTAAATGCTGCGGAATTCTTCTGTTACAGAGTCAGGTTGGAAGGCATAACCGCTAAAGTCATCCGATGGCAATTTATTTGTAGGGATTTGGCCGAATGTGGTCGCTACCAGTTGCTCTAGAGCGGATAGGTCCATACGCGCCTGGAAATAAAAAAAAAAAACAAAATGAGCTACTAAAAATGGTTTCCAAATAATACCATGTTTTCATATATGGAAGCGATGTTCATGTTTTTTAAAAACATGAAAAGGGCGACTCCAGTAACAAAGATCGATTTATTGTGAGTCAATCAAAACAATCACTGCATTTGTGAGCCATATTTACTATACAATAATCTTTTATACACATTTATATGATTAATGAACCCGTAAAATCAATCATGTTTATTATGACAAAAATCAAACACAAACATCACTAATTTTATTCAATTTCAATGCCCGTGAAATCCATTGTTAAATGCATCTAATAAAAAAGGAGTGGATCTATCTTTTGTCTTTTCTACTATTGATGAGTGATTCTGACACACAAATATGCAACTAAGCAGTACAGAGATGTAGATACGTAGACATATGCAATATGATACGTCAATTACATTATCATTGCCGATGCTTTTCGTGCGATAAGTAGGTTTTCTGGAGGGTAGAGGCAAGGAAAACTATCTCAAAGGGGGGGGGGGGTAAGTTGAAAGTGTCCAGCTATTTACTGAAAAAAGCTACGATATGAACATAGCTGTTGAAGACGGAGTGAAGTTTGCTGAGTTGAAATATTTTAAGACTTTTATTGTCTGAAAGTTATTACACGTTTATTTATTGTCTGTAAAACTCATTGACTATTTTCGCAGTCTAGTACACAGTGTATAATTATTATTTAAGCCAATATAAATTTTGCACAATGTTTATTTCTATATCCTACTTTAACAACTTTTAGGGCTTTCTTTAAAAAAAATATCCTTATGCTACTGTAGCGCCCCAATTTAACGCATTTTGACGGACACTTTTCATACACAGAGATGGTTCTCCTTGTCTCTACCCTCCAAAGTACGTATATGTATAAAACAGATAATAATATATTTAAGCATAATATTATAGTAAAAATGCTTAAAACCGGACCTGTTGGTCTAGTGGTTAGTGACCTTGACTGCAGAACCATGGGGTTCCATTCCCACTCAGGACAAATGAATGTGTGAGGAGCACGATCATTTGTCAGCCTGATTATAGAACGGGTTCTGCCTAGTTTGGGATCAGTCAGATGTGTGAAGTTATGATTATTAACCTGGAGAATTCCACAAGAGAGGTTAGATTAAAATAAATACCTGGACGGCAACAGTCATGCGATGCGCACTGTAATGTCGTTTCCTAAATTCGTGGGCAGCTTTATGTAACTTTTCATCATCATTTATGTCATCACGGAGGCTGCGAAGGTTACCCCATGTGAACGTCCGTGCTGGATGACCTTCCGGAAACAGGCTGGACAGCAACTGGTCTTTGCGGTTTGAGTCTGATGGGGATGCTATTGCGAACTCTAGAAATAAAACATGCAACTATAGTCACTGTGCTGTAAATAAAGTACTGTTAAAATATTCCACCTCCGTAGGAAATTAGCTCTTCCCTTTTTCATTTATATTTGAAAAGACCAAAAAATATATTTAAATTAGAAAGAGGAAAGCAGTGTAAAGCCGTAAGCTTTCTAAGATGGGGTCCAGATTTCTTAATAACAGCAGTTCCCGGATCCCTCCTATTACAGGCAGAGTGGCACACCGCTTGGTTTTAGTCGGTCCGATTCTGACACACCACCCCGCCGCAACCCCCGGTGGGATGACGGCCCGAAAGGGTTTCCATACTTTAAAAAAAACCGGTCAGGTACGAGTCGAACTCGAGCGCCGAGGGTTCCGTACCTACCCAGATTTTACGTAGATTTTCGAGAAAATTTGTAAGTACCAAAATTTATCCTAATTTTCAACTTGTTTTGTTTTTTAGAATTATTCCTTTATTTGTGCTGTAAGGCGTTTCCCTCTAACCTAAATTTGTTTGTCTATTTCCTCATCTTTAATTCTTTAAGTGCACGGATGATAGCTATAGGTTTGCACCCTATTATGTGAGGGTTCCCAAAAAAATAATAGACGAAAAAAAAAACAAAAATTAATACGCCTTGTCCATCCATCCATATATGAATATATAAGTGTAAATGTAGATAATTCTGTAATAGGGTAATACTGTTTCTTATTGAATCGAATTCATACAAATGCGGGTGCCACAAAATCCTGACGTAACTTGTTACAATCGCAAAATACAGGCGACCATTAATTAATAGCTCTGTGTTGTAACTCAGTATTGTTAGCCTAGCTGCCTGCCGCATTGTTGCTACCTATTACGCTAACCACAAGGATTGACAGTTTCGTAACAAACTAAGTCATAATTTATGTAATTTTAGTGAGGAGTAAATAGTGAGCAATCCTAGAACAGACGGCTGAAAAGGTATTCAAAATATATAGCATTAGAAAACCTTGCATACAATTATTAATTTTCATTCATAGAGTGCCTGTCCCGAATAAAGACAGTATTCTATAATTACATTTATTTCATTCGCACGTTGTGATGATTGGTTTCAACCTTGCTAATATTAAATGCGAAAATAACTCTGTCTGTCTGTGTCTCTTACGCTTTCACAGCTAAACCGCTAAAGCTATTTTAATTTACATCGGCATGGAGATACTTTAATTCTTGAAGAAGGACATAGGCTACTTTTAACCGCGATAACCGGTATACACACGGGCGGAGCCAAGGGCAAAAGCTAGTTTCTCACAAAGTTCAGGCCTAATCAATCAATATTGCTAGTAGTACTTGTAGTTTTTGTTTAGCAATATATTTTTTAAATTAATGGATACAAAAATTTTAAGGTTACCTGTCTATTTATTATACTTGGCATTTGCATACTATTAAAAAAAAGATCCTCTTGACTTAAAAAGATAAGTGTACTGCTACAGAGTAAAGGTTTTACATTCAAGTGGAATAAAGATTACGGAACCGACTTATTGTGGAGGATAATTATTGATGTAACTATACAGGAAGAGCGCTGGGTATAATGGGAGAAAATTTGGAATCAACTGAAAACAGGCCTTATAACACGCTGTGCGTTTATTTATTCACAGATGATGGACTCGGTCTTACACAAGTTATTCTTTTTCAAGGTAACTGATCACAATCTAATTTTGCATGGAGACGAAATCTAAGTAGTACCTCGTAACCTTGTTCGACTGGCCTGTTGGTCTAGTGGTTAGTGACCCTGACTGCTAAATCAGAGGTAGTACTCCCACCCAGTACAAATAATTGTGTGATGAGCAAGGTCATTTGGGTGTAATTTATCTAAAATATATATGTTTTTAAGAATATATAAGTATGTCTATCAACAGTTTGGTTATCATACGGTCTGTACGGCTCTGCCTAGTTTGGGATCAGACGGCGGTGCGTGAGATGCGTATTATTATTAGTTAAAGTATTATTATTGTGTTGTTCTTTTTGTTTATTAGAATCTTATTTCTGGATTTCATATTAATTGAAACTAAAGATTGCGTAGCTACCATAATCGCCTAGCCATAATAGATCGGAAGAGGTAAAATGATTTAGGGATTTAAAAACATATCATGTTAATATTGACATATATGTACCTACAAGATTTCGGGTACACGAAATTAAACTATTCCTAGGTTGCACTACGTTACTAAAGAATTAGTGACCAACATTGTCTAAAATGCGCCAAATATTATAGACAGGAATGTGAGTACATTCATATATTCATTTTTGTATATCACTAAACATGTTAACACGTGGTCATCAATTCAACTCAATCATAAAAAAATATATTATAAAAATGTAGCCAACAAACTTCTATCGGCATCCTTTAACTTAGAAACCGAGTAACAATTCCAAGAAACCTATGTTTTATTTTTTTCTTTAACATCCTAGTGTATATCTAAGGCGACAGAAAACGATAATGAGAAAATTGAAATATTGTTCCTTGTTGGACCCCCTTAGCAAACGCGTCAGCACAGTTTACAGTTCGTCGATAAAGCTCAGTTACACTAGTTACAAATAACAAGGTTTTAAATATTGATTACTAAAATGGTAGAAGGATGAAGAAAAGCACATACCAGACTCGATGGCCTCTCTTTCACGCTGCATGGCCTCCTTCATCATGAGGGGGCTGACAAAGAATTGGCTGAACATATCCATAGCACGCGGTAAATTCTTCTCTTGTATTTCGAAATAAAAAGTCGTCACTTCGCAGTCGGTTGATGCGTTGTCTGAACCGCCCTTTTTCTAAAGAGAAAAAAAATCAATATCCAAGAGTAATCCTTACATTTTATATAAACTAACTTTTATACGCATCTTTTCTCAAGAACAGTCATGGGTAAAAGGGCCTTTGTTTCTTTCTCTACTACGAAACAGGCGTAGGCGTAGGAGTAGCGAAAAAACCTATCATACAGAAAAAATAACGTTTTCGAGGGAAACAAAAAGAACTTCAACAGCTGCGTTTAATGTCTAATAAGTCATACTTATAATTCTAGAGTACCTCACGATTTAAAATGTAATGGCTACTATATTATGATCTATGATATTGAGTTTAGCAATATATGTACAAAACATAATATTACTATAAATATTATATTTATAGTAAAGGTTATTTTCAAAATACAGTTATCAAGAAATTGTACAGGTCTTTTTCCTTTAGTAGGTACTGTTAAGAATAAAGCGGTTGAAAAAAAAATCAAGCTTTGTATATTATGGTCACTTTTATTTACTTGAAATAGGTGGAACATTATTATGTTCATTCCAACAATTCATTCATTTCACTGCACTGAAAATACCTATTTTAAAAGTTGCGAAATCGAGAACTGAATTTTGAACTTTTATTACGAGAATTAGCCTTCTGATTCTCGCCCCTAAGAATCCAGAATTGTGTTAGTAAAATACCAACACAATGTACGTCTTTTGTCAAACACGTAGTTTGTTTAGTTTTGTGTTGACGTCAAATCTTCATTTATGACGACTTTTCGCTTTATTTCTGTATATAATTTTATGATTAGTCATTAGTCCAACTACAAGTTATAAGTAGTTATTATGATCAAATGGAGAACATTTGAAATCCTCTGAATAATATTGTACAACGATTTATGCCCTTATTACTGGGAGAACTTGGTGAAAAATAATGGATACGTAAGGAAAATATGTAGCTGGGCACGAATTATCAGTGTTGCTGGCCAAGAACTCTTTATTTTTAGGTAACATAAAGAGAGTGATTCATACATATATAATTAAGTTGGAACCTAAAAATTCCTACAACGTATCGGAATATCGTTATTATATTTGCCTATTAATTTTTAATTGTTTTAGTTCTAATTTAAAGAAGTAAAATATTGGCTATCTTACCTTTACAAATGAATCGAACTCATTCTCCTTAGGGTACTTCGCGCTGCCCATGAAGACCATGTGTTCAACGAAATGCGCCAGGCCCTGTATATCCGCTGGGTCGCTGTAACTGCCCACGCCGACGCAAAGTGCACACGCCGCCTGAGCAAGTCAAATTTATATAGTACCTATAGGAAACATGTGGATCAGCTTAGCGGAAGATCAGATGCATGGATTTGTAAAATCTGAATAAAACATCAGTACGTTAACTGACCTTGATTCATAATACGTGGACTAGGGTTTTCTACAAGGGTACCCGGATCCAGGTATACCCGGTTATATGATTTTTTTAGTACCCGGGTACTATTTCATTGTCAGACCCGGGTATCCGGAGACCATAACTCTACAGAAGACTTGTTTTTTTCTACAAAAAAAAGCAGTAAATTTGCAACAATAAATAGAAACCGGCTTTTGGACCGCTCATTGCACCTTTTCTGTCAAGAAGAAAAAGGACCCTTACCACTAATCTCTAATAAGTTTAATTTGAACTTTGTGGTTTATGTTCAGTTTTTTTTAATTGTAAACAATCTTAGAAGAAAGAAGTTTTATATATTTTTTTAACATAAAAAGTTTTTGTTATAAAAAGTAGTTTTAGTTCTTCATTTCTTAAATGAAAACAAGACTGTTTGTCTGTGTGACTGATTGTACTATAAGTTAAGGAGACCTATTGACATACTTCATTCCTTCGTACTAAAATTAAACATTTTCAGTTTCTGCAAAAATTGTAAAAACCAGTTTATATGAAAAAATTATATTATTTGATACCCGGGTATTAAAAAAGGTCGGGTACGCGAAAAACCCTAACGTGGACTAAGGAAATTCTGAAAGGACAAATAAAAAACGGTGACAATTGATACGTTAAATTTTTTTTGCTCTAAATATTAAATTAGGCTTATTTCACAGGGTTCTCAATATGTGTACGAAATTTAAATAACACATATCGCACTCAACTACACACTCATATGACCTAATACACATAACCACAAATCAATCAATACTCTTAACTACTCTCTACGCTGAGCCGCCGATAATGTAAGTAATTTTCTAATACGTATACATTATGTACATTTAAACTTTTGCGGGGCATCACCCATTTACTATTTAAGTTTAAGTTAATAAGTATTCCAAATATTGCTATCAAATGTATTAACGTAAATTCAGCAATACATCCCATATATTTCTGTATCAAATTGCAGAATCTAATAAACTCATGGTGGTTTAACCAACAACAAAAAAAAACTTTGAAAATCACATCAACAGCCTATACTAGCCCTCTGCTGGACATAGGCCTCTCCTCAGAAAGGAGGTTTTGGCCTACTATACCACGCTGGCCAGACGGGTTGGTATAGGGTTTGTTTCAAGTGGGTCAGGATGTCTTAATAACAGCTGTTCCCGGATCCCTCCTGTTACAGGCGCTGAGTGGCACACCGTGTGGTTTTAGTCGGTCCGAGTCCGACACACCACCCCGCCGCAAACCCCGGTGGGGTGACGGTCCGAGGGGATTTCCACACGTTAAAAAAAAAAAAAGGGTTTGTTTCAAGTATTCCTTCTCTTTGCAGTGCTGTTGTCCTGCTTAGTTTGCTCCCTTAGTCGGCTCTTACGACACCCATGGGATGAATTGGGGTGGTGACAATTTGTATTCTTAATCCGTCACCACACGAACTTTGAAAATGATAACCAGTAATCCCCTATTTTACCCCATTAGGGGTGAAAGTTCCAAAAATCCTTTAAATAAAAAGCATCAACTTCCAATCCTTTACAGGGTAGTGCAACGTAAGTTAACCCGTTCAACGGATCGGATCGGATTAATGATACGGCAATACATAAAATACAAACAACCATTGATCTCTATACTTATAAGATGTTAAAATGAGATTGTTTATATATAACGCTTTCTCAACTCGCCTACTCATCCTACTAACTCGCCTACTGATCATAATAAAGCTAGCATCCTACCGCAGGTCTAGTAAGACACGGAACCGTTATCTATAAAAAATACTACTTTACCCGAACAATAAGAAAATAACATTAACGCAATAAATAAGTCACATATAAGTGATACTTTTAAGTTCTAAGATGTTCGACATGTTATATTTTAATGTAAATCGGTTTACTGGGTGATTATAGCAATTACTCTGTGGTTTCACTATAAAATCTTTACAACGAAATGAAATTTGACGAAGCAAGGTTTGAGGATGGACACAATTAGAGAGGGAAGAGTTCTCAGGTAAAAACATTAAGTGTAATCCTGGTTTAAAAGAGCCAGGTCTGTAAAGTAATTTTTTCTAGTTCCATAGTTTTTAAAAATATCAACGTAGCATACATTAGGCCATAACAGTAAAAGACTAGAATAAAATCTATTCGGCATTAAATTCTATTCGCAAGCGGGTATAGCAACTATTTTTGTTCGTTTTTGTGAATCTATTTTAAATTAATTTCATTTGATTTCTTCTCTTAAATTGCCTGTTATAAATTATTTATTGTAAAATAAACGTGTAAAACAAGGACCAAGTCTAAAATAAATATTATTATTTTTAAAACTTTTAGAGGAAATGGAACTCTAGACCGTGGACTATCAACAAAGTCACAAGTATTGAAATCGTACCGTGTCAAGCGTAAGCTGGGTAAATAACATCTTGCATCGCTTTTTAGATACTTTCTCGCATGCGTTCTTCAAAAATTTTAAAATATTTCGCCTGAGTCTGACGTGAGTGTGACCCTGTCGAAAGCATACGTGTTAGTTCCATAGATATATGCAAACTAACTAAGTAATATCGTAGTCAAAACTATATTTAAGACTAGATTTTACCCGCGAATTCGTCCGCGTGGAATTCGAAAAGCGCTGCCCTTAGTGGGTTTTATTCCCGGACCGGCCAAAATTTTCTAGGGTTTTTCTAAGAGGAAAAATAGTCTAAGTTACTCCTTATATAGACAGCTACCTGGTAGTAAAATATTATCTAAATCGGTCCAGCCGTTTAGAAGATTACCCGGAACAAACAGACGGACCAACAAACAACAAAATTTTAAACTGGTTTTTAGGCATAGGTATCGTGCAAACCATAAGAGCATACAAAAGCCTATTGTTTTGAAATTACAAACACAGACACTTCAATTTTATTTCTTTGTACAGACAAAACGAATTTGTACGTAAATTCTTGTAGATATTTAATTCGATTTTAAATAGCTACGAGATAAGGAGCAAACTCATGTCCTTTCTAGCTGGTACACTGTGTAATTGTCTTAGATACAGTACTTGTAGAGGAAATATCGAAAGGATGGCGGTTCGAAAACATCAAATAACGCAAAAACTGCATTCTGCTACTATAAAACATTAAAATATCGCTTTTGATACGTAACTTTAACTCGATGATATAATGAGCCGTATTATTATAATAATAATAAATAGGTTGCATAACAGACATTGGTGGCATAAAAATAACCAACATTGAGATATTTCGTTTAGAATTCATCTGAAATAGGTTTCATAACAAAAATTGGTGGCTTAAAAATAACCAAGATTGAAATATCTCGTTTAAAATTCATCTGTCTTATTGTTTTTTATTTATAAAACGCTGCGAAAACAATAATATACCTACCTAATATTTAATTAAGAGACAAAACAATGTTGTTTTTTTTTTATGCATTTAACTACCGAACCAGCCTCATGTCGTAAACGCTAACTAACAATAGATATATACCGAAAATATTTCATTTTATTATAGATCACAAAAATTAAACTAACATTTGTAACCAACACCATGATCTTCGCTTTCGACTCTCTCAAAATATATTACTTTTTACGTAAAGAACGCACTCGGAAATATAAAAGTCAATAAACAGCCGAACATAACAACTTTCACAAAAATATGGTCATGTTTGTTAAATCATTCAATTTGGATTAGACATTATTTTGTTAAAAGTGAAAGTAACACTCAATAACTCTCACATTATTCAAAGCAAAGCCATATATTCTATTCTGTCTATTAAAAGCAATAACACAATTGAACTGATTTCTACACAAAATATTTTTTTTGGTCTTTTAATTAACAAAGGCCAAAAAAAAATGTTTTTTTATGCATTTAACTACTGAACCAGCCTCATGTTGTAAGCACCAACTAATAATATATATAGAAAATATTCCATGTTAGGGTGAAACACAAAAGTTAAACCAACATTTGTATAATGACTAACACAATGACATTCGCTTTCGATTTTCCCAAAATATATAACTTACTTCTTACGTTAAGAACGCACTCGGAAATATAAAAGTCAATAAACAGCCGTACATAACAACTTTCACAAAAATATTGTCATGTTTGTTAAATCATTCAATTTGGGTTAGACATTATCATGTTAAGTGAAAGTAACACTCGATTACTCTCACATTATTCAAAGCAAAGCCATATATATTCTTTCTATAAAAATCAATAACACAATTGAACTGATTTCAAAACGAAATGAATTAAAAGTAAATAATAAGCATCTGCAAAACAGTTGGTAAGTACTAAACTAACACAATTGAATGGACTGTAGGCTAAGAAATGCTCGGCTAGAAAACCTCCACGTGCTGCATCGCAGGAATTTGGTAGCTTAGTTGCCTTTATACATTTATATCAATTGTGCCGACATGAGGTTGGATATCGGTGATTTTAATCTCGGTTGCCCAAATTGACGCAGTTTTATGTTTTCTTTTCTTGTAAGCCTAATTGTATATCGCTATTAAAAAAATAGCAGCTACCTCAACGTACAAAACGATAATTTCTTGGAACCTGATTGGTCGGGGGTGGGTAGGGGCCTTAATACGTCGCTGTTATCTTAACGCGAATGGACCATAGTTATTTATAAAATGCTACAAAAATGCATTTACGTTACTGTGTTTCAACAAATAACCATAGTGATAAATTATTTGTACCCTTACTATAGTCAAACCGCCGTAAGCTTGGCCCTCCCGATGGTTTGCGGGACGCGGGGAGGGTGATGCGCTCGGCTATACACGACACGATGTACTAACTCGATATCTTCAGATTTATTTGTTTGAGATTTAATCTATATACGATGTAATAAAAATCGTTTTTTTTATATATTTATATATATATATAGAT